CCCCCCCTTCAGATAGATAGGTCTCTGGATCCGCCACTGTACATGAGTCCGTAGTTAAACAAGCCATTTTTGATGTTGATAAATATCTTGATAGAAACCTTTATCTAGACCCATAGATTTCAATTTGTTTTGGGCGGCCTGCACGGTAGAAGGGAAGTAACTCTTCCACTTAAACTTTTAGTAGGTGTCCTGATTTGCAATTTTTGTTAGTAGTTATCCCAGACTTTTTCGTGTAACATTAATTAATTGTCTTTTTTAAACTAATGGTGTCAGATATTAGAAATTGTCTGTCTAAATCAAGTATGTTTATTTATTGTTACCTGCACGGACTGCAGTAAAATTATTTTTACTTTCACTTCATTTTGACCTATTTTACCTCCAAACACAGGAGAACTCCTTATTCTTCAACACACAAGGAGGAAAAGAGCCAACAATATCTAGCTACGACACGTTTGTATTTACTGAACGCAAGTCACTGGATTGGTTAAAACTGATAGCGATGACGTCTTATACCACACAAGACATTCCATACCCACGATTTTAAGCCCGCCAGTGTTCAATATTTTGCAGTTTCACTATTATTTTGGTAAGTTTCTAGCGGGTGCTACTGACAATTGTTTACTTAGTTACTAAGAAATATTATTGCTATCAGAGACGTATACTATTATACGTCTCTGTTGCTATGGAACCTTTCTATACTTGCAATTTCACTCGGATATCGTTTCTTTTACCACTGTAGAAATGTCAGATTGGCCTACATGTATCTGCCTAGGGTGAAGAAGGGGTGTTGAGTACACTAATTTACTAAATACATGATATAACGCGCCATGCTTTGTCACCCTGGTTAAATACTAGCTGCTTCCTACCAACTCGACTAGGGATAATTTCACTATTGCTCATTCGGTAGAGCGTAAGACTAGTATTAAGTAGAGGTCCCGCCTGAGTTCAACTACTGAATAGCGGTGGCATTGACAAAATAATTACCTCTGTTACATTAGTGCCCACGCAGGGACCTGGAAAATATGACAAAAATACTCAGCAATACTTGCAAAGGAATCGCTATCACCCCTGGAAAAATTGGGACGAGTTCTTTCCTGGAGGGGGAGTACGTATGTCACCCTGGTAAAATATAAGTCAATTTACCTACCGAATCAGCTAGGGAGAAGTTCTCTTTTAAGCTCATTCGGTAGAGCATAAGACTAGTTAGTCCGAATTATTCTGACGTTTTATCGACTTTTTTCATATCGGTCTGTCGTCGATTAACGACAGACCGATATGAAAAAAGTCGATAAAACGTCAGAATAATTCGGACTAAAGACTAGTAAGCCAGAGGTCCCGGGTTCGACTCCTAGAAGAGGCATTGAAAAAAGGTTGACCTCTGTTACATTTATCATCTTTCTCTTTTTAAGATGATGCTAGAATGTTGTGGGAATGATGCATCCTCTAAGTATTCAAGGAACAGGCTGTTGTAAAATTTATGTTGATAAATCACTGAAAATTGAAGGCTTGTATAGACAGATATTTGATTGGTTTAATTAAAAACAACTGACCAATCTCTTGGCTGATACCTGTCCTTATCTGGCAGTTTGTTCATTCTCTGGTAGATATGTAAGGTATGATTTTAACATGAGTGACAGGTCCATTGAGCCTTTTGTTTATGTATACAATTTCTATTATCATACTTTTCCTGTCATCAAAGCAAAAATGTGGATGAAAATTACGTAACAGGAGATGGAACAAGAGGCCCAGATGGCCTGTATCATTCACCTGTTTCTTTTGTTACATGAAACGGACATATAGGTAACTTTAGACCAAATCTTGTAACTAGAACAAAAGGCATTTTAAGATATTTCTTAAAAGTATTGTTAAAGATATTGTTGTTGAAATTTGAAATTTCGATTTTAAAGTTTTAACCAATATTGACCTTTGACTCTGGCTAGCACTTAAAGTTGACCATTGACCTCATCACTGTTATAGAGAAAAAGATTCACACAGCTGGTCTTCATAATATATCCAAGTATCATGACTCTAGACCAAATGGTTTAGATATTGTTGTTTGAAGTCTTTGACATATGTGACCTCTGTGACCTTGAAAGTAAGTCAAGGTCGTTTTAATAAAGAAACTTGATTGCACTCCATCCCAAGTACCTACTGTCCAAATATCATGACCCTGGGCCTTATTGAACTTGAGAAGAAGATTAATACAAGACGAATACATGTATTTGACCCCTGTGACCTTGAAACAAGGTCAAGGTCATTTTGATGAGGAAACTTTATAGCACTTCATCCCATTTACCTACTGGTCAAATGTCTTGACCCAAGGTCCTCCAGTTCTTCAGAAGAAATTGTTCAAAAGAAAAAGGTTGACAGACGGACGACAGATGCAGCAGTATGGCATAAATTCACATGGCCCTTCCTGCGAGGTGAGCTAAAAATGCACAGCCAGACTCAGGTTGGAACCCGGAACCTTCTGAACTCTAGATGGGCACTCTACCCCCATTGAGTTACCTAGTTGCTGGTGATCAACCCAGTCCAGTTCCACTACATTCCTCCCTCCTTTTTGTAAGTCTTTGCCCCCGAAGACTTAGCTATTTACAACCCAGGTTTGTGTGTCTCCTTGTCAAGCATACACCCAATGCTTGAAACAAGGGTAGGTCACAAGAACCATTGCAACAGGAGATGGAAAAATGCACAGCCAGACCGGGGTCTGAAATCGGGATCTTCTGAACTCTAGAAGAATCCCTCTTCCAACTGAGCTATCTGGTAGCCAATAATCGAGCCAGTCCAGTGCATGATAAATTATGCAAGACTATGATCGATCATTGGAATCAGTAGGCTCCAGCCAACCGTTAATCGATTATTCCCGATCATTGGCACAACACTAGTCTTGTTATGGACCTTTGTTTAATTTTGATAAAAAAAACTTGTCAAGAGTATAACTTTTCACATACAATAACCAAAGTTGTTATACTGATGTACCATGGAAAGGCAGTGTTACTGAAATTCAGTCAGTGCCTATTTGTATACAACGTTATGGCCCTGTATTCCCTTTTAAACCTATTTATGTTTTGAAACATATGCAAAGGGAGGCAATCCTTTTACAGAGATTTAAGAAAAAGAAAGCCATTATATAAACACTTTGTCATATAATATGGTTTATAAAGTAAATCACAGTATGTTTATCAAAAAAACATCTAAGAAGTTATTCAGCTTTCCTGAATGAAAAGATAGTAATACATGTTTTTTTCATGCTAGATGCTACATGTACACATGTTACTGGCATTCATTGTTTGGCTCGTTATGTTTAGAATAAACAAATCTTTGATAGTGGGAAACAGCCATTCCACGTTCTTTATAAATACATTCATGAAAATATCATTCTAATTTTTTTCTAAACGTTTCTGTTTAGATGGATTCCATCTTCCCATTCTGTTCTTTATTATTTTGTGTTTTATTCAGACATGTTGACAATTTATATTTGAATTTGTCTTCTTTTTATTTTAAGGATTTCAACAATGTGTGGACGGTGGAAGTGTTTGAAAACAGTAGACAGGATCTTTGTACGTCAATTTGCATGTCTCTGTGTGATAACTTTCTGCGTTGTCCTTCCTATCATCTGCCTTCATCTACAACATTCCTGGTACTACCTCCTGTGGAAGAAAAATGTTGATCGAGGTCGTGACCACATGAGAATGGACAACAATAAAAGGATAGAAGAAGCGAATGACTTTCTGAAAAAATTTAGTGACGCTAGAACCCTTAATGAACTTGGTAAGGGACGTGAAAATGGGAACCATGTTGATGTAGGTATTACTATTATAACAGTTTCCCGAAATCGTCATCGTCTCGATAATTATGAGCCCAAATATTTGACACAAGTTGTCACAAAGTTCTTGAAGGCCATAGAGGAAACACCGGACTTAAAACATACATATAAACTTTTTCTGTGTGATGTTGATCCAAGCCCTTCCTCTTACATCGAGATCAAGCCCTTATCAAAATTAGTACCAGTATTTCAAAGATTTAGAAACGATCTCAACAACACTGCGGTATGGTCAAGGATGAGCATCAGTGACCGTTTGGAGAAGGAGAAAAGAGACTATGTGTTTTGTGGTCGACAGACATTGAATGCAAATGTGTCTAACATATTTCTTGTAGAAGATGATGCTCTTCCTCATGAAGATCTTCTTCCCGTATTGGATCGTGTAATTTCCAATATTTTTGACAAATCAAAAAATGATCGCACACATTACCAAAAAGACGTAACATACATCAAGTTTTATCACCCAGAACGACTACTTGGATATTTTAGTCTTGAACCAGAGAGGCTTCCAGAACTGTTTGGTTTGAGTTTCCTTCTGAGTACAATAATGATGTTCTTTTATCAGAGATATCGCCCCGTAACCACATCTTACACCCGAATTCTCTGGTTATGTTTCTTTGTGTATTCCTGTCTACTTTTATTATTTATTGGTCGTCAGAACTTGTTAGAACTACGACGCATATCCAGTCAGCTGTACCAGGTGACCCGAGCCCCAGCTTGCTGTACTCCGGCCATTTTATATCCAAGTAAAGGCATGGAGGAAGTTTTAAGTTACCTGTCTTCAGTTCAGTGTAAGGAGAAGTTTGGGAAAGATTATGCACTGGAAAAGTTTAGAACTAGTTTCGCAAAAACTGGTCTCATGGTGCAACCAAATCTTTTTACTCATATTGGAATGTACTCATCTTTACGTAACGAGGTGTTAGACCCATTTATTGTATGAGTGCTAGTTTTGTTTTAAGTCAATTCTCATGTCCAGTACTGTCTTATATTTTAGAGTCTTTAAGACACAGTTCCCCATGGGAAAAGGCCACAGCCCTGAAAGGTAGTGGTGATCATGCTGACTATCGTCGCAGTCAGACATTCAGTTTATTTAAGCCTTATGTTGCCAATTGATCTCAGGAATTTGTCCATTTACCAGGTGTAGCACCATTTAGGAATGAGACATTTTCAATGTTTCCCTTTAGCAATCCTTTTTACATAAAAGTTGAAGTTTCAAAATACTTCTGATACCAATGTTGGAAACGTTAGAATATGCAGTCTGTATGTTCATCAACTTGAACAGATGGTGAACATATGAAAGCACATTTTATAGTTTTTTAAGGAAACCTGGGTTCAGTTTTCTTGTGCAGAATTTATTTTGATGGTGTCCCTATATTGTAATCATAAACAATATCATTTCTGCTCTGTAATGTCACTATTTGAAACCTTTTCTTCTCTAAATTTCATTAAGATTTTAAAAATTAGTAAGAAATTTACACCCTAACTATTTCAAGGTGATATTCTGTCAAAGGTGAAGGTAATTCAAGGTTGATTTCCTCTATGTGACTTGCTGATAATTTCTGCTCCGTAACATCCACTGTGACTTCAGAAGAGACATGAATTACATAATGTCATAAAATAGAATTTTGTATCTGTTTTATTTTTCTACTTCACAAAATGATGTGCTTTTCTGAATTTCTATGTACATACTTTGTATATGTATCTGAAAAAAGACTGTTAAACTTGTTCCCATTTGATTTTACTTTTATGAAACTCGCTGAATTTTGTGCCATGAAATTATGTAATAGAAATCAAATTTAATCAGGACCCAATAGTTTATACATGTATATTGTAAAATAGTAGTGTATTTATTGTATGATGTGTGGCAATTAAATGATTTTATGTGTAAATATTATAATGATGTGTATCATTTCAATATTAGTGTTAACGCTATCTCAGGTACCTATTCTGACTGAAAAAGATTAGTTACTGCGTCAATTACTGTGGTTTTGTTAAACTCTGACTTGACCGTAACTAATTTCAGTACGATTTGTGATAATTTTAAAAAAATGTTCATGTTTGTCCTCCGATATTGTTAGTTACATAAAATTTGCATGTGATTTCAAATCTTTGCTTAGAAAATTTATATACAGAATATTTCTGTTAATGACTCTAGTACATGTATACAAAATTAAAATGTATAACAGTAACAGTCAAGCTATGTAGTAAACTCCCACAGGACAAATCAACTATTTTTTTCCAAAGTTGTATCCCTTGGCACCTCTACGCAAATTACGCAAATTGTAAGAAAAATGTGACCAGATGGATGTCATGCAGCTTGCCATTCCGGGATAAAACATAACAGTCAGTGCATTGGTACTTAAAATTTCATTATCTTGTGTTCGGACGAGTAAGTATTGCCAGTTTTCCTTTATTATATCATCTAACAATCTTCCCATTTGATCGAGATTTATGTAATAAGTTTTCATTTGAAGCCTCTGCTGATCTAAAACAAGAGGCCCGCGCAGAGGGCCTTTATTGCTCACCTGGATATCTACGCAACCATGGCAAAATGTTCTTCAAAGAAGATCCCAGGGAGAGCCAGACCCCGAGGCCAATCCTTGTAGCATATCTGTATGAGATTTTTCTTGCCCAGCAATTGTATGTAATGTGGTTATGGGGTGGGGATCTGAACTGTTTCCAAGTTGTGACTCAGAAACTAGGTCCCTAGGGTTGTGGTCAGACTCCAGGGTCACTTCTAATATCAAAACTGCATTCGTACCTTTATGCCCTGCATTTGTATATATAGTTTTGGGGTGGGGAGCTCAACCGTTTCAAAGTAATTATGACCCAGGGGTTACGTCTCCAAGGGTGGAACAGACCATGGGGCGATCCTGGAAGCATATGTGCACTCGTCTCTTTATACTCAGCAATTGTACATATGGTTATAGGGTGGAGATCTCAACTGTTTACAAGTTGTGACTCAGAAACTAGATCCCTAGGGGGGTGGCCAGACCCAAGGGTCAATGCTAATATCATAATTGTGTTCATCTCTATATGCCTAGCAATTGTATATTTAGTTTTGGGGTGGGGATCTCAACTGTTTCAAAGTTATGGCTAAGGGACTAAGATCCAGGGTGGGGCCTGACCCCAAGGGCCATCCTGGAAGCATATGTGCATTCATCTCTTTATACTCAGCAATTTTTTGGCCCCACCCCTTACCCATTACCCCGGGGGGGGGCGGGTCAACACCTGTCCATTTGTAAAATTGATAATCCCCACCACCTAGGAATGCTTCCAACAAAATATAGTTGACACTCATCGCTTAGTTCCAGAGAGAAGAAGTCACTTAAAGCAAAAAAGCCAAATTACCTTTTTTGGCCCCGCCCCTCAGCCCCACTATTTGTACAATTTTGAATCCTCACCACCTAGGGATGCTACCAGTCAAATGTGGTTGATATCCATTGCTTAGTTCCAGGGAAAAGTTGATTGAAGCAATATATAGCCAAATTACACTTTTGGGCCCCGCCTCTCAGCCCCCTGGGGGTCAGCCCCTCTATTTAAACAATTTTGAAATCCCACCTCTCATGAATGCTTTCAACCAAATATGTTTGATATCATGTTCACAGTTCTAGAGAAGAAGTTGTTTATAGCAATATAGCCAAATTGACACCTTTTTGCCCCGCCCCTCAGTCCCCTGGGGGGTCAGCCCCACCATTTGTACAATTTTTGTATCCCTACCACCTAGGGATGCTTCAAGTCAAATTCAGTTAAATTCCAATCAGTGGTTAAGAAGTAGAAGTCATTTGAAGAAATTGTTGAGGTACGGACAGACGACGGACGGATGACAGACGCCACAGTATGGCAACAGCTCACCTTGGTCCTTCCAACCAGGTGAGCTAATGATAATAAAACCATTGGAACAATTTAATTAATATCTTATGAGACAGAAACAAATTCATGATTCATTAGTGAATTTTCATGAACAAAATATTTCTATTTGACCATCATCAAGTCGTCAATATTGCCATCTTGACTTCATGTCTGTGTGATGTGACAATGTGTTAATGATGGTTTAAATATGATGTCACGATCAGAGCTATTAAATGACAATGGTACATAAAGTATTATATATAAACATATATATAACATGGATGTAATGTTTACAAAACAGGGTATAGTCAGTCATAAATCATGTTAGTTTTAACTCATTCACCTATAAATCACAGTCCAGTTAAGATATATATATATATATATAGGGGTGAATGAGTTAAAGTCATTAATTGTTTGTAAAATGTCTGCCACTTTGCAACTTTCTTGTTGTTCGCCCTCCCTAATGGTGACAAATTAATCAATACAGCATACTGGTAGTTTATATATATCATGCTTTACAATGTAATTCCCAGTGAAGGGTAATATTAACATGGAGAACGTGGATTTTACCGGTGAAAGGCGAAAGTTTGACGGGGCGAAAGTTTGGTACACGGTATTCAAATCTTGATGCTTCTTATTTGTGTTTTTCATTTGTATAGGCATGAAAGTTTCTTGAGCTGTAAAGAATTTATCTATATTTATACTTATTAAGTGTTTCTGTAAAAATTACCTAGTATGGAACACTGTAGCTATATAATCTGTTTTGAATTTGAACATATTTATGACAAATAATATCAAGTTGATTATATTGTTTGCCAAAGGCAATGTTGCAACCATTTTTGAACTCATGATGATATATTTTTATTGTTCTAACATGGAACAAATTTTTCAATTAATCATGTTATACTTTTATATAGTTAACAAAATAAATTGTGATTTGAATGTTTTGTGTTACAGTTTTGTCCTAAATGTACATGGGTCTGGGTGGCAAAGAATCAATCAATATGTATGTTGTATTTTCTTAAATTTTCTTTATATATTGTTGGGCATATTGTCACTGTGTTATTTTGAAGAATTTCAGCAACAGTGCTGCATTTTTTTCTAATTCATATTTGAACTTTTTTTTCACTAGTCCCATTAAAGTGAAACTTTTTCAGTCATGAAATAATGTTGCAAATCATTTATTTTACATAATACTGTAATACACAGAGTAACTCTGCAATTCTGCATATTTTAGTTTCTGCACAGTGAGACCTTTCTTGTCCGAGTGCTTTGGTTTGTGTACAGCAGAAATCTTTTCGTCCGAATAATTTGGTTAGTGTGTAAAACAGAACTTCTTTGGTCTGTACTTTGTTAAGTGTGTACAGCCGAACTTCATTTCTCAGAATAATTTGGATTGAGTTATTGTTTAATACAGTAGTCAACATATTTAGGTTTGTGTGTACAGTTGAAACTTGTGGCAGTCTGAATAATTTGGTTATGTTTCTGTATTTTTCCAGCATAACAAAAATGTACAGTATATCAGAAAATGAAATTTTCATTTCTCCTAATATTAAAAGTTTGAAAAATTCCCATATTATTTGTTATTTATTACAACAGATCTGGTAGACATTACAATGCTCAACATCAATGGTCTAGTGTGTGCATTTAAATTTTACACTATCTAGAACTGAAAAACTGGTAGCTCATTCATTTAACATTTCTCCCCTCTTCAGCTTAGTGAACTCCAACTGCATATAAATGTATAGCATCTACGCAGTGAAAAAAGGCTCAGGAAGATTACAGCCCAATGCATATGACTGCCATTGCTTTGTGTCTTCAATATCTGGAAATCTGGAAACTTCTTATTACATGGATGCACATTCAAATTTCTTTGACAGTAAAATAAACAATGGTGACTTTGTTCTGGAACCCTCTTTCCTGTTGTCCATGGCCCATCATGCCGTTACAGAGAGTTGGAACCTGGCTTGTTATGGTATTTGAGGGCCAACACATTTAAAAAGTTATGAGTAGTTGGCAGATTTTAATTCCATATAAGATTACAGTCTCTTTCTAGGTTCATGCTCGAGGCAATTGCCCTTTAGCTCAATTGGTAGAGCAGTGGACTGGGAGGTTGGGGGTCGCTGGTTCGGACCCTTGGTGGCAGCACAGTATGATCTTGTCACAAACTCTTTTGAGTTAGTTTTGTATATGAATGAGTTTTAATCCAAACCTGCATAATAGAAAACCCTGCAATAATAATCTACACAGATCTACATAGTTTTTCCAAAAATACAGCTTGGCCTTGGTTAGAAATCCCAAAATGTGTTGCATGGTGCAGGAATTAAAGTCTCGAGATGCTAGGGCTGCAGGCAGTCATTGAGATATTCAAATAAGGGTCAAAATCAAATTTGATTGGGTAATTGATAATGTAGGTATGTGTAGAATGTCTTGTGAAAGTCAAAGTATTCCTTCAAGAGTTATTTATCACTCGGAAATCATTTGTCCAGATGCCAGCACCAATGTATCTCTGTATGGCACCTATGCTTGTAATTCCAAGCAACACAGAGAGAAAAAAAATCCAAAGCTTAGTGAAGTATAAAATGATTTATGCATGAGATGTATTTTAGATCAATGACAATGCAAAAACATGACTTGCATACAACAATATAATCCCTACAATTACATATCCTTATTATTCATTCCGACAATAATTCCTGGCCTTTAATATTTAGCCCCAAGCAGGTGTCTCTCTCACTTGCCACATTGGAGTGCCCTTTAGTGCATGACCTTTACGTAAGCACACCTTTAGACATCCCTACGCAGTCTTATAGTCAGAAACTTTAAGATATGCTACAGTCTTAAAGTAAGTGCCTTTTGGCGCCACTAAACAATCTCCATACACGTATCCACATGTCCATTTTGATGCCTTGTTGCTTTGGTTAACTGAACCACAGACATTTCAGTAAATGTCTGGTGTTAAAATATTAGCAGTAAAATCTTATTTGTCAAAGATGGCTTAAAACATTTTTCAGTATAAAAATAAGAACACCAAAAGAAAGATCCATTCACCAAAACGAGGCATGCAGATGGTACTGACACATATGTCAGTCAGTGCTCTGATCTCCTTACTTTGTTATTCTCACTCTTGAGTATAACTCACTGCTTCAATCAAACATTCTCACTCCATTCATCTTCCTCAATACTCGTGGGGTTATGTTCACTTTTGTTCTCTGCACCCCTGGAATATGTCAGACTCCTTGTGCGAGACATTTGATGATGAGACAAGAAGACTATTTTGATTCTTTGATGCACATCAAAGGAATCCTGCCACAGCGTAATGGTAAAAATGACAGGCATTGAAGTCGGACGGAGCTCCTCTGTTATCTTCAAAGGACAGGTCTTGGCCTAACAATTGGACAGATTGTTTTTTTACCCGAGCCCCATCAAATAGCTAGACATGCACTTTCAATTTTGCTATGATATATTCCAGGGGTGCAGAGAGGTGAGCATAACCCCTGTAGTATTGAGGATGCCCCTTCATTCAACCCAACTACAAACAGAGATTTTCTCTGGGTTTGGCCGAGTTGCCAGATCAACAACAGATATCAGTCATATGACAATGAAAGGTCATGAATGTCATAATATTTACTTCTAAGTCATGCACACTACCATTGTTATCAGAAGCCACTGACATGTGGCTCATACTGGCATAGTAACTACAAAAATAAATTAACTTTTTACTATGCAAGTGTAAGCTCTCTGGAGCACTTAAGGATCCCTGTCCCACTGCCAAAACCTGTAACTACTCGTGGGAAACAGAGTTTTCCTGCATGCCTATTCCTGTTATACCATTCCTGAAAACAAAAGCATTCCTTCTGGGACTCTTATAAAAAATACCAAAAAGACGAGAGAAAAATAATTAACCAATATGTTACGATTGTAAAAGTATAACAAGGGCCAGACTAGGATTCGAACCCTGAACCTCTACTCTCGCTCTAACCAACTGTGCTTCCCGGTCAACAGAAGTGTCACTGTAGGGGAGGTCACTGTAGGGGAGGTCACTGTAGAGGAGGTCACTGTAGGGGAGGTCACTGTAGGGGAAATCACTGTAGAGGAGATCACTGTAGGGGAGATCACTGTAGAGGAGATCACTGTAGGGGAGGTCACTGTAGGGGAGATCACTGTAGAGGAGGTCACTGTAGGGGAGGTCACTGTAGAGGAGATCACTGTAGAGGAGGTCACTGTAGGGGAGGTCACTGTAGGGGAAATCACTGTAGAGGAGATCACTGTAGGGGAGATCACTGTAGGGGAGATCACTGTAGGGGAGGTCACTGTAGGGGAGGTCACTGTAGAGGAGGTCACTGTAGGGGAGGTCACTGTAGGGGAGATCACTGTAGAGGAGATCACTGTAGGGGAGATCACTGTAGGGGAGATCACTGTAGGGGAGGTCACTGTAGGGGAGGTCACTGTAGAGGAGGTCACTGTAGAGGAGGTCACTTTAGGGGAGTTCACTGTAGGGGAGGTCACTGTAGGGGAGATCACTGTAGGGGAGGTCACTGTAGGGGAGGTCACTGTAGGGGAGGTCACTGTAGGGGAGGTCACTGTAGGGGAGGTCACTGTGTGTAGGAAAAACTACAGGGGAATTCACTAGACTTTTGCCAGCAGCAGGACAGGGATCCTTCATTATATCCTTTTAGTATGATCCTACAGCAATGTACATGTATACATAAAGCTTCATCTTCAAAATGAAAGTCCACATAGTTCTCGCATCAAACATTTCATAATATGGTTGATCCCCTTTTCCATTAACACATATATGTAGCTACAGACTGCTATAAATATAAGCTTTGTTAAGTATAGCCATACATTTCCTCTTTCTACTTATCAGAAAGACCCTTTATTAGACTAAGAAAATCTATAGGGTAATGTTTTCGTAATTTTGTCATCATCCAGCAATGACTTTGGACTTCTGTCCATCATTTCCATAAAACTGTTCCAGTGCTTGTTTCAGATATGTCAATGTATTCCTTTCGTTAGAAAACATGAAAACATGGTCTTTGTTTGGGAGCGGAGGGATAAAAACTTTCAAATCAATGGAGGGACTTGCAACATAGCAATTTTTTTATGGAGTCTAGTTCATTTTACTCTAGAATGAACATCAACCAATCTAACTACATCAATGGTAGCAGACCACTTTTTATGACAGTCAGCTGGCCCAATTAGAGCAAGTTCCCAAAGTGAAGAGATCATCCTCTTCAATTCATTGAGTCCAAAAGGTTAATTCTTCCATTTTAATGCTATTCACTAATGTGTGGTGAATTTTTAAATACTGATGACTGAGCAGGTCCATCTTTCCTTATCAGGACACATCACAAGAAATCAGCAATGACTGCAGCGCTTTGGCAAAACCTTTAAAAGAAAGCAGAGAGATAGGGACTGATTTAATATATCCAGTACTGTATAACATTAAATGTTGATTGTGTTTCAACAGTCATGGTTTTCATGGTTGCTACAGAACTAAGAACATATACACAATGAATTGATTTATATGAAGTTTCCACCACGAAGAAAGAACCCCCCAACATTTAATGTTTTACAGTACATGTACCACTACACCTGCTTCAAACCATGAAGGAAGTATTCCCCCACATTTAATATCTTACAGTACATGTACCACTACACCTGCTTCAAACCACGAAGGAAGAATCCCCCCACATTTAATGTTTTACAGTACATGTGACACTACACATGCTTCAAACCACGAAGGAAGTATCCCCCACATTTAATGTTTTACAGTACATGTACCACTACACATGCTTCAAACCACGAAGGAAGTATCCCCCACATTTAATGTTTTACAGTACATGTGACACTACACATGCTTCAAACCACGAAGGAAGTACCCCCCACATTTAATGTTTTACAGTAAATGTACCACTACACATGCTTCAAACCACGAAGGAAGTACCCCCCAATATTTAATGTTTTACAGTACATGTACCACTACACCTACATTTTATATCAGTTGTTTGATAAATGTTCAATGTTTTACTGGTACATATGTACTTTTTTTCAAGTTCCAATTTTATGAAAATTGGAAATGTGAACAGTTCTACCTCATTAAAATGTATATAGTTGAATGTCATCCATTAATCTGGTTGTCCCATTGTTCAGCCAGTGACCCCAAATAACCCTTTTTGGCCCACCCCCTCAGTTCTCTGGGGGTCTACACAATTTTTAATCATCATTACCTTAGAATGCTTCCAACAAAATATGGTTGAAATCTAAGATTTGATGTACTTCAAGAAAAAAAGTCTCTAAGCAACGTCATATGGCTAAATTAACCCCCCCCCCCTTTTAGCCCGCCCCTCAGCCCCCTTGGAGATCATTCTCCTACAAGTAAGTCTGTATCTTTTTTTTATCATCACCAGGGGGAAGGCTTCCAACAGAATAAAGTTAATAACCAGTACATAGTTCCAGAAAGGAAGTTGCTTAAAGCAAAACTTGGTTACTTCCACTTTTTGACCCACCTTCTAACCCAGATCAATAAATATTAAAGAAAACTATTTTCTGGACACATGGGGTGAAGTGAGGGAGTATTTGGAAGAAGGATTTATCTGAAAAACTCAATAATAAAATGTGACCTTCCAAATTTTAGAGTTTTTGTATTGTTTGCATATTTAAAATTATGATGACTGAAAATCAACAAATTAAATCACAGGGTTTCACTATGTGAATTAATTGTTACATTGCGAAATACATTGTTGATTTGTCTCACCTCTAGGGTTTTTATAGAATACACAGTTGTTAGCACAAGTTTCTGGGTTGGTGTCCCACACAGAGATGCCACAGCAACAAAGGGGAGGTAACTGTATCCCCTTCAGTTCAATCTTTTCCCTGAGCTGTGCCCTGAGTGCTTCAACAAACCTAAAATATGAAAATGTAGAAAAATAACACTATACGATATAACAAGAGGCCCAGAGGGCCTGTATTGCTCTCCTGGAAATGTTAGCAAAACTGAAATTGAAACAGCAAGATGTTGCTGGTAGTGTACATGTATTACATGGTTAGTCAGGGGTTATATTTATATGCAATTGGACAAAATCCTGTCATTCCTACATGAAAAGGTAGATTTTGAAGAATTTGTTATGTTTCCCTTATTGGGCCCCACCCCTCTGCCCCCAGGGAGGTCAGACCCACGGTTGATACAAAATTAAGTCCCCTTCACCCAAGGATACTGTCATTCCTACAGAAGAAAAAGGGTTTTAAAGCTATTTTTCTATTTTCCCTATTTGGCCCTGCCCCTCTGCCCCTAGGGGGTTCAAACACACTATTTATATAAAATTGATTTCCCTTCCCCATAGGATGCTACTGTTCAAATTTGGTTAAAACACCTTTATCCCAACTGAGAACAAGAGGCTCAGAGGGCCGTTAACGCTCACCTTGAAATATCTAAGCAATCATGGCAAAATATTCTCCTAATGAGATCCAAAGGAATATGCCAGACCCCAAGGCCAATCCATGTAGATATATGTATTAGATTTTTCATGCCCAGCAATTTTATGTATATATGGTTATGGGGTGGGGATCTCAACTGTTTCCAAGCTGTGACTCAGAAACTAGGTCCACAGGGCTGTGGCCAGACCCAAGGATCAATTCTAATAGTATCATGACTGCATTCGTCTCTTTTTGCCCAGCATTTGTATTTATAGTTTTGGGGTGGGGATCTCAATCGTTTCAAAGTTATGACCCAGGGGCTAAGTCTGCAAAGGTGGGGCAGACCCTAGGGCCATCCTGGAAGCAAATGTGCATTCTTCTCTTTACACTCAGCAATTGTATATATGGTTATACGGAGGGGATCACGACCATTTCCAAGTAATAAACTTGTTTTGGCCCCTCCCCTTAGCCCGGGGGGTCAGCTCCACCATTTGTACAATTTTGAATCCCCACCACCTAGGGATGCTTCCAGTCAAATTTAGTTGAATTCCAATAAGGGGTTAAGAAGAAGAAGTCGTGCAAAGAAATTGTTGATGTACGGACGACGGACGCCACAATATGGCATAAGCTCACCTTGGTAGAAGATGTAGTATATGCTCAAATTAATAGGAGAATACTAGGACCATTTAATACATGTTCACAGAATAATTATTAGAATATCATAGATTTTAGTATTTTAATTACTATAGTCTTAATACTCAAGTCCTTTGGTCTAGTGTTTGGTTAGAGGCACTTCCAAGATAAAGGCTTCATACAGTAAATGTAAATAATTCAAAGACAAAATCAAGGATTAAAACTATTTAGTGTGTGGTTTGCATAGATATTATGGTATTAACAAATACATAAGAGACCCAAATGCACCAATTCTGTACGGTCTACGGGAGATTCAAAGACTAAACATTCATGCATGTGTAAAGTTCTGTTGGCATAGATGTAAGAAGACATTATTTTGCTTCGACATATCTAATCCTATGGACAAATACATATAGTATCCCTACATAGAGACTAGAATGTAAAGCAGGGTGGAACAATATATGCTCATCCAATGTCAATCTGAATTAAGTACCTAAAATCCTTCTAATGCATTATTATGTCTAAATGTATGAAAATACGGAAATGTAACGAGAATTGAAAAAACAACATTTGTACTGTTTTACTCAGGAGAGTTGAGAACCATTCCTGGAATGTGGTGAAAGGAGAAAAACATAATGTGATCAACCAACCTAACCAAGCTGAAGGAAAATATGTACATTTTATACAACATTTATAATCTTGCATAGGAATTGTCTTCCTTTTTACATATTTCAACCCATGAAAATAGAAATTGGAATTGCCCCTTTTTGTCAATAATTAACTCAATTTCCACCATTAAAACTAAAGATATTTCTAGTGTTTATCATTACAGATTTCTTTTGAGACAACATGTAAATATTGACAAAGTCTCATCAGAATCCTGTCATAATTTCGAAGTTATTTTGTTGAAACCGTTGACCAATTAGATAACAGTATGTTAATAAAATACGTGTAGATTTTGCTCACCTTTAAGCTTTGCGTTTGACATTATATACAGTATTATCAATATCAAGTTTCATTAGAACTCAGTCATATTTGATAAAGCTGGTGCACAAAACCTGTCAACCAATCAGAGCAGCGTAAGTTAATTAACTACTCAGGGATTTTGCTTAACTTTAAACTACATGTATGTAGCCTGTGTCTTTGTATAAAGTGCATGCCCACCAAGTTTCATCAAAATCTAAAAACATTTAGACCAGTTATCTTTAGTTGATGAACTTGAGTTTGGAAATTGACAATTCAGAGCACATTATGCTAATTAATGATGCATTTTTGAAGGGAATATAATAAAAAGAGACTGATTACATGTTTTACATCAAAATTTTCTCACCTTTCCATTTCCCTGAGCTTCTTGAGTCTAAGTTGGTTCCGACGTAGCGTTTCTTTCACCTGCTCCTGCTCTTCAATTTCACGTGTCAAAGTCTGGAGGGAAGTTTCTCCCGTGACGGGGTCCCGGGGCTCAACAAAACGACGTGACTTCTCCTCTTCTTCTCTTCTCTCCTCTTCTTTTTCCTTCTTCAACCTAAAAAGAAATCAGATGATATAATATAAATCTGTGCCTTACTTATTTTCGAAAAAAGTAGTTAACTGTATGCTGAGCCAACCAAGGTTTCTATTCTTTTGAGCACAGCTGAAAACAGTTAAATGTTACATGACATTCATCGATCACTAGGAGTACTGGCATTTCTTGTGTATAACTAGCGTCGTATATTGCCAGCAAAACTCAAAATAACACTTTATTACATAAAATCTGCAGGCTGACCAATCTGGTAACTTGCCCCTGGGTTATCTGCTGTGTAAGAACTATAATCATATTTGACCTAATAAGCACACCTGGGGTATAAGCACCCCCCTACCTTTTTTCTGGGAAAGAGGATGGGTTCGCTTAATTAAAACCCCTCAAAAGGTTGCTTACTTAACTCGTCTGCAAATACAACCTTTAGCATTTACATCTCTTGTCAATGTTACTGGCCTAGCATCATTTCCTCAATCAATATTAGGCAAATTGTCTCCGTAAAGTTACTTGATTCATTCTTTGAAAGATTGCACAAATGTTTCAAGTCCAACTGATTCAAAACTTGATCGTTTTCGTAATTGCTCACTAATCGATCTGAATAAAATTGACATGTTGATATTGGTAAATTCCCTTATTCAATTCAAGAAGTTCTTCTCATTTCTGATTTTGTTTTCTGTCACCAACTCCACATAGTTATCATCTTACTCAACTATTAAAACTTTCATCACCACTCAAGTATGTGCCGTTCTCTCACTTCCTCGTTCACCACCACTCAAGTATGTGCCACTTCTCACTTCCCCGTTCATCACCACTCAAGTATTTGCCGCTCTCTCATTTCCCCATTCACCACCACTCAAGTATGTGCCTTACTCTCTCGTCCTCATTCATCACCACTCAAGTCTGTGCCTTTCTCTCACTTCCCCATACCATCACCACTCAAGTATGAGCCGTTCTCTCCCTTCCCCATTCATCAACACTCAAGTATGTGCCGTTCGCTCACTTCCTCGTTCACCACCACTCAAGTATGTGTCGTTCTCTCATTTCCCCATTCCTCACCACTCAAGTATGTGCTGTTCTGCCGTTCTCTCACTGCCCCATTCATCACCACTCACGTATGTGCCGTTCTCTCCCTTCCCCATTCATCAACACTCACGTATGTGCCGTTCTCTCCCTTCCTCGTTCTTCATCACCACTCAAGTATTTGCCGCTCTCTCATTTCCCCATTCACCACCACTCAAGTATGTGACGTTCTCTCACTTCCTCATTCATCACCACTCAAGTTTGTGCGGTTCTCTCACTTCCCCATTAATCACCACTCAAGTATGTGGCGTTCTCTCACTTCCTCGCTCATCACCACTCAAGTATGTACCGTTCTCTCACTTCCCCATACCATCACCACTCAAGTATGTGCGGTTCTCTCACTTCCCCATTTATCACCACTCAAGAATGTGCGGTTCTCTCACTTCCCCATTGATCACCACACAAGAATGTGCCGTTCTCTCTCTTCCCTGTTCATCACCTCACAAGTATGTGCCATTCTCTCACGTCCCCGTTCATCACCACTCAAGGATGTGCCGTTCTCTCATTTTCCCTTTCATCACCACTCAAGAATGTGCGGTTCTCTCACTTCCCCATTCAACACCACACAAGAATGTGCCGATCTCTCACTTCCTCGTCCATCACCACTCAAGTATGTACCGTTCTCTCACTTCCCCATCCATCCCCACTCAAGTATCTGCCGTTCTCTCACTTCCCCGTTTATCACCACTCAAGTATGTGACATTCTCTCAGTTCCCCATTCATCACTACTCAAGTATGTGCGGTTCTCTCACTTCCCCATTCAACACCACACAAGAATGTGCCGATCTCTCACTTCCCCATTCAACACCACACAAGAATGTGCCGTTCTCTCATTTCCCCGTTCACCACCACTCAAGAATGTGCCTTTCTCTCCCTTCCCCATTCAACACCACACAAGAATGTGCCGTTCTCTAATTTCAACATTCATCACCACTCAAGTTTGTGCGGTTCTCTCACTTCCCCATTGATCTCCACTCAAGTATGTGCCGTTATCTCACTTCCCCGTTCATCACCTCTCAAGTATGTGCCATTCTCTCCCTTCCCCATTCATCAACACTCAAGTATGTGCCGTTATCTCACTTCCCCATTCATCAACACTCAAGCATGTGCCGTTTTCTCACTTTCCCATTCAACACCACTCAAGAATGTGCCTTTCTCTCCCTTCCCCATTCATCAACACTCAAGTATGTGCAGTTCTCTCACTTCCTCGTTCGTCACCACTCGTTCATCACCACTCAAGCATGGGCCGTTCTCTCACTTCCCCATCCATCCCCACTCAAGTATCTGCCGTTCTCTCACTTCCCGATTCATCACCACTCAAGTAAGTTCCGTTCTCTCACTTCCCATTCATCACCACTCCAGTATGTGTCGTTCTCTCATTTCCCCATTTATCACCACTCAAGAATGTGCGGTTCTCTCACTTCCCCATTGATCACCCCTCAAGTATGTGCCGTTCTCTTCTTTCACCTTTCATTACCACTCGCTTATGTGCCGTTTTCTCACTTTCCCATTCAACACCACTCAAGAATGTGCCGTTCTATCACTTCCCCATTCATCACTACTCAAGTATGTGCCGTTCCCTCACTTCCCCGTTCATCACCTCTCAAGTATGTGCCGTTCACTCACTTCCTCATTCATCATCACTCAAGTATGTGCCGTTATCTCACTTCCCCATTCATCCCCACTCAAGTATGTTCCGTTCTCTCACTTCCTCGCTCATCACCCCTCAAGTATGTACCGTTCTCTCACTTCCCCATCCATCCCCACTCAAGTATCTGCCGTTCTCTCATTTCCCCTTTCAACACCACTCAAGTATGTGCCGTCCTCTCACTGCCCCATTCATCACAACTCAAGAATGTGCGGTTCTCTCACTTCCCCATTGATCACCCCTCAAGTATGTGCCTTTCTCTCACTTCCTCGTTCGTCACCACTCGTTCATCACCACTCAAGAATGTGCCGTTCTCACACTTCCCCATTCATCACCTCTCAAGTATGTGCCATTCTCTCACTCCCCCGTTCATCACCACACAAGTATGTGCCATTCTCTCCCTTCCCCATTCAACACCACACAAGAATGTGCCGATCTCTCACTTCCCCATTCATAACCACTCAAGGATGTGCCGTTCTCTGATTTCCCCATTCATCACCACTAACGTATGTGCCGTTCTCTCACTTCCCCGTTCATCACCACTCAAGTATATTCCGTTCTCTCACTTCCCCATTGATCACCACTCAAGTATGTGCCGTTCTCTCACTTCCTCATTCATCACCACTCAAGTATGTGCCGTTCTCTCACTTCCTCATTCATCACCACTCAAGTATGTGCCTTTCTCTCACTTCCTCATTCATCACCACTCAAGTATGTGCCGTTCTCTCACTTCCTCGTTCATCACCACTCAAGTATGTGCTGTTCTCTCACTTTTAAAAATCTGGGAGGCCGTTTTTGATTGTTTGGACAAATAAGGAAACAGTCAGTTTCAGCCAAGTTGGAGAATGAAAGGGATTTATTAAGAACACCCCTCTCATTGTGCTTATTAGATCGAATATGGTATATGAAATTACGATGCATGTAACTTGAACTAATTGTTCGTGCATACTTTCGATGATTGAACCTTTCAAATTTCTATAATTTTGTTGTGTTTTTATTCATATTGAAGATTATACAACATTGTGTTCCCCTGACCCAAGAATGCTCTAGATCAAATGGGGTTAACGTCATTTATTTGTAGAAAAGGAAAAGAAAAAGGACATATTTTCCCTATCAGGCCCTGCCCTTCTGCCCAAAGAGAAGCCACATCCTCGATTTATTCAAAAGTAAGTCCTCTTTTATCTTACAAAGCTCCACACCCAATTTAGCCAAATCTGATCAACCATTCTTGACAAGTAGGGCTTTCTAGGAACAGTTGACAGGTGAATGGACAGACAGACAATGGACACAGCACCATAGCATAAGCTCATATGGCCCTTCAGACCAGGTGAGCTAACTATTGTTTTTCAATATGTACCTCTGTATACGTTTCCTATGCTCCTTGCGTTTTAGATTCTCTTTCACTTGTTCTCTCTCAATATCCATGAACAAACGTCTATAGGTTGCCTGCTGACTCTTAAGGCGTTGCTTCTCCTCTTCTGACTGCACCCCCATATAAATGTTTGGCACATGTGGGACTGATCTGTTGATCTGGGTACCACTTATCGTTGTGACTGCAATACAGATAAGAGAAATGGTAAAATTATCATTTTTTACATGTTACAAAAACACTACTATAATTGCCTGAATGTTACTTTAATGTGTAGGCGTGTACCCATCCAGCCACGGACCACGCTCTGTGTTTCTGAAGGAGTGAGTGCATCCAAGGGTTATACCGCATGATGCAAAAACTTGCTTGCCAGTAAGGCAATATTTTCCCCTTACTTGACTGTTATAGTACATAAAAAACTTATTATTATCAAATATAGATATATTTATAAGATCTGCTGGTAATAAAAGTATTATAGTATCTGCTATGGATATTTTAAAAGATATTGAACAAGGTGTATATACATCTTTATGTGCTATCTACAAATATCTATATTGAATGTGAAAGGAGTTGACCTTGACCTGCCATGACCCAAAAATGCTTACTAGCAGGTGTCAACTTATTAAGCACACAAGTTTGTTCTGTTGAGGTGAGAATATCGAGTAAGAAAACACAACAAAAATGATGGAGAAACATATTTTTCCTGAGAACAATTGTCTTTGAAAAAGAACACTATTGAACAATATCAATTGGAAAGGTGAGATGGCAAAACAAGCTCTGGATATTATCTTTTTTTTTCTCACAAAAACTAGGGAAAACATTTAACATGAAGTTGAAAGTTATAGGACAGACAGGAATTAAAATGATTTCAACTGACTTTGAAGAATGACCTGAGGATTAGAGCAACATGATGCCTAATCATGAACCATTGTATGTACATCTATATCTAAATTAAATATACTAATCATGTAACTCATAGATTCATAACGAAACCTTCAGACCATAAGAAGTTGTATCCAGGACAAGCACTAGTTGACCTCTGACCCTTCACTAATACCTTGACAGCTATGATTCAAACCTTAGAGTGCTACGTTATACAACATAGTGACTAGCCACGTGCACGTCCATGAAATTTTAAGAAGAAAGCAGACAAATTGTTAATGTAAATATTTACTTGTTTTCCTTGCTATTCTCTCCTTCCTTGATTCATCTTTGCTTGGTTCCAAATCAAAGTGTACCATTTTCATTTGTTTCATGTTTTCGAGGTTGTCGTCAACATCTTGACTTCCTTTTTACACGTAAATACCAATAAAAAATGTAATAATCATGAAAAGTAAATTTAATTCTGGACAGCAAATGAATACAATCAAATTTTGCTACTCAAATGTTTTTGCAAGCTCTCAATGATGTAATCTTATTATAACATTACATATTGTTTATTTATTGATAAGAATATTACTTAAGTGACAGTTTATTTTATTTCTGATGATCCTACCTGTAGGGATGACAATTTTTGGCTGATCTGTTTGAGACTGCCATATGTCATCCTCCTCCTCCTCATCTTCATCATTCAGTTCAATGACGGTAGGTTCCATGGTGTGTCGCGAGGATGGATGCTGTAGATTTAACAACAATACAAGTTCTCAGTTCATCAGTAGTGATAGGCTGAGGATCGATTATTTGAAAGTTGATTGGTTTTGATTCCCATTATCAATAACAAATTCCATACCGATAATCGATACAATCTGTTCATTATTGAAATCAATGTGCCAAGTGCATACAATGTTAAGGATGCATTGGAAGTTATTTATTTTTATGACATTAACTATATGATTGACAAAACTGAACAAAAGTTGCTTGAAATCCATTTATTATAAAAGAATGAAACCTAATGTAGATTTATCAACTATGTCTATTGATGTAATAGTAGTGCTCTCACTTTATTTGTGTATGCAGTCCCATAGAGTTATACACCGACTATGCAATCAATAATCAATCAATATACTTTTCAGATTACAAACCAATTATTGAGTATGATTTTGATATCTACTGTATTGGAGCATCTTAAAGCAACATTTCCCTTATTTTCCTACATTTTTTAAAGCATGTAGCAATATCTGCAGGCATTTTGAAAGAAAGTGTCTAGAAGTAAATTGGGGAAATGAAATCAAATATTCAGATTAAAATTATTTGGTCACTTCTTCTTCCTGTTTTGTACCTAACTAGGATTTTAATATCAAAAACAAAATTGGCTACAATCTCATCAGAAACAGGAACAAAAAGTCAGTCCTATATAATTCATGTACAGCAGGGAAAATCCTGTATAAGGAGGCAAATTTTACATAAATTAAAATGTGGTACATCATTTTAAAATTAAAATATTTCAAGGCAGAAATATTGTTTTCAAATTGTCTTATTTTTACCCCGCGCTAGGCCTCATGTTAAATGCATTTCTGGTCATGAGGTGTTATAACTTGCCTTATATATAATGTATGTAAACAAACTTGTTTTTCCTCCCGAATCCCCCTCAATCCAGCAATGAGTTCCTGTACTAACAGAGAAGATGTCATAATCAGAACTAAACTACACTTACATCTCTTGTCCTAGACACTTTCCAGACACCACCTGGCAAATCATCTGGTATGAAATCTTCTGTGATCACCTGTTTAGAACTGAGTTTCTTACGAGCCTGCGATGTGAATTTGTGTATCTGAAATATGGAAATAACAATTAACATTTAAACCTTATCAAACAGACAACATTTGTCCAGGAGAATTTTGGCATTGTCAAGGGGTTCAGCAATAGTTTGAAGGAGCCCTTCAATAGAATTGCTAAGAAAATAAAGAAAAATACAACACTGAAAAATGTTAGCAATAAGTATTTTGGTAAATGAAACATGGGACATGATACCTGTGTCATATGTACTTGGGTTTTCCAATTGCATTAACAGTCGAGCCTCATTCATCCATTCACCACTTATCTCATATTCATATATCCCGTCCGAAACCAAACTCTTTCATAATCCAGCCCCTTTTACCGAGAACAATGGTGACTGGATGAGCCAGACTCAACAACACAAATGTTTCCAGGAATATATAGGATTCAGAATACATTGTACGAAGCATCGTTTTTTGAATAACTTCAATAAGTACTTGAGCTTAAATACATGAAGATGAACTCGCCTGGTTTGTCTGATCTTGAAAAGCTTTGTTTGTAGCATCCCTATGGTCCTCTGATAAAATAAAACGAAATCTAAGTATAAATTTAAGGTCAAATAGAACTTATTTGTAATTCTTTGTTGTGGCTAGTTCTTAAAAACATGTAATCATAATTTATTTTCTATCGCAGTATTCATTTACAATGTTTCCGTTTGGCAATATAGCATGATGTGTATATCATAACTTGGCTGTTTTTTCAAGCCAGATCTCACAAAAAATGACACAAATCATGTCTTTTAATTGACTTTTAGTATCAGGTGTTTACCATTAAAAGTTTACTTTACATCAGAAATTTTCAGATAGCTTGAAACCTTTTTCTTACAAATTAATTGATCAATCCATGTTTTTTTGTGTTTCTGTTTGATACAAAAATACACCATTTGTATAAATAAGTTATCCATTTAACACAAACCAGCAAAAGATGATGATGTGTTACGTTGCTTGATGGTCAGGGCATGGTTCCTCTGTACAATACAGTTATCTTTCCTTGGAAGCGTGTTTTCCTTTGAAAAGGCACTCTGTCGGACAACTTTTCGCTCATGCTCAACCTTATAAAAATGATATACATGTATTACTGATCATGTTAATTTCAGCAAGTTTATGAAATATGAGTTAATGTGCAAAAATCACCATTCATTTTTCACACAAAGTGTTACAAGCTGTCTGAACAGAGCCCTACATAATTCATAAAACATGTGTAAACAAGATTTTTTCCTAGGTCCCTTTACATTCTGTATATTCATGATCAGCCTATGTAATAATAAAGCCTGTCCATTATAAAGAAAAACATTCATAAATGTATTTTCATAATACAATGTAACAATGTAACAGATTCAATATCTGAAATATTTAAATTCATACAGTGTCCATTAGTTGTTCACTAGGTAGACTGGAGCAATCTGTGTATCTAAGGACACAACACCACTAGATATGACAGCTGCTGACATTTGGATAATGCTAGATCATTCTGAATTCAATCAAACTTACAGCTCTGTAACTCTTTTCAGTTTCTTGTTGTTTTCTTGCTCTCTCCATTAATCTCACTCTGTGTTTAACATCATCTTTAAATTTTTGCAATCTTGCTTCCTTTTCTTGTTGCATTCTTTTAATCCTTGCATCTTCCTCTTGTGCTGCAGTCTGATGTTAAATCAAATTTTTGTTTTATTCAAGACATTTTACAGAAAAAATGAGAAAATGTAGTCAGCAAATATAGGTAAAATGAAATGAAGCATTGAAAATAATCGTCAAGGATTGCTACTATCTGTTTATTTATCCAGTCTAGAGTTCAGTATAGCATGATGTGGTGGTTGTACTCGGGTATTACATTATCTGTGCTGTAGTACCTGGTATTTATCACAGCCTCAAACACTCATGCAAACATGTGAGGGTAATTTGCTGAAATACCTTAAGTACAAAGTGGTATACCTAGGCCTGTATGTAGCACTGTTGTATACATACCTATGACCAAATGAATGTCCATCAAAAAATTTGACATCAAGAAAGATGGACCATTTAAGTGGAAGTATCATGTATTTAGACAAAGCACGCTCTATACATTATGATTAAATGGAATTTTGAACAAAGATATAAGTGGCAAACAATAGATAAATGTGTATGTACTCGGCTCCTCAATCAGATGGGGAGCAAAAAGGCATGATTCAAACACACACAACCTCAAATGACCTCGCAATTGCTGTTTCCAAATGACTCAATTTTTTGAGGGTATCAGAATTAATGTTAGAAATGGAAAGGAAGGATTTTTTTTTATAAATATTCAAATAAATGTAAAAATAACATCTTAGTGTTAGCTTCTAATTTTACCTGAATTTGTTTCCAATATATCAATTAATCAAAATCAAATATGACGATAAGATAACATGCAGCATTGTACATTTTTTCCCCTTCGCATAACATTCCATGTGTAACAGAAGAAAGAAAAAAATGTAACGCCTAGACCGGGTTTCCAAACCTGGGACCCTCCAAACTCTAGATGGATGCTCTACAAATTGAGCCACCTGGTCACCAATGATCGACCCAGTCCTGTTCCACTATATTCCTCCCTTCATTTTCTAAGTCTTCGGTCCTGAAGACACAACCATTTACAACCCATGCAAGTTCAGTTTGTCCCCTTGCTAAGCGTACCCACAAAACTAGGGCTGTCAAGGTCGCCAATTTTGAAACAGGACAAAGAGAAAATGAAATGGCCAGACGGGGGTTAGAACCTGGGACCCTCAAAACTCTAGACGGACCCTCTACCAATTGAGCCACTTGGTCGCCGATGATCGACAAAGTCCAGTTCCGCTTACACATGTATAGCCCCACCTCCTATCAAGAAGAGATGCAGCCACATTCATATGTGCTACATGTACATTTTGTGACATCAAGACATCTACATTGTATAACGTCATTATATCTGTTAAAATGCACTGAAGTAGAGGAATGGTCAAGGAAAGGGATTTATTACATTTTTGCCAGTGAAATATTGGATTCTATCAACTTGATAAAACTGATATCTTTCACACTGTGACAATTAATATCAAATGTGATATTTGGTATTGACCAATCTTAACGGTACCCTCTATTTGCTGCATTCAAAGGTAACATTTTTTTTGTTCAGATTCAATGAAGCGACGGTAGAATAAGTGGTTGTTATTGTAAATGTTTGGTACAAAGCAATCACACCAGATAATAGCAGAAAACGTTGAAATTGCGTTGAGTATCCCATTCAAAATGGCACACAGCCTTGTTGTTAAGCGTAACGTCATTAAAATATGGCGCTAATTATTACGCTTCTGATTCCAACCCTTTTTTAATGCATTACATTTTTCATGTTTTAAAAGAAATATGCTTTAAAAATGTAATAAATAGAAAATTTAATGGTGTCTTAAGTAATAACAAATATATTTCACTTGTGTGGCTAATATTTTGATATGTTTCACTCGTGCTAAATATCAAAATATTAGCCACACTTGTGAGTATATTTGTTAATACTGAAGACACCATTATATATTTATCCTCTTTGTGTGTTTATGTTGTCTATATTTCATCAAAACATCCCCTAGGCCTGTGATAAGATATATAGATGTGTCTGAAATTCTGACTGTAAATTGAGATTTAACTATAAAAAAGGTTTTTATAATAATAGCCTTATTTTGCATATGATTTTTATCTCAATTTACAGTCAGAATTTCAAAATACCTTTGGATAAGCGGCCCTGGATTATGGATAAGGTCTTTCTACAACTCAAACAGCAGACCGGGGTTGGGGTGGGGATTTCATTATTTTAACATCGACTATAAGCTTTGCCGAGAAAGTATGATACGAAGCATTGTTATCGATATTTTGTACAATGATCCAATCCTTCTCAAGAAACTGTTATTTCAAGTTCAGACATGCAAATTGTAATTTTAAAACCGTATACAACATATTTTATGTACGTACTACGCCTTCTGAGTGTACAGAAATGGATGGCTGAACCCATGCACCAACGGCTCTGATTTCAACATTTCTGTTACCCATAACATCTGTGCTTATAACTGGTTTGGATATCTTTCTTAGATAATTTTCACTCGCTGGCCTTGTTTTGGACGCCATTTTCAAACAACGATCTGCGTCATTAAACTATTAGAATATTTCTTACGTGGTAAGCGTTTTACTGACACCAAAATATCTGACACAGGAGAGTTCCAAAAGTGTTTTCGCCAAAGAACAACCATGGAAAGAAACAACACATCGACAGAAGCATCAAATAATATATTTAGTCAAGATTCTGCGTTTTTAAAACAATACCAAGCTGGACTTCAAAAACAAAATGTGAAACCTGCGGCATCACAGCACATAAGTCTACTGACGGGCAAAGTCGGTACCACGTTTACCAGTGGCGCTGGAAATCAAACAGTTATGCCAGTGATGGCAGGGCAGGTACTGCTGATTCAACCTTCTTCTTCCTATGAGAGACGAATCTCCAAGATTAGAGCGATTAGTGTCTCTGGACTTAGTGGCCATTGGCGCATGTGCGGAAAAAAATATAGTTAGAATTGAATGAAATAAGCAAAACTATATATTATATATTGGGGGGGGGGGGGGGGGGGGGGGGGGATTTCGAGTCGCACAGCATGACTGTGATAAATTAGAAGTAGTGCAACACGATCACACAATTCCATACAGGACATGTATAAATAGGCCAGCCTATGTTAGTGGGACAGTTGAAGAGAAGATGTGTTTGACGGTGTACTGTATGTGTGTGTGGGGGGGGGGGGGGGGGGGGGGGTAGTTGTTTAATGTGGAGGGTCTAGGCCAGTCTTGAATGATTTAAGGCTGTCTGCATCAGAGGGTAAGCTGTTCCAGTCCGCTATGGTCCTTGGCATGTAAGAGAACTTGAAAAAGTCTTTGGATGCCTGAATTGGACGATAGCGGTGGTTCCCACGAGTCCTGGAGTCGGCCTTGGTTAAGTACTGGTCGGCTGGTATAGCTTTGAGATCGTGAGTGATCTTATAGAGGTGACCAGCCTGGCCTTCCTCCGACACCTCTGCAGGGAGTCCCACTTGAGGGAGTCAACCAATGCCGAGACACAACCTGAAGTTCTCGAGTGAAAGTCATTATAGACGTTTCTGGCCGCTCTCCTCTGGACAGCCTAGAGTTGATTGATATGGTCTGCTCGGTATGGGTCCCAGGCAGAGCATGAGTATTTAAGTTGAAGTCTATCCAGGGCAAAGTACATCGACTGAACACTGACTTCTGTCAGTGAGATGAAACCTGTAAGGGCAGATTCATGTAGGCGCGAAACCCGTCATCCATCCATCCATCCAGGGCAAAGTAATTGAGGGCTTTGACCCGCCTGGTGCATCCAGACATGTTGCGGCGCAAAAGAATCCTAAACTTCTGTTTGCCTTTGCACAAATGCTGCTAACATGTGGGCCCCAGGACAGGCTATGGGATAAAGTTACCCCCAGGTACCTGCTAACAGGGACTACCTGTAGTGATTTCTGGTGGAGTGAGTAGTAGAAGGAGATTGGATTACGTTTTTTAGATGTCCTGATGACGAATATTTAAAACATTTATCGCATTAATGTTTCTAATTTATCTATTTTCTGAGCTACTTTTTGTCTTACAGTGTATTTTCTAAGAGTTTGGCTACTGTACATTTATATGAATGTTCCAGGTTTTTTATTAAGAACATGAATTTGAAGTATGCAGGCCTAGTTAGCCCAGGTTTCCTCTGGCCCAGACATCAGATTAGACATTTTGATAGATAGCTAGATGTCTGGTGTCTTGGCCAGAGCGCACTTCTATATGAAAACGTGGAATTTCTCCGACACCGTTTTGTATCAGGAACTCAAATTTTGTGGTGATGACAACAAAAATCTACTATGACACAACACATACACCTCACATATATATCGATAAATGAATTATTTATTTATCCAAATTCAATCTTATTATTATATAATTATCACCAATAGAATTCCACATTTTCATATAGTAGTACTAGCGTGCTCTAGATCTGTCCCCACATGAACACCAGACAATGTCTAATGAGGCTATATATCACAAAGTGTAAATGCGACAGGATGTGTATCAATTGTGATACCTTGTTATTATTATAGTGATGTGCGATACCTAATTCACATAACATATATTCCTGAAACTGTGCACCTGTTGACACAATAGCACGTAAATAGATTTGCTGTTTTATTGAACTTTCTACTACATTTTACAAGGCTTTATGATATGTTAATTATTGTTTGGTGTAATACATACATGTATGGGTTTTTTATTATGTATATATATAGTTATAGTTAAAATGGCAATAGAAAAGGAAATATCAGTCTAGTGTAATACTCATCTTAGGTGATTTTATTGTTTATATACTATACTCTACAGCCACAAATGGGAGGTGTAACAAAGGTAAGACCACCAGTTGTACAAGGGCCTAATCCAGCTCTTGTCACCGGCTCACCAGGATCAATAGCACACGCTATGCTGGCACGCAATCCTCTCCGGTAAGTCATCAACAAAATGTTTATTTCATTTTTACTCTTGAATGAAATCAAGGTCTACATTCTTGACAACTTTTTTGAAATTTCCATGGGGGAAATTCTGCATGCTCAAAATTAAAACATAAATAAAATGTCTGTATATATACCCCCTAGAGGCAAAATAACCCTTTAAAAATAACATATTTTGAGTTGTTCTTTCAGATGAAATCATTAGATCTTCAAATATAGGGATAGTTAAGCAAACTAACTTGTTGAAAATGCTCAATTTAAGGGTCTAAAATTGAGAGTCTTCCTCCTAAATAAGGAGTCCAAGAGTTGGCAAGTATGGGTCCATAGGAAACATTTATATATTTTGATAAATATTTTTTATAGAAAAAAGGATCTCTTGATTTTAGCAGTGCTTAATTTTAATATGGCAAAGGCATTGTATATATCTATGAATTGAATCTGCAGGGACCTCTGAAATATATTTTTCAGATTTGTTATATAAATAATTACTAATTGTATGTTACTTTGATGAAAGGTTTAAAAATCAATAAACGTAATCTTAAATGAATGGTATTTACTTAAGGATTAAGTAAAAAAAAAAAATGTGTTAACACAATGACTTGTTGTGATTTTTTGCAGGTTTCCAGGTACAACCCACCCTGTGCCTGGAAGAATCATTACCAGACCAATCATGGCCCCAAACCCTTATGTCAGGAAATGGAGACGGCTCAAAAAGGTCATCAAGGATCTCATGTTTGTAAGTGTTTTGATATTTCTCCATTTCAATTGTTATTGTGAAAAATTATTAAAGATCTTTTGTTTGTATGTTTCAAGAGATTCAACTATTACTGTATAGTGCTTTAAATTCGCGTCAATATTTCACAGTTTCTTATTCAGTGCATATTTGCGGGTGTTAAATTTTGCTGTGCACCTGAATCCCGTATTATAAATTGATAAAATGAAATATACAATGTGGACTAGAGGCAATTAGAATTACAAGTTTACCAGTTTTTGTCTCGCTGCCACGATAGCGGAAACAAAACTAAGGTGTTGCTTTTCCGACGGTGGCGGCGTCAATTAACATCTAGTTTTTGCGTTTGTTTCACTGAAAGTATAAGTGCTAGACCAACCAAACTTGGATCATAGATGCATCTAGGTGGCATAACTCAAATCATGCATCAAATGCTGGATGCTGTCTACCTTTCATGGTCCATTGACTTTGTCAGCATCTCCATCAACATTAAGTTTTTGCGTTTAAGTTAGTTTCTCTAAAACTAGAACTACTACACCTACCAAACTTGACATGTGCATTGATGGTCAAAGCGGGGGTAGACATATCAATCAGTATGGCTTGTTTAGTAGAGATAGAAGCCTGTTTTTGGTCACAGGGATTGATTAGTGCTGTTGTACACCCAGGTGAATGCTGCGATCTGTGATGAGGTGGTGAGAGTGGAGGAAAAAGTGGCGAAAGCTAAAGAAGAGAGACGGTAAGTCTGAAGCTGATTCTGCCTGATTTAGTTTCTTAGTGCATGGTGGTGTGGACAAAATAGCCTACCAATTTATACCTTAACACACACTACTTAGGAAATATAAATCACAACACAATATATTCACCACAGGTATAAATCAGGAAAGAATTTGTTTATTTAAGTCAGTAGGTTTTTGGGTTAACAATAAAAATTGTTGCTGAAACTGAATGTAAAAGCTTGTAATCTTATATAGTAGATATTTTATTCTATCTTGTGTAGAAGATGATTTTGAGCCCCATTCATCCAACCAACAGTAACTCAATTGCACATATGTCAATATCTAACCAGCATTTTTTGGGGAATAGTACTAGTTCTTCTCTTTTCTCTTAATATCAGATAAGATCTCAGATATACCATGGCTCCACAATGTAGGCACTGTGTGGTGTCTAGGTTTACTGGATTTAATTAAAGAAGCATAAAAAAGGAGCTGGAAGTGATGGACAGTTTGCTTAGCTAGTCTAGCTTGATGTGCCTGAGCTTTTAATATGTTGTGTCGTCCATTATCTGTCATCTGTCAACTTTCATGTTTTAACCAGTCATTACACGAGATAAAGTGCTGTAAATTTTCCTGTATTATTGACCTTGACCTACTTTCGTGGTCAGTCTCAGCGGCCGCATATGTTGGTGAAATGAAACCCTGTTAACCAACATGCAATTTAGAGTTCACAGATATTGTTCGATGGTTAAGCTCATCTTGTCTGCCACAATATGCTTAGTTGTAATACACATGATAACAGTGCAGATGAGTGCTGCAGGCCTTTTTGTCCTCTTGTTTTATCTCCAGAATGTACAAATGTTAATCAGGTACTGTTTGTTCAAAACTCAGTTTTATTTAGAATTCAGACATATTAGAGAAAATATATGAATAATTGTCTTGATTTTGAAACAAGTCTTGAACAGTTTAGCATACTAATATATCTGTCTCAATATGTTTGTATATATTTCTAGAAAATAATTGTCATATGTTTTTTCCAAATTTCAGGTTCCTGTTACGTAAGGTTTTGCATTACCAATCCTACACCGAGGGTGTACCTACACCTGATAAATCCTCCCCAGGTGGCGCACCTGTCAAACTGAGTGGCTTGTCCTCGGGAGAAAGTAGTGATCCACAGACCATGAAAGTCAAATCTAAACCAAAGAAAAAAGTGCCCTCCACAGACCGGAAGAAAGCTGCTACAACTAAAGAACTTTTAGGTGATTAAAGTCAACAGATTCATCAATATAAAAAAAAACTCAAGCAACTTTATTATTAAAATGTAAACAGATTTAGCGGTGACTGGATTACCAATATTCTAATTTTGATATAAAGTGAAACCCTCTCTACAGAAAATTCTAATGTGGAGTCCATACCAGCATGTTTGCCTTTATTTTAACAAGCCTCATAATTGTTGGCAGCAGTGGTGATGCTTGGTATTAGTTGGCCTAATGCATACTTTTCTATTTTTAGGTCACCTGAGCTTTAACAAAGTGTTGTTATTTTTCGGGTCGATCAGAAATCCAATATGGCCGCCACAGCCGCCATTTTGAAAATACCAATTCAAACTTAAAAACAAGTTATAATAGGCCGATCTAACTGAAAAATGGTCTAGGAATGATCAGCTCATAGTCCTGACACACTTAAGTTAACGTTATACTTAACAATTTTTTACTCAAATTGGTACATATTTCAACAACAAAAATAAATACTGTAGACTCAGGTGACCGTTAAGGACAATGGGCCTCTTGTTGTTATTGCTTTGATGTTATATATATGCCATGAGATATTTAAAACATTATGTGTAATTATCTAAACTTGTTTTTTGGGGGTAAAATTATAGATGGTGTCCAGGTGAAACCAAAGAAGAGTAAAAGTCAAATCATCAAGAAAGTCATTCCTCCTCTGCAGTTAGACTCAACTGGACGTCCCGTCTTCCCTCTGATCCTCGGGGAACTGACCATTCACAGTATTGGAGAGGTAACTGGCTTTATTTATGGGTTTGCTGCATACAATATGTGTGACAACAGCATACAGTTATCAAGCACTAACAAATAAACTATCTGGTACTTGTACAATGTTGTACAAAGTGCTGGAGAAAATTATTTGACACTTCTTGTATAATGGCTGGCAACAGGTGCGGTGAAGTTTTAGTTTTGCAGATGTTCTTGTGAAGAAAAATAAAGAACAGAGAAATGTTAAAATGTATCAGAATTTAGTACATTCATATGTAACCCTAGCGGTCATATTATGAAGTAAACATTTTACAGTACAACATGTTTATAATAAACTTCAGGGGACCTACCCGGTAAGACATGATGGAGTTATCTTCAGTACAGAAAAAAAAATCTAGGAGGTCTACAGAAAGATTTTAGGTCTCTCAGGCCCGTTTCTAGTATCCGGTTCAACTGGTTTGTCTGTATTTAAATGTAAAATTACAGGTATAACTCCTGGCGGACCTGCAGTTGTACCGGATGCGAGAAATGGGCCTGAGATACCTAAAATCTTTGTGTAACCAAAAGGCCCAGGGTACTGATATTAGGCCTGTAGCATGCTGGGATGAAGGGCTACCACGTTTGTTCAAATAAATTACCTTGACTAACTTTCAAGGTCACAGGGGTCAAATGTCGTAAAATCTTCAAACGACTTCTTCTCTATAACCGAAAGGACCAGGGTACTGATATTAGGCCTGTAGCATGCTGGGATGAAGGGCTACTAAAATTGTTTAAATGAATGACCTTGACATATATTCAAGGTCACAGGGGTCAATTATGTTAAAACCGTATAAACGACTTCTTAATAAGCAAAAGGCCAAGGGTGATGATATTTGGCCATTAACATGCTGGGATGAAGGTTTACCAAGTGAATGACCTTTGCCCATATTCAAGTTCACAGTGGTCAATATGTTTAAATCTTTAAATGATTTGTTCTGTATAACCAAAAAGTCCAGGGTAACGATATTTTGCCAGAAGCATGCTGGGTTGGAAGACTATAAACTCTGTTCAACCTAATGTCCTTGTTCGACATTCAAGGTCACAGGCATCATATGTTTAAATCTTTTAATAGGTTCTTATGAATCAAACACTGATATTCTGCCTGTATCTGTATTTTTGTCCACTTTTAAGATTACAAGTGTGAGATTAATACCAGGTGAGCGATGCAGGCCAATTTAGCCTCTTGTTCAACTTCAGGCTAATTCTACCAGATCAGTATAGCAAAATGTGTTACAAATATTCTGCCATTGCCCACACTTTGTGTTGTTACTTCTTTGAAACCATTCATTTCAGCTTCTGGTCTTATTCAGATAACAGAAGATGACCAGGTCAGCCTCTTACTTGATGACAAAATGTGTACTTTTCTGTTGAAATAATATCTATCTTCAAGGCTGAAAATCTAAGATTAAATAATTGACCTTTGACCCTAGATTGTGACGGATCGCCCAGGATTCCATACTCCTAAGTGCATCTACCCTGAAGGCTACTGTAGCACTAGAGTGTTTGCCAGTACCAGTGGAGACGACCAGAAGTGTCTGTACACCTGTAAGATATCCGACGGGGGGAAAGGACCCATTGTGAGTATATGTCAAACTACAGTGTAACCTACTGTCCTTATTTTATTAAATGCCAAACTTGGCAAGCCATAACATCCAACCCCCCCAACCCCACCACCCACCCCCTATTTCACTTCTTGAATAATCTTATCTCTAGATTAACGAAGAAGGGAGCTGGGTAATTGAACCCAGGTATCACAATATTCTGCATCAATTCCAGTTATAATCTTTTTGAAGACCAAAATTTGATTTGGTTGTTTATTGTATTAAGAGTACACTCTCCTCCAACCCCCTTTTATTGTTGAGTACCCAATGGTAGGTAATAAAGCATATGCAATAAGAATACACTTACCATAATATAAATGTGACCATTTGGTAAGATTTGACAGGTTTTAAAAAAGTATATGTCATATTCAGTAGTTTTCATAAGAAAGGGGATCAGATCATTAGGTTGGATTAAGATATCGGAATACTCCGGAGTCAGATAAGACGGAATTTAATGTATTGCTTTCTCAGGTCGGTTACACCAGCTGTAAAATAAATAGAGAATATTTAATGGGACAATATTCAAAAAGTTAGGAAGAATACCAATGTTTTTCTGAAATGTGAATTACAAGTGAAAAATATCAGTATATTCTGCCATACGAGTGATATATATGTATAGTATTTAATGGGAAAACCGTTAGAATAGTAAACTATTGCTGCATCAAAAACTGCAGGAATTAGCTATAGTTGTGTGATATTTGACACCAGGTTCTAATCATAAACATATCTTCACCGCAAGTTGTATCATCACATGTGAAAATACAACATTTCTTGCAGTGAGGTGCAAGTTTTTATTACATGAAAATGTTCAGATTTTTCACTGGGAAAAGTATCATATAAGTATTTAAGTAAGTATGATACATTTATTACTACAGTTTGAGATAGCACCTGAGGACAACACGGACCGCGTACTGAGAAGTGATTCTCCGTCAGACTGTCACAACCTCCTTATCACTGCAGTTAATAAAAGCAGGTGGGTGTATTTAGTAGACCTGTAACAATACAGTCATATGTCATCATCACATCACACTTCATTAATCATTTGATTTGTCATCTTTTCTATTGGTTTATGATCATGATGTAGCATTATTTACCATATTTTCCACTGTATGACAGATACCTGTACAAGGTTTTCTCCTCCTAGGGATTGACAAGGAGATCTTTTTAGGCTGCTTTCATGCCTGTGAAGTGTGTGACATACTCTAGCTTGTTGGAATTGGTTTCAGTACATTTTATGACTGACTTCTGTAGAACTTAGATCCCTTTGTCTATTTGATAGAAACTTAAAACATCTGCAAACTCAAACTTAACTTTCTGGTCAAATTTTACAATGTAATACCCACCGCAGAAACTATTAAGCACTTACATATTCATCGAAGTATCTTTTACCCTTTAAATATATGGTAGACATAAAATTGTGATAAGAGTTTACACAAAGCTGTTAAGCACATGATCAGCAAACATTCAAACAATGACAAACTTTTGTATCTCTTGTGTGTACTTCAGGACACCAATCCAACAATGCAGCTGTCATTGGTTGAAAAGACATCTGCTGAATCTGAGTTTTTCATAAGTATATATAAAAAAAAATAAAAATATCAGAAAAAGAAGCGAGTTTTAAAATGCAATCCTAGTGAGGTCAAAACTTTGCAATTTTCAAAGATTCAAAGGTTGGTAATACAGGGTTTAACAACTTATTAACAGCTAAGGTTGATGTCTTTTTATCTGATGTAAAATGCTGATTTGTATGCCTTGTTTATTTACTATATTTATAAATGTGGCTGTAGGAATACTGTACTAATATATTCATGTGCTGTAAAGCACATTAAGAGTAATTTTGCAAATTATAGTGTGCGCTATTAAATGTTGTTTATTTGATAATATTATTATGTGGTCATTTGAAGAGTCAAAGGACTAGCTTTTAGCCAGCATATATAACCAGGCCAATATGCTAAGATGTCTGCAGCTGTATACATGTACAAAGTACCTAGTTGTTTCATATTTAGAGATTAAACCTTTAATTTGAAACGTGTCCGCTAGCTAGTTTAGTTCAGAACTTTAGTCTTTCTCAGTAATATATAAATAGTTGATTCTGAATCAGCACACACTGTATTGTGGTATGTTCTGTCTTTTTTTCTCCCAGAGGCAACAATATGCTGGACTTGGTTGGTAAGGGAGCAGACTTCTTCGGTTTATCACATCCGGTCGTTCAGAACTTAATACAGAGCTGTCCCGGATCTAAACGATGTCCAGGATACAAATGGGTCAAATTTGAAATCAACAAAATGGAAACTGTAGAAAACCTACTCACCGAGTCCTCCAACGACCCTTCAATCAGCTACGAGGCTTTCAAACTATTAACTAAAGGTAATTAGACTGAACAGAAACAATGCTGATCTTCCAATATTCAACGAAAGATTCATAATGGATGACAATTATATTTAGTCTATTTGAAGATATTTGACCCATGACCCTAGCTCTTTGAATGTTGCAGATGTAAGATAAATAAAATGGGTGTATGTGTTTCTATATAGGTTTAAATACAACAAACTTCTTTGAAATAAATGAGCCTTTTGTATTTTGACAGTTTTTAGATTTTAACTATAATACTGTTCCAGGGGCTCTGTTACCGGGAAAGGCGACGTCTCTTCTAGAAACTTCAACGAGTCTGCGGTCATTACTGACCAGTAAACCAAATCTAACTGGAAATAAAGCAGCCAGCAGTAGTGTGGGATGAACGTATACTGACCAGTAAACCAAACTTGACCATTCGTATAGCTGATAGCAGTGGTGTGAGATGTTTCTGATTCCGCTTCTATATAGCTACCAAGCTATGGTCAGCATACCAACATCTAATGGGAATAAAGCTGCCAGCACAGGTGTGAAATAATTCTGATACTGCATCCACCAAGCTGTGGTCAGCATTGTGACCAGTAACCAAGCATAAAGCTGCCAGCATGTGAGTGGAATGATTGGGGACACTGTATTTACCAAGCTATGGTCAGCATACTGACCAGTAACCAAGCATAAAGCTGCCAGCATGTGTGTGGAATGATTGGGACACTGTATTTACCAAGCTTCGCTCAGCATACTGACCAGTAACCAAGCATAAAGCTACCAGCATGTGTGTGGAATGATTGGGACACTATCTACCAAGCGAATGGAAATTACTGCCCACTTTAAGTAGTGCAGGATCTTATACTCTACCGACTTTGACCAGTTAATTTACTGAGTGGTATATATATTTCGTAATGCAAAGCTTAAGGACAGCATATTAATTATTCCATCTGTGTATATGATGAGTTTCGATGATATCACAAAATACTTTAAATTTTACAATTTCATGGCACCAATATGTACAATTTTATGTTTTTCATACATTTTCAAACTATTGGTATATCGAACAATAATGTGACCAATCAGAGTACAGCATTTATGGTGTAGGTAGCATTAGCACAAAATTCCGACTTAATAGCCATTGGTTGTATGTTTTTGTCAATTCATTAACATAATATATTTATTAGAAATATAATAAAACAACATCCCACAGGGATCTTGGCATCCATCATTGTAAGGTCTTCATTATTAGTTCTCTATAAGTTTGATCTCTTTTCTTTCCACTTATCTCTTGAATTAGATATTCAACAGTAAATGCATGATCTGTTGACTTCAGATTTAGCTCATTCACTCCTGAAGACACTTTTGAGCTCTTCCAATTCAAAAGTTGGAATATTTCAATATGAATTTTCAGGGTGAATGAGTTTATACGACAAGTTTGGAATTGTCCTTTCAATGTGAGGTTGTGTTTTGATCTGTAATAGGAGAAAGAGAAATATACCAGACCGAGATTCAAACACAGGACTCTCCAAAGTCTAGACGGACAATCTAACAATTGAGCTACATGGTCGCTGACAGTTGATCCAGTCCAGTTCCGCTACAGATCTATTAATCAAATTAACTAGCAGCGTGCCTTCAATTTTGATATGATGACTGATATGACATAATCCAGGGGCACAGAGAGTGCAAATGAGCATAACCCCTGATGTATCATTTACAAGGATGCCCTGCTACCAGAAGGGCCATACAAACTACCTTCTTTTAATATTGAGTTCTTTTTCCCCAACAACGCTCCAGACAAAACCTACTGAGCCGTTCAGGATTAGTTGCATTTTGATTAAAATAAGTTAAAGAAGATGTGGCTGACGATCTGAGGCACGGACCAATCCATAACCATATACCTGCTTTCTGGGCATGAGACGTTCCAGAGGTTCAGCCTGGCTCTTGAAGACATTGTTTTGTTGCATAGCCTTGAACGCATTGAGTTCTCCTCTCCATATCAAACCATATACGTATACAAAATGCTTGGCATGAAGAGGCAAATGTATATATATGATACATGGCTTGGCCCCAGTGTCTAGCCCCACCTCTTGAGATTAAGTGCCTTGGTCACAATATTGAAACTATCAATATCTCCACTCCATAAACCATATGCAGGTATATATAACAGTTTGGCATGAACAAACAAAAAAGTTTACAGTCGTGCTACAATTACTGCTTCGGTGTCCTAACAGTCGAACCCAGTGGACTGAAGTCCTTCAATACTGTTGTAATATGGGTTGTTTATGAAATAAATCCATACAAAATCACATAAGTAAATACATGTACATTTATGTCATAATAGTTCCACTACAAATGTATGAATATACATTTTAACTCGATATTACTCTGAAGTTTGAATTTTGTAGGCTCTACCATGTGCGTAAAAGAGCAGTTGACCTTTCTTCGTAACTCTGTGACTTTTTTTACTACTTTGACAAATCCCTAGCCTTGTTTCACTTGGTGACCCATCAGCAAGTATGTAAGTGAAAGTACCTAATCCTTGAGCTACTTCCCATCATGATTTTTTTAACCAAAAATCTGCAGTTAGCAATGGTCATCTTTAACAGTAAAGACGTGTATTGAAAGTAGGATGTTATCCATATTTCTTCACAATACATCTACGAAATTAAAACAAACGCTAGAATTACATGAAAATTATATATTTCTTCCTTTTCTCAAAATCACAACTAAAATATGAAAACGTTTTTCACACTAAATGCCTTCCAAAACCCCACTTTAATAAACTATTTAAGTGTACTCTCTCAAAAAGTTCATATTTATAACAAAAATTCCTTATTCTTCAAAAACATTTTCTGAAACCTGAAGTGTTCAGAGGAGGATCTAATGTGTACTTTCTTTATGAAATACCATATAACGGGTTATTTATGCAGGCTTAAAGTTTTGGGATTGTGACCCAAAATTAGTTAATTGAATATATTATACACAGATTACAATCTAGACATGTGAAGGAACTAAATGTTCACAGCGGTTTAGTACAGAGACGGGACACTGCGTATGTACACTTGGCTAATAAAATGTCATATTCAAATGAAAACACTTTATTACAGCATATTGAGCAACAACAAGTTATTTTGTTAAACAAAAGCTTCAACAAAACAATTGCATGTGTGGTATAATCTATTTTTAAACACCCAGTAATACTCCTGATGTTAATGAATAGTTACCACATACTCGCTATTTCACGACGACATTACGGTTATGAAGGTTATTACCCTGGCTTTATTCTACACATCAAATTATTCTGCAAATCAAATGTTTGTGATCAAGTTATTGACCTGCGAAATCGCAAAAAACGTCATCCCCACAGAATTATCCTGCTACATGTATAAGGTGGGGTTTTTAATTGAATTCTAGCTCAGAGCATTCTTTTGTATACATTTGTGTATCTATTCACGAGTGTAAAATTTGGAGTTGGATTGACCATACTCTTACAAATTTGTCATTTTGAATGACAAGTTGAGTGCATTGACATTGCTGATTATTTCCTGTGAAGAAATAAAATGATGTTGTGAAAAAATTATAAGACACTTCTTGCATGTGAAATTACTTCATTTGTGAGTTAAGATTCAATGATGCACTGACCGAAGCAAGTTCAGTAATCATGATAAATCAAGATATATGCAAGTAATACTAATTTATATATTTATTATTCAAAATACAGTCAACTCACCACCAATTTTGTCAATAATTGACATGACCTATTATACTAAAGCCAGAAATGTCCTCTCCTTTTGTTTTTTGGTAGAAACGGTGCACAGTTTTTGGACTTTTTACAGACATACAATTGCAGTGTAAGGGCAAACTCAACAAAAATACTGATTGAAAACCAATCATGTTAAATACCATACTGAGCTGATTCCAACATCTCTCTTGCTAGAACTTAGGAGAACTTTTCCGTGATAATCCATAACTTGTAAATTTTGTTTGCTTGTTGTTGTTCACAGTTTTGCAATCCTAGACATTTTTAAAATGTGTTTCTAGAGCCTCGTGTAGACAAATGCATGTATATACAATACAGGTTTGAATTCACTGACAATGGTTCAAGAGGTTACATTCAATTTCTTGTCAAAAACGTATCGACCGCTACATTCCTTTTTATAGGCTCCCTTCAAGTCAATATACCAGTTTGTATGTAATGACAGTTTGAAAATTCTGCTACAAAAATAAAGCTCTTAAATCACTTATCACGATGTCAAAGAATCCTCGTCTTCACCTAGTTCCTTTAGTAAATCTTTCTTAAGAGCCTGTAAACGTTCTTGATATTTAACTTTTTGCATATGTTGCCCTATAAGCAAAGCAGAAACAGTCAGTATCCCAAATCCCAGCCGGACAGACATCAGTTGAGTACTTCGTCCTTCTCTGCCTTTATACGCAGCTCTAACTCCAAAGAAAATTGTGGTGAAGCTTCCCAAAATCCCTAAAACAAGAAAAAAGCTAATATGTATCATATATATGTAGCAATCAAATAACATTTACTCAGCTCCATCCTCGATACTCCAGGGATTACGCTCACTTTTGCTCTCTGCACCCCTGAAATATGTCGAAGCAAAATTGAAGGCTCAGTGTGCACCACTTTGTGGATGAGGTGAGAAGACTAGTATGATACTAAGTAACTTTGATGTACACCAAAATAATCTGTCAATCATGCATCAGGTAACAGTAAAATTGACTTGCTTTTGAAGTTGGGTGTCGCTACTATTTAATCTTCAAAGGACAGGTATCAGACCAGCGATTGGTCAGGGTTTTTCACCCAAGACTACCATAATCAAACAGCTAGCCGTGTGCCTTCAATTTCGCAATGACATATTCAAGGGGTGCAGGGAGCGAAAGTGAGCGTAAGGAATATTGAGGATGACTCGGCTAAAATATTCTGATAAGACTGCATATAAGGAAAAAATTGTTTCCACTAGAGTGGTGTTCTTATAATTGATGTAATCATTATTTTGTCCTTCGCACCACATAATCGATAAGGATTTCTCCTAACAGATCATGCTTTGATCATTCAGTAGAATAACAAGATGCTCAATGAGCCTGCATTGCTCACCTGCTATTCATCTCACACTTTTCACCTGAAAAGGGGACCATTCCCTAAAATTAAACCAGTCAATCACACCACATTTGTCAGCATGTGGCTGTCATCAACCTCGTGAATATAGAAAAAGTGTCTGTGAGAAAATTTTGAAACTCAGAAATGGCATGTTTTTGAAGGAAACAGATACCATAGGAGAATTCATTTTAGGTGCATATAGGAGGTTTCTAAAGGAACAAAATTACTCATCTTTCTAATGAAACAAAACATTGTTTGTACATCAACTAGCAATGTCTGGTTTTTGATGCAAGAAAGTTTGGAGGGATAGATTTTTCAACATTGAGAGCTTTCCACCCCTCTAGTTTATATATATATCATCTTTGGGGGGGTGGGGGGCGGGGGGAATGTTTTTGCCGAATGTTGATCTTAACCCCAAAAATGTGTAAAAATTCTCTGAACACCTTAGTTTAGGTCCAAATATAGCTGTAACGAATTATCGCGTCCCTGTGTTTTAAGTGTTTCGGTCTAGAGTGCAGAGGTCCAGGCCAGCCAGGTTTTTATCCTGGTCTTGCTGATCATGAGCTGTTGCATTTTCCCTTTCTTGTTACAAATATAAGCTTGCTCAAAATACAATACTGTGTGACAACAGACACTTTTGCCTTTGAAGGACTCAAAAGTCACCTACCAGTACCAGTCCATAATTAAACCCAACACCCTTCCAATGAGCTACACAGGTTCTTAGTTGTCAATAATGGGTTGATTAATAGAATCTTGCCCTATGCCTTGAGGTGTGACAGAGAAATCTCCAACCCAAGGGACGATAATCTTGACATTCTTACCCAAGGCTCTGCCGAGGGTAAGACAATCGAGAATGTCATCCCGAGGTGCTGGACTCACAAAAATCATAAATGTGGCGACATCCAGTACCAGAGGACAAATGTCCCGATCCATATATTTGTGTGTAAACTCAGCAACTGTAATCATATACAAGTATATATATGTAGTCGGACGAGGAAAAGTGATAAAGATAGTGCCTCTGCTGAGGCTCAAATCGCGACCCTTGGCTCTCCAGCCCGATGCTCTACCTCTGAGCTAAAGAGAAATTCCCTACAGCCGACGCTTGTAAGGCAACCTAATTAATCCACACCTTTTACATAAATATAATTCATCACCTCTAAATGCCCAATACTATCAAATATCATCCAATACTAACCAATTATATACACAATTCTACTTCAATGCCGCAACATATCATCTAAACCACAAGTATTTTAATGATTTCTCCTGTATTGTCCCAATAAAAATGTCCATGTCTACCAAATAATGGACCTACTTCATCATTTTGAAGATAATGTCAATGTAGGGTTGTGAGAGTATGTGCATGGCAAAGAAGGATGTGTATATATGTAGTCGTATGTATGAAATACTAATGATTAAGTGAGTGAAGTTTGGTTTAAAGGTGTCAAAAGATTTCAAAACATACAGATCTTCATCTGTTCTACTTCCTCCGTCGATACCGACGATTACGGAATATGGTCTTGTGCTGTTGTGCGTTTATTATTGTGTACAGTGATTTTTTATTTTTGTTATTTGCTATAGGATAAAAACAGTGAGTGAGTGTTAGTTATGTTGTAGGTTTTGTATATGTTTGATTATGTTATTTGTGGTGCATGTCCTGAATGCACTTGATATGGTGCAGAACCTAGCCAAAAACCCATAATTACGACTCAATACTACTGCCACACAGATATGACCCAATAATACCCAACACAGACCTCGGGTTAGTAAACTTTCTTCGTTATACGTTCAGTTATAAATTCTATTTTACACCGCTGAATACAGCTGTTTCGTGTTCGTCATTTTATAATAATATACATTGTATATTTACATAAACTTTACCTAGTACAACAATAGGACTTTGCTTCATACGATAAATAGCCCTCTCGTTAAATGGCATAGCTTCGACATGTACTGCTCCCTTGGTTAATGTTTCGTAAGACTTTTTGTGATCTTCTCTTTCGGCTTCATCCAATCTTTTTTTAATGGTTTCTCGAGCAGAGTCCGTTTCATTGCGGTAGATTTTCCCAGGTGCCAGGTAAGTTCCGCCATATCTAGTGGCCAGGTCACGTTTCTCTGCTGCAGCAGAAGCATCGTCATCGTTAGGAACTTTCGGTATAGGTAGATAGTCCAGAGTCATTTTCGGCTGCTATTAATACCCTTGCAAAATTATGAAATCAGTGGTAGTTTCGTAATTAGAACAGACAGTGTTAAAGCTCTATAATGCTCTACCACGTTACATAACTGAGACAAAGAGTTTAAACATATTTCTTGATATATAACTACATATCACACACTTATTGAAAGGATAGTCAAATTAGTAATATACGAAAATACGGCCGCAATAATGAAAAATAACCAACAAAATCACCGAAATCAGCCGCTGCGTAAGTAACAAAACCCTTTATCGGCTAGATGGGCCTGATGATAGTGTAGTAGAGTGTTATACGACGTTACGCGCAAAGTTGGTGACACCTAGCTTGTGTAACGCAAAATGACGTCGTTTTTATAATATTTTATGTCGCTTTTAGACTTTTTATTATATTTTGCATCATTTGGTATGTCCCCTTGTACCGTGCAGACAAAGAAAAATGATCATTTGAGCTGACAAACATTTTTCATAATTGTTGTGAAATAAATTAAGATTAAAATTTGGCCGGAATTAGGGGAGGATAAATGTAATTGTGGGGACAGTGATATATTCTCAAAATCGTTTCCATTGTTTCAGAACGAGTCGGTTGCCCCAGTTTTGCATTTTTGATTAAGTATCAACGTCAGATATATCTGTTATTTTTACTGTAGTTCTACAATTATATTTATAAGTATTGACTTTATCAACGTAGTGTTTCGAAAATTGTAATGATATGTTTTATTTAATTCGAAATAATAAAATGGCCTCACAATTTCTACTGATATTTGACACTAAATTTTGTCCAACGTGAGTCCCACAGGGTGGAATCCAATCAGTCACCCTGTTTGGTCTTAAAATCAATGATATAGTCAAATGTCTTGGTCAATCAACAGAAGGGTCGTTATTTGTGGATGATCTCTTGATCTGTTACAGATCTAAGAACATGCACACGATAGAACGACAACTTCAACAGAGTTTAAACAAACTACAAACTACAAAATTGGGCAGACGAAAATGGCTTCAAATTCTCTAAAACTGTGTGCATTTTCTGTCAAAAACGAAAAGCACACAATGACCCAAGTCTTACACACGATGGCACTAGAATTCCTGTTGTTGAACAGACTAGATTTCTCGGCCTCATTTTTTATTCGAAATCTCTTTCATACCACATATATACGAGTCCTTTCTCATACTGATTGGGGAGCGGACCGTGTAATGCTTTTGCGTCTATACAGATCACTTATTCGAACAAAACTGGATTATGGTGGTAGGCGCGCAGTACTTACCTGCATATGCTAGACCCAATCCATAACCAAAGGCTACGTCTAGCCCTTGGAGCTTTTCGAACAACACCTGTAAAAAGCCTGTACGTGGAAGAGAATGAATCAGAAGGAAAAAACTTGCATTACAATTTTCAGCTCAATTAAAATCAAACCTAAAAATCCTGCTTTTGATTAAGTATTCAACCCAAAATACCAAAGCATCTTTATGCAAAACCCAAAACTTCTGCCAACATTTGGTATCCGAATTTCAAATTTCCTGCAAGAACTCATCATTAAGTTGACTGACATAGCTGAATTTAACATATCTGATATTCCTCCGTGGACCATTCAAACCCCTGATTTTAACTTTTCATTACATGAGCGAAGGAAATCAAGTGCTATGCCCGAATAACACAAATCCTCCTTTCGGGAATGCATTTCGAATTACCTTTCTCATACACAACCTTACACCGATGGTTCCAAAGAAGGTGAGAAAGTGGCAGCAGCCTGCTTTACTGCTAATTCTTGCACTTCAGTTCGACTACCCGACGGCGCCTCGACCATATCGATGAACACCACATCAAAAAAGCAATAATTTGTTCAGACTCTCTATCTGTCCTACAGAGTTAACAGTTAGGAGATCCTAAAAACACACTTGTAAAAAACCTTGCTCTTCGAATATCTCGTAAAGTACAACCGAAACTTAAAACATCTATTCCAAGTCGGAAAGATCGTAGAAAAGAAGTCGTCCTCGCTCGGCTCCGTACTGGGCACACATATCCTACTCATTTGACCTTTTAAAACGAGAAGATCCACCTTCATGCCACGCATGTGACACTCCATTTACACTGGAACATTTTTTAATAGAATGTACCGATTTTAAACACATTCGCGATAACTATTTTCAAGTCACGTAATATGAAAACTCTTTTCCGTTCCGTGGACTCGAAGGCATTTTTTAACTATTTGAAAGACATCGGTCTATTCTATAGACTCTGGTGTCTTTTAACCCACCTTACCCTTTTTGACGTTATATATATCACATAGTCCATATCATCAATTCGTTATCTCTTTTATTATTTCAACATCCTTTTTATTTTAATTATTTACACATACAATGCGAATGCTTTTAAAATTGACCTTTTTATCCGATATTATCTTCGCTACTCACATGTTTGTTAACAGATATTAAATCACCATGGCCCTAAATGATCACAGCCGTCGATGGGCTGTTAAACATAATCAAACAAACAAACAAACAGGTTTAATTTTGAACGTTGATGCTCAGGGGGGTTGGGCTACATGCTCCATTTAATCCTGCGTTCGTTGCCTATCAGGTACAGGCAACGTCGCTACTAGTCCGAATTAAAAAAAAACTGTGTTTGAAGATGTCGCTGTTGCATCGGTAACAAACGAACATCGTCGATATCAAGGGGTTACGCTTACTTCCGCTCTCTGTATCCATGGAATATGTCATAGCAAAATTGAAGGCACGCTGTTAGCTATTTGATTGGTGTCAGTTAAAAAAAAAGCTGACCAATCAGGCTGATACATGTCCTTTGTGGATTACAGAGGAGCGACATCAGACTCCAAAGCAAGCACGTTTTACCGTTACGCGACCGCGAGTTTCTTTTGATGTAATCAAAGGATCAAACTAGTCTTCTTGTGTCATCCACAAAGTGGTGAACACTGAGCCTTCGATTTTGCTATGATATATTTTAGTGGTGCAGAGAGCAAAAGTGAGCGTAATCCCTGGATATCGAGGATGACTAACGAATGACTGGTGTGTGGTGGCTACTGACATGTAGATGTCTGATGTGGGGACCCTACACCAGACACCTATATGTTAAAATGTACAAGTCTGTTGGTAGGGACAGAGGAAACTTGGGCTAGTGGCTGCTATATATAACATTGTCAGCTTTTGCTCTCGTCGTCTGTCTGTAAGAGGTGTTAGGTCCAGAGACGTCATCATTTGGGTTACACTAGAGTGTAGAGTAAAAGTAGTCTTTCGGCTGTCGAGATCGACGGATTCTCATGAGATATAGCATTAACTGCCCACTTCTGTAGTGACTGGTCCTTTTATAGTTGTATCTGATCAGTGATCGACTTTACGCGGTCGTTTACATAGTAGAGAAACATTAGTGGTCAAAGTACTGTGCCCTGTGGAACGCCAGAACCTACTCTAACTGTTGATGATATTTCACCTTCGACTAATACTCGTTGCTGTCGGTCAATTAAAAAAGCTTGATTCCATAATGCTCTAATTTATGTAGTAATTTCCTATGAGGAACAATGTAAAAAGCAAAGTCCAAAATGACGAGGTCAGTTTGAGTTTTATTGTCAAATGATTTCATAATTCCATGCATGGTGATGACAAGTTGAGTTTCACAAGAATGGCCAGACTTAAAATTATGCTGTAGTGGGGCAAGTACGTAGTGTTGCTCGAGGCGGTTCATGATATGTTTTACAATGATAAAATAATTATGCTCCAATATTTTGCAACATACACTTGTCAATGGTATTGGACTGCAATTTCCGGTTTCTTGTCTGTTTCCTTTTTTTAGATATTAGAGCGATGTTGGTGTTTCTCCAGTCCCTTGGTAATTCCTCTGTGTCTAAGCTGTATAGATTGGACTGCAATTTCCGGTTTCACTGGACACGTGTTGAAGTTTCAGTATTTTGTATGTAAGCAAGCCCATCTTCTCCTATTTCCTGTATTTAGTGATGTTTTCATGATGGCGTTCACATAGTTCCAGTGTGACTTCCTTGTTTATTTCTGTGTATTTCGTTTATATCCCAGTCCTCTGTGTTTCTTGTTTTCTTTGCTTTTGCAAATAGATGGGGTTTTTTTTCTTCATTTGTGTTGATAGTTTCCGGGTTTGCCATGGAAGGCTTCGTCGACTTGAGATATTTTGAGGATATACATGTATGATCTTCCATTATTTTCGTGATTCGAGTTATGAATTTTTCTCGCACCTCAGACAGAGATATCCCACGTCATATCCCATGCTAGATTTTTCTATCTCGTCCGATCTGTCTTGTACCTTTACGTGACATTTCGCGGAATCTTGACACTACGATGTATTCATCTGCGCGTTAACTGCTTGAAATTGACAATTTGCATTATAAATGTCCTGTTTTGTCGTTATTGTATAGTTTTGATGTTGTTAGATATTTGATGTTGTAGATAAAATATATTTTACACTGTGAAATACATTGTGATCTAAGTAATGACGGACTACGTTTTTACGCGGAAGCATTCAAATGTAGCTTAATTAGTGAATATGTCATCATCATTTGAGGCCCAAGGTGGGATACTTGTAGTTTTTAGCAAAATTGAATTATTATTTTCGAAATAAAAATTGCGAGTGAGATAACCCGATCTCGCTCAGTTACAGGTTATAGATTTTATTAATCCAATAACGATTCTTGAAACATGATGTCTCTACCTTTGTTTACAATTTCAGCGCTTATTAGTTTGATCATGTCTTGCTGGATCTATTTTTTTCTTCTTTTTTAATGAGTATCTATGCCTTCTTTTTGGTTTGTTAGCTCACCTTGCCCGAAGGGCCATGTGAGCTCATGCCATACTGCGGCGTCCGTCGTCCTTATGTCAACTTTTTCTTTTCAACGACTTCCTCTGAAGAACTTTTTTGATATTCGGCCAGTAGGTACCTGGGTTGGAGTCCTTTAAAGTTTCCTCATGAAAATGACCTTGACTTACGTTTAAGGTCACATGGGTCAAATATGTTAAAAACCTGAAACAACAATATTTTAAGAACCATTTGAACTAGAGTCACGATACTCGGGTATGTTATTTCGCTCAGTTTCGCTCAGATGACATCGTTGTAAGCTTGCTAGGAGCTTGTGGTGATGTATAATGTCCTTTTCTTATAATGTGTGCTGTACACACGCGTACTAACTTGACTTCTGGTTGCTATATATATAGCTAGTTACAATTACAGGTTCATTTCTTTATCTGGTAGGGTTGGAGTATTCAGCTCCCACTGTTGATTCCTCTCTTTTACAATTTGATGGTTAAAAACATGTGATTTTTAAAAGCATGGTCAGTGCCAAACAGTCAATTTGTTACATTGTTCACTTTTGACTGATTAGACTTGCATATATATATATGTAACTAATAAAAAGATGGCTTGAATTTTGTCGGGTGATTGCTTCCAGTGGCTGTTGAACCGTGACTTGAAGGTGTTGAGCGTTGGAGAGGTTACTAACTCCTCCGTTAGAGAGTTCCACAGATTTATCACTCTGTTGCTGTAGAAATTACCATACTGTTTAGTCTGCATGGTCTTTTGAATAGTTTCCTGGAGTGCCCCCTGGTTCGGTTGTCTTAGAATAGTTTGCCCTTGTCAAGAATGTCCATGCTGTTTAATATGTTGTAGGTTTGAATTACGTCAGCACGATGTCTTCTATATTCGAGAGTTGGGAGTCCGAGTTGTCTTAGGCGTTCTTCGTATGGTACGTTTTTAAGGGTTGGAATCCTTTTGGTTGCTCTTCTTTGCATGTTCTCAATTGTCGTTTTGTCGCGGATCAAAAATGGTGATGAGGTCTAATCAGCGTTTTGCATAGAGTTAGGAACATTACAGGGCTCATGTATGTAAAAGTCCGGAATATTATGCCCAGCATCCTATTTTATTTTGATGCAACTAAATTGGCGTTGATGGTGAATTTCAGCTGATTGTCTATATGGACACCTAGGTCTTTCTCGTATTCCACTCGTACGATTGGGGATTCTTTTCCATCTTGAGTTACATTGTATGGTGTATATATGGTCACCTTGTCTCTGTCCGAGCTCAAGATGTTTGCACTTTGTGGTGTTAAGTTGCATGAGCCAAGTTTTGGTCCAATCACACATATGATTTATGTTGTCCTGTAGATTTTGGTGGTCTGCTAATGTTACATTTTTTGCAGAGAGTTTAGTGTCATCCGCAAATAGTTTGATCGTACAGCTTAACATATCAGGCATGTCGTTGACATAGATCAGGAACAGTATTGGTCCTAAAACACTCCCTTGAGGGACTCCACTTGTGACTGGTTTCAGGTTTGAGGTTGTACCATTGATCGTTACTCGTTGTACCATATTTTCCAGGAAGGCTTTTATCCAGTTTAAAACTTTCCCCTCAATTCCATACTGTTCTAGCTTGTGTACCTAGAAGCGGTGCGAGATCTTGTCAAAAGCTTTACTAAAGTCCAGATATATGACATCTATGTTGTCACCAGCTTCCAGTCCTTTATGCCAGTTTTCCAGGGATTCTAATAGTTGTGTAGAACAGGATTTCCCCGGTCTAAACCCATGTTGGTCTGGTGTGAATAAGTTATTCATGTCCATGTGGGTTAGGATTTCGTCCCTTATTAAACCATGCATTATTTTTGATGGTACCGACGTTAAACTTATAGGCCTGTAGTTATCGGGGTCTTTTTTGGTCCTTTCTTGTAGACTGGTGTCACTGTTGCCTCTTTCCATGGTGTTGGCAGTTAGGATGTGTCCATTGATTTTTGAAAGGTGATTTGTAGAGGGTTTTTTAAGGCCTCTGCAGTTTCGAAAATGAGTTTTGGATGTATACCGTCAGGTCTAATCAGGTCTTGTACTTCCAAGGCCTCGCTTATCTCCCTTATCACTCTTTCATCCAGTGCCTTGTTGGTCAAGGGAGGATTTTGGTCAGATTGTTCTGGGACGTTGAAAAGTATGATGTTGTTTATTTTACTCCTTCTTTCTTCCAATTCTTTGTTTCGTGCATCCACTAGGGCATTGACATTTTCTTTCATCTTTGACTCAATGTATTGTTGGGATTTATTCACCTCCTGTCCTATCCGGAGTGTTGTTTCAGTTTCCAGTTTCGATAACCTGGTATCAATAACTTTTAGTCGTCTCTCATTGGAAATGTGCAGGGCTTTCATGGAGTCGCCGATGTTTTTGAGTGTTGGCTGAATGCGCTTGCATGCTGTGCAGTTAAAAGATACACTCGCAATGTTGTTTGCTACGAGGTGTCTGTATACTTCTGTTGGCAATTTTGAACATTCTTGACAGAATTTAAGGCCACAACATTCACATGTGATGAATCCCGTGTCTTCGGCAAATACTGTGTCACACTTACCATAGCTGCATGATTCGGGATCTAATTCGTCTCTTCTTCTTTTACTTCTTTGGCTGTTACTTTCCTCCTCATCGCTGCTGTATCCTGAATTAGCGCCCATCTCTGCAAGGGTTCTAGAATGTATGGATTGAGGGAGATGTTAAATAGTTGCATATACATTTTATGTACAATGATTAAGAAACAGAGTTATAAGTATCCGCCTCATCCAGTATGATGCCAGTACTGGTCCGGGGTGAACACCGTCCTTCAGGAGTACATACGAGGTCCTTGCTGTTGTTTTGTTTTCCTAGTCTCTCGAGATGTACACAGATCCCCTGAGAATTTTGGAGCTGAGATTCCTAACCGGATGATGATTTCTCTTATTCCCTGGCTAAGTTGTTCAATCCTAGAGCGCAGTTTGGTCAGTTACAGTGAATATATCACAGTTGCTGTGACCTTTGTAACTATTCCATGTTTTTACTGAGTAATGGGGGCACTCCAGAATGACAATATGAAGCCTGTCGTTAAACTGGTCCTTTACTGGTATAAGCCGCTTGTATTGCTCAATTACAGCATCTGGTAGGATAGACTCATTCAGATCAAAGTACCTGTTGACTTTACGTGTTAAGTCGCACGTACCTGACCATAACGCTAACAATACTGGGCCATGTGTGCTTATAAACTGGTCTATATTATCGAGTTCACAAGGTAACTGGTTCCCTTTCCTGGTTTAATATACCAGCTTATACTTGAAGCAGCATACCGACCTTTTAGTTGATCTCGAAGTTGCCTCCCCGTGCTGTCAGACACAATGACAAGATGGCGGGGAAAATTCGGCGATTCAAACAGATTTACGACTTCTTCTTCGGTTCTCTGTAAATATTTAGATAGTCTGAACACTCTGATTTGTTCCGTTTCACTTATTTTCCTAAGTAATGGAATATTCTGTTCATACACAGACTTGATTACGATGTATTTGAATCGTCGTGAAAAGCAAGGTAATAAACATCGCTCAGCTGGCCGTCAGCTGGTCAGAGTTGCACATTATCATTTTTCGGAATTTACAATGAAAGTTTCCAAAATATTTAACTATTTATCGCCTCGATATTTTTTGCTACTTATTTACCAATCCTCAAGATATATCAATCTCAGATTACGCATTTAAATCACTTTCCTCGTTGGAGATTTGATCCTCTCAAAATTTTCTGATCCGCCATAGGTGCGCGCGCGACCAGCTGTGTGCATCTTTGTTATCTGTATCTGTATCTGTATGTTACTGGAAGACCTCAAATTTGAGTATAAATTCCAGGGTTGGAGGAGTGCGCTTTTAGTTATATTGTTTCATTTTGTAGTGCTGTCTTGAAGCTCTTAAGTTTTTGCAATTTGACGAGGTCTTCTGGTAGATTATTCCACTCTGTTGTTGTTCGAGGAAAAATTTTTTTTTTTAATATGTCCGTATTACACTGGAAGTGTCGGTAATTTTCACTATTTTTTGATCTGGTACGGGTGTTTGATGGAGTCAATATGTGATCTACAGGTATGGCCACTAGCCCCTTCACGATCTTATAAAAGAGGACAAGCNGGGTCCCATATCGTACAGCTGTATTCCAGGACGGATCTCACCAACGATTTGTATGCTGTCAGTTTCAGTGACGCTGGACACTTTCGTAGGTTTCGTCTTAGGAATCCTAGAGTGGAATTTGCCTTGTTGGTTGTGATACGGATATGAGAGTCCCACTTCATGGAGTTGTGAATGGTCGACCCCAAGTATGGATTTTCTTCTACTTCTTTGAGTAATTGGCCCGACAGTTGGTAGTTGTAGGCACTAGGCGATTTGGATCTTGATGTTCTCAGGATATAACATTTTGACGCGTTGAAAGACATACCCCATTTCGTTGCCCATTCTTCCAAGGACTTGAGGTCTTTTTGGAAGTCCAGGTGGTCTTGGAGGCATCGAATTGGACGGTATAGCAGACAATCATCAGCAAATAGACGTACAGTAGATGTTACGCAGTCGGGCAAGTCATTGATGTGACAGAGGAAGAGTATAGGTCCCAGGACCGTCCCCTGGGGGACCCCTGAATCTACCTTAACTCGTGTTGAATGGCTGCCGTCTACAAGTACTCGTTGGGTCCGTGATGTCAGGAAGGCCTTGATCCATTTTAGTATGTCGGGGTTCACACCGAAATTCTCTAGTTTGTACAGGAGTTTTGAATGGGGAACCTTGTCGAAGGCCTTACTGAAATCCAGGATGGCAGTGTCCACTTGTAGCTTCCTGTCGTACATGCTGGTGATGTCATAGGTGGTAATTAGTAGCTGAGATTCACAGGAGTGTCCTGACCTGAAGCCATGTTGTAGATGTGTCAGTATGTTGTATTCCTCGAGATGGTTCCTGAGGTGGCGGCAGATAATATGCTCAACCAGTTTACAACACACACACGTGAGCGACACTGGCCTGTAGTTGCTGGGTTAATGGCGATTACCCTTCTTAAAGATTGGTGTGATGTTGGCATTCCTCCAGTCATCAGGGAGTTCACCGGTCAGGATTGATTGTTTGGATATATGGGTCATTGCAGGGGCAAGTTCGTTTGAGCACTGTTGAAGGACACGATTTGCTAGGTTGTCTGGACCGCTAGCCTTACTGACTTTGATTTCACGGATCAACTTCTCAACTCCCTTCTCATCTATAATGAGGTTCCTCATGATGGGATACTTGGATGTGGTGAGAGGTGGGAGATCCGGATCGGGGGGCTCCTTTGTGAACACCGACCGAAACTGTCGGTTTAGGGCCTCCGCCTTGTCTGTACTGTCGGTGAGTAGTTTGTTACCCTCTTTTAGTGGAGCAATTCCGATGTTGTCCTGCTTCCTGGCCTTGATGTATCGCCAGAAGGGTTTGTTGTTTTTCTGCTCAATTCCTGCCTGCAATGTACGCTCTAAGTGGGACCATTCTGCAGTTCGGAGAGCCTTTTGGGTTTCCCTTTTGTGGACTCTGTACGCACGCCAGTCAGCATCCTTTCCACTTTTCCTAGCCTTGTTGTAGAGGCGATGTTTCCTCTTTATGAGGCGGCGTTCTGGTCTGCCAACCCATGGTAGCTGATTTGGTTTCGTGGAGGTCAATTTGGATGGAATGCGCTCGTCAATGATGGAATTTAAGCCGTTTTTGAATTCCGTCCAGTTTTCCTCAACCGAGTCACTAGAATTAGTGATTTTGTCACTGAGGTTGGTCGCATCCTCCTTAACAGCCTTCCAGTCAACATTCTTGTACATCAGTACTTTACGCGGCATCTTCTTGTGGTACACAGGTTTGATGTCCTCGTCTATCGTTACCATATCATGGTCTGATATACCGGGGATTGTCTGTACATGTTTGACAAGAGAAGGGTTGCTGGTGATGTAGAGGTCTAGGACATTTCCGTTCCTACTAGGCTGTTTCTGGACGTTGGTCAGGGAGAATGTGTCCAGTGTGTCCAGGAAGATGTTATGGACAGCTGATTGTGTCGCTCCTGGTGTGACTGAAGATGAGTTCCAATTTATATGTGGTAGGTTGAAGTCTCCTGCTAGCAGCAGATGTTTATAGGATGAGTTGGTGATTTTGTTGATTGATGATTCTAAGCCCCTGATGTAGTCCTCGCCTGTAGCAGGTGGTCTATAGTATGAGCCTATCCTCACCTTCTTAGCACCTTTGAGTTGCACCTCCACCCATAAAAGTTCACTATTACAGTCAGGATCAGGAATTTCTGATACTGAGAAGCAGTCTTTAATACAAATAAATACTCCTCCTCCTTGGTGGTTCCTATCCTTCCTAAACACAGTAAACCCCTCTGGGAAGACCTCACTGTCCTTGATGTTACTGCTTAACCAGGATTCACAGCCTATCACTGCATCAGGTAGTCATAAAAGGAATGAGGTCAAATGTCAACTTTATGTGCTAGTCGGAGGTCAAGGTTAACATGGGTTAAAAGCTACAACAATATTCTTCTCAAGTTCCATAAGGTCTAGGGTCATGCTATTTGGCCAGTACAAATGTAAGAATATCTGGGTCGAAGTGCTATATTTCCTCATAAAAATGACCTTGACCTACGTTTAAGGTCACAGGTGTCAAATATTTGGACTAGAGTCATGATACTTGGTTATGTTATGTAGTCCAGCTGTGTGAATCGTTTTCATCATTACAGTAATGAGGTAAAATGTCAACTTTAAGTGCTAGCTGGAGTCAAAGGTCAACGTGGGTTAAAAGCTTTAAAACTAAAACTTCAAAAAGTAATATCTTAAATTCAGAACCGCCTGAAGTTACCTTTGTGTCAGCTGTTTTATGTAACAAAAGAAACAGGTGAGCGATACAGGTCCTCTGGGCCTCTTGTTATGGTTTGAGTTTTTTACCAGGTACAAATTGTAAGTCCAGCATGGTTTCCTCACGTGAAGACTGGTGCATTTGCTCCCACACCCCACCGCCCCCTGTTAGCTCCGCTGCAATACGCTACGTTGTGAGCGATGCGCAGTTTTGTTACATACACATGTACATGTCCACAATGTCATTAATTATATGTATCTTTACTGTTTTGCCAAAAAATGGGGATATATTTGGTTCTTTTTGGGTAAATCATGCGAGAACCTGTCTAAATGTAAATCAGGTACATGTAGTCGATAAGCTGACTACTAGCTCCGGTATAGCCGGATACCATTTTGCGCATTCTAAAAGCACATGTACCGAGTGGAGCAAGAAGTTTGTAAATAGGACTCCATAATGGGCAAACCAACAAAACAACACCGAAAAAAGAAATTCAACTATGATCAGAACAGAAAGAAGCAATGGATGAAATCTAAAAAGATGCCAACAATTGAATGGTAGGTATATATTGTGTATGGTGTAACGTGGTCAATTTTCAGTAGATGCGTCAATATAGCAAGTAGACTAATGGTATATGGCATCGACACCAGTGAGTTAGCGGTGAGTTAATAAGAAATTCTTGTTTGTTTGGAACAGAATCTCACTTCAATTTTTTTTTCTCGAGAGCATTCAATGTAACTCCAACGCACCCTATAAGCTATCAAGTCAGAGGATAAATGTCGTCTCAACCGTTATCTACATCTTCGTGCATCACAGTCAGGGGTTCGTCTGTTCGTTGCAAATGTCCGAAATACATATATGCTGTACTGATATGGGTCACAACACATATGTTTATGTGTGATGTGACCCATATTAGTAAAGCATATGTACATGTGTATATCAGACATTTGTGTAGTGGGGGAGGGTTTTGGGTACAATATATATTGATTAGACGTTTAATCAATATTCTCGTCCTATTACATTTGTAACTGAACCCCTGTGCGTGCACTGAAGGTTGAGATTTCCCTCTTTTCTTCCATACTCAAAATAAACATGCCAGCTGTGTCAATACTCTTCAACTTCGACAGGATACTCTAAAACGTTCAATATACTGAACATTATTTATTATCTACACTACTACTTCTATCGGATATAATTTTGCCAACTTATAATTGACAATTGCACTCCATCAAGGAGTCCATCACTTAATGGAAGATGATGATAGACTACGACGCGGCACCAGACAAAAGCATCTCATCGTGTAAACCTCTAACAATGCTTATATTCCATGACTGGTGTGCATGAATACAATTATGTTTATTTTAAAGGGGTGACTAACCCTGAACATAAAAACATTTGAAGCACATAGTGAACAATATTTATCCACCGCTCAACCAAGTTGGCGGGGGATATACAAATGGGGTCCGTGTATCCGTTCGTCTTGACTGCATCTAGTTAAGAAGAATTGGTGTCGTCCATGAATACCTTACTACAACTGCTACACCGTCGATATTTTCATGATTAATGTATCTAGGGTGGCTCTATTGATTCAATTTCGCACATGCTGAATTTGACCTTATACATTTCACACTTCGGCGACCAACAATTAGTTGTTTTTATATTGACTTGTACTGAAATAATGAGCAGGGGATATCGATGCCGGCATCTTGTTTTATTTAATTTCCATCAACTGTAATATATCAGTTTATGTATCTTTTAATATTGATATATAATAAGCACACAAATAGTTCACTCAACACAGTTAACACAATAGAACTATTTCCAACACCAACGTCATTTGGCAGACTTGCCTCGGACGGAAAATGTCATGACATACTTTAGCTTGCCAACTCTCACTATTTAGGAAGGAGACTACTGATTTTGGATCCTAAAATTGAGCATTTTCAACCAGTGAATTTGCTACTATTCCTATTTTCTAAGGTCTCATGATTTCAACTGAAAGAACAGCTCAATAGATGCTATTTAAAAGTGTTATCTTTTCCCTAGGGTGTATACATACACAAATAATATTTTTGCATTTAATTCTGAGCCTTCGTAATTTCACCAATGGAAATTTCAAAAAGTTGGCAAGTATATGTTGATGCATGGTTACACTGTAAATTCCTGTCTTTCATGTGCATGTGAGAAATGTTTTCCTTTTCTAAAACTGGCTAGCACCTTTGGAGTGCGAGAGAACGACACGTCATGTCATTTTACCATATGAGTTTTTATTTTGACAGTAAACAGATAAGAAATGCTTGGGACTCGACTAGATCGATGCAGGAGAACATGAAGGAAATGGGTCTAGCCACGGACCCAAACAAAACCTTAAAAGTACCTAAAACCAAGGCAAGTACAGGGCCTCCTTTTGAGGGGAGGGGACTGGGGGGGGGGGGGGGGTNATTTTCAGGCCAAGACTCAGCCCAGTTCCCAACGGAAAATATCCTTTTTTTGTAAATGTCATGATCAGCATGCATTGACTCATTCACCCTTAAAGTCACATATTTGAATTCTAACCTTACCAAACGAGTCCAGTTAAGATATGTTTAGCAGTGTTTTTTCTACCTTAATTCGACAACAGCCTGCTCCTTTGTGAAGTGAGAAAATCTAGCAGTATTTGTATTGAAATTGGGAATATTGTCATTTTAGGAAAATAAGGCACTTTTAAGCTATATATATAGCTAGGGGAAACAGCATGTATTCGCCTGTAAGACTGAGCAAAAAAAGTCACTATGCAGGGGTGAATGAGTTTTACATAGATGTTATTTTTATTTTTTGACTCAACAGTTTTTGAAGTATACATGATGTTTAAATATAGGTAAGCCCCGGCCCAGCTAGCCCCCCGTCTCAACACAGTTAAACAACACTGTGTTTGCTCTTGTCTGAAATATAGAGCTATAATATAATGCTTGTCCCATTGCATTCATAACGCTAAGAATATATTAAATAGCAATTAGCGTCCACAAATTTAGCTGTCATTTTTATTAGCACACCTCAGAGAATGTGTATGTTTATGTACTTCGTACCGATACCAGCATATGACTGACGAAAATTCCTTCATTTTGATTTGCTTAGTGTAAAAGTACTGTAGTAGGTTCAAGGCTGTGATTTTGAAATTTAATGCAGCAGTAGTACTCTTGACTATAATTGATAATAATTATCTCCCTTGAAATGACTCTTTTTCAGGACTTCCTTATTACCAGTATTCCAGGAACATCTAAAAAGAGAGAGAAGATAGAGGACAGTGTTCCCACCAAACAATATGTGGCATTGGGTAATAGTTACATACTAGATCAGTCCGTATACATAATTACACATCCATTAACACATTTTGTCTGATGATCACCACCTGATCAAGATTTACTTGTGCGATATAAGAGGAAGATACCTGGAATTTTCACCCAGTCAAACTTTAGCCCTTCGCTCGTGGAATCCAAATTTGCCTAGTGTTGATGGTCTATATGTTGTTTGGATCAACAAACATTTACCAACAAAAACACATTGTCATTAGGTATATTGAAATATTAAAACAATCGTTTCATAATAGGTTAAAATTGATATTGAATTTAAAACCAAATTTACTTTTATTCTGTATTATATTTTACTCTGAATACTCTAGGGGAGGTATTTAGCCAAGTTTTTGTTTTCTGAAACTTGCTGTCTATCCAAGTAAATCTTCAGTTTAAAGGACATGAGCAATGACTTCATTGGTAGAGTTCTTTGATACATTAGGTAGAAAGAATTGAACAGAAATATACTCTGGATGATATTTAACCTTTACCTGTGCATGTTGACTCCTTGTACAGAGTATTGTGGGGCAATATGCACTTATATCCATACATTTACCAATTCAACCTTTCAATTTTTTGATGGAAGAGAAAGCAATGTTCAAGGTTTCAGTTAGCCTACATATTGGGCTGTATGAACTCCTTAAATGGCTTTTGACACACAAAATGTGATAGCTTTGCATGAATATATATACATGTCTTTTTTATGAACGAATATGGGCCAGTTCCCTTCTCCAGTTTTGGCATTATTTCCCCTATTTCAGTTAAAAATTCACCTACATGTAACTAAAATACTACCACACGAATATCTGTCTTGGTTCCATTTTATTTTCGATTTTCCATCAGTTCCACAACCAAGTGATTTATTTCATTTTCCCTGTGTTGATGTTAATTTTCACTGCTGATATTTTATGATATATATTGAACAGCGAGGAACAAAATTAAAGATGCCATCCATGCCCCGTTGGACTCTCCCCCTGACTCCAGCCTGCAGCCCTCGCTGGACGGGTCATGCACCTACAGTGCAGATTTTCCCCCATTTCAAAAAGCATACTAACTTTGTATTCCTGCATTAATCCCAGCTGCCTTGCTATATAAAGGGGTCAGAATTTGTAATTTAAGCCTGATTTTACCCCTAACATTTATGTCTTGCACAAACACTGAAATTGTTAGCGAAAAATAAAAATTACTTTCTACTGGGTATTCCCAGTTTGACAAAGTAGTAGTTTGAAATGCCATTTTTTTTTTTTTTCAAAAATCTGTTTATCATGGGCCAATATTCAATACGCGTACGCTTACTCCAAAGTCTAGGTCTTGTACAGTCACTAGATGATGTGGGAGATTTATAGGAATTTGATTGTCTCTAACATCATTTTACCAGCCCCATATAAATCATATCTTAAACTAATTAGTAACAGCTTCAGTAGTCAGTTATTTCTCCAAAAACATGTAGAAATTAAGTTTAAAAAACCTTGAGCATGGGTTTTAGTTATACATTTTGTAATATTGCTAATTACATATTTCAGAGTTGGAAGCCGAAGCCAATATTCCCCAGAAGAGACGTCTGAGGCTGTCGGAGCCAGAGACTCGCTACTGTATCTATATGATGGAGAGATACGGCGAAGACTATAAAGTGAGGAACTAGGAGGGGGCTAAGTTCAGGGTGTATAAGATTTAACTTTATAGGAAGCTTGTCTGTTAGTAAGCACACCATCATCAGATAGTGGGTTTTCCTTAATGCCTTTTAACCCATCATCTTCCATCCCTCCTAAAACATAGTTTACTATCATTATTTCTTATGAAGTACTGGATGGATCTTTCTCAAATTTCAGCATGATCCCATGATCCTGAATTGTAGACTATTGTTGCTGTTTCACTTTGAGACTGAATTTAGCACTGCTTTGTATAATGGTGACAATATTTCTCGAGCAAAGTACCTGACAGATATTGCTCCTATTTTAGATGTTGGTTCCCTTGATCCTTATTGGGCATGTTTTCAATTTGAGACTGATCAATAAAGTTGCAGCCAGGCAGCTATCTTTTAATTTAACATTTCAAGTTTATTATTGCATTTTCCTCAAAAAGTACTGGACAGACCTTCCTCAAATATCGTATGTAGTTTTTCCTTAGTCCTTGGTTGTTTGTGTTTCTTTTTGAGACGGATCAATAAAACATGATGGCTGTCCCTTTGAGGGACTCGACAATCGGTTAAAATCAGTGCTGTGATGATTATACAGCTTGTTACACTGCCACCATTATACAGTAAAACCTTGTTATACTGTCACCATTATGCAGTAAAACCTTTAGCTTGTTACACTGTCACCATTATACAGTAAATCCTTGTTATACTGTCACCTTTATACAGTAAAACTTTGTTATATTGCCCCTATTATACAGTAAAACCTAATTGTTATACTGGCACCATTATACAGTAAATCCTTGTTATATTGTCACCATTATACAGGAAAACCTTGTTATACTGTCACCATTATACAGTAAAACCTTGTTATACTGCCACTATTATACAGTTAAACCTTATGCTGTCACCATTATACAGTAAAACTTTGTTATATTGCCACTATTATACAGTAAAACCTTGTTATACTGTCACCATTATACAGTAAAACCTTGTTATACTGCCATTATTATACATTAAAACCTTGTTATGCTGTCACCATTATACATTAAACCTTGTTATACTATCACCATTATACATTAAAACTTTATTATACTGTCACCATTATACAGTAAAACCTTGTTATACTGACACTATTCTAGTATACATCATGACCTTATTATATGCAACAATTTGTCCAGCAAGTAGGAGCTTTGGCAATATATTCAGGTGGCAGCTTGATCACCTGACATAAAGAATAATTTAATTAATTAGAAGAAAGGAAAAGGGCTTGTTGAAACATGGTGGTAAGTGGGGTGGCAAATAAAAAAAAAATGAATTAAGTTGAGGATTTACTCTACACAGTCTCAATGTTATTAGAGAAATAAGGTAAGACAAATAATCAGTGGATTGTTACATTACACAGGCCATGGCAAGGGACATAAAGAACTACTACCAGGACACGCCCAAACAAATCAAGGCTAAAATCAAGGCTTTCAAAAGTATTCCAGAACAGTACGGCGAATACCTCAAGAGCAAGGGAGTAACAGGTACGTCCTCATGACAGAGGTCAAGGTCAAAGTATCAGCATCATCTACCCAATAGAATCATTGCTTGTGAAACATGAAGGCTGTGTCAGATGAGATAATTTACTCATTTGATTCGTATTTTGGGAAAAGTGAACAATGTGTTTTGGACAAGATGATTGGTCGCATCATTTACCAATTCAATTTTCTACTTGCGAATCGTGAATGCTTTGTGTTGGATCAGATGATTGGTCCATGTAGACAGTGATCGTGGATAGACAGTCTGGCTACCATTGGTTGGAGTAGAGGAGGTGAAACTTGAATCTGAAGACAAAGTTTTAGACGTAAATGAAAACCCATCATCACAGTATGAAAAGTGATTTGATGCTGTGATTGGAACGGATGAGCAAAATTGTTATGAATATTTTCATCACAAACTTTGTACTGATATCATCACTTCCCATATATATCCTCCAAGTATGTTCCTCCTTGCAGTATCTTAAATATCTTCAGCAGGTCTGATCTGCGATAGAACTTGTGCCAAACTTGATGGTAAAGAAAATAAGGCTTGGAACAACTTAATCACTTATATAAAGGTGAAGTATGTACCTCCTGATTTGAAGAAAACTGAACATTTATTATAAAAAATATTTCCTTCAAAAATTATTTAATGTTCTGGCATAAATTTTTTAATGTTCTGGCATTAAGAATTGTCACCATCAGGAAATTCTATTTTGTTGAAGATTTTCTTTGATTTTTCGTTCTTCTTGTTAACATGTCGTAAAATAAACAGTCTGAGGTATTTCAGTTATCATGGCAGCTGTCTCATCAAGTGTGTCAAAAGACAACTTTCAGAATGAGTGGTGCCAGACAATGATTTACACATTTATCTTGTTTCCATGATGAGAGAAACAACTTCTGTATATAAAAGTGTATAAAAATAAAAAGTATTGTTTCCAAAACCCTACAGATGCTTTGTGATGATATTGATAGTGAATGATGATCACAAAGTCAGTACCGCTTCTCTCCCTCCGACTCATCATCGGTAACCCATGGTAGTTTTGTTCCATTAAATCACTTCAGAGCTAGTAAAATTGAACGTGGGTTACCGATGATGCCTCTGATCCACAAGCTAGGCTTTTCACCATATGTATACAGTAAACATTTGCTACAATAAACAAAAAATGGAAACTAATAGAAATTTAAGATAGTTTTGAAATGGTTTGATTACATTTGTTCTTGATTTTGTGATAATTCTTTTGAGTTCAATTGAACATGAAATATCAAATGAGAAATCATATTGCATGTTCATTTGGAAATCCCCTGAAAAGCTGTTTTCCGGGAGAAGGGTGCACAAGACAGAATTCAGGAAATGATTTGGGGAGAGGTGATGCTGACATTGAGACCTTGATTATATTATATGTGTTGGAACTATCACCTTCTGGTGATAGAATTAGGTTTAGGAGTGGCACTCTCTGGAAGTGGGGGTATACCCTACAACATATAATTCATATTGATATAATTAAGGGACAACCTATCGCAACATGTAATTCAGAACTGCTGATGCATCAAGGCAGAAAGCTTATTGGAAATTTCCATTGGTGTCTGGTTGACATTCTGGATCTACATGTAACTGGCAACAAATGCAACAGGGACCAGAAGAAAGCCTCCAAAACTATAGATTTGTAGTTTCTTTGTTGTTTAATATGTAAATATATGGATTGAAATTCATATTTTATATGTTTATGATTTTATAAACCTAGTGCATCACATGGAAACTTTTCTTAGTTAAGATGTCCTATACCCCACACATACACATTGTAGAGTATGTTTTGTAAGCAAGTGTGCTGTATGCTGTGCTAAATATTCAGAATTTTTATTTCAATCCCTAAAAATAGTATTGTTTTAGTTAGATGGTGAAGTCACTTAATAATGAATAATAAGTCAAAGAGCCGATAGATTTTTTTTTGCATTTTAATTCACATAACACACGTGTAGAAGATATTTGCTGCAACTGTCTCACTCCTGATAACAATGATATTTGGGGAAAAAACAACAGAACATAAGCAACAAAACATAACCAAACTATACTATAGCGGTAATAATGATTACAACAGAACACTCCCGACATATATCTCCTGTATAGGTTCCTACAATATCGGCACCCCAGTCCTTGTGGTATTATATAAATAATAAAGAACTGGAGTTAATACAATGTTATAAACATAGTTTCTATGCATGGATGCTTTCAACCAAATGCTAAAATATTTCAAAAGGAAAATATTTAATGTTATGTCCACTAAATGAAATCAAGACAACCTGCTTGAGATTGTTAATGTTTATGACAGTCAGGATTTCATTTGCTGGAATCTGTTTCAATAAATAAAAATAAATAAACATAATCCTTAGTTAAATTGTAATACTTGGTCTCACCACATAGTATACTAGTAACAAGAAAAAGATTAGCACACAAGATTTCCTAGGCATCATACAACAAGAAAAAATATCTTGTTTAACAGCAGATAAGCCAAGGAAACTTATTTCATTGTAAAATAAGAATTCATTTAACTTTATAACATTGGTATTTCCAAAACTTAAGCTAAAGTGTTGAGCTTGAAATATTTCCTTATTTGTTTCCCTGAAACATCTTTCGACCAGTCAATTATACCAGTTGTCTCCCCTTATATAGATAATCACAATGCAAAAGGCTACATATCTGTTTATGTACAAGGGTCCTTATCTTACTTTTTATAAAGTAATCAGCATTATTTCATTAAAATTGAATTATTTTGAAGGAATTAAGTTCAGAAGTTATTGAATTCGTATAACAGTTAATTTATTTGTAAAATTATTACAGTAGCAAACCAGCCTTTTTTGTGTACCTGTTTGGAAATTAAAAAGTAATTTAAAATTTAAGACTTGTCAGATAATCATATTGGAACCTCAGTCTATAAAAATCAACACATTTCATGTGATGTAAATCTGTATTACACTGCTTCAAGTCCACCTATTATAGGGATGGCTGATACAGGCACAAATCATTCCTTTGTTTCACACCTCCGTTGCTTTGAAATGAACTAATCTATTCTATCATACCATGGTGAAATTTTATAATTGATTTGAACAGTGAAATATTTTCATTGCAAATCCATTTCATGGGAATGCATAGTTACTTTATCAAAACATGGAACAATTTACGTAACTTTAACAATAAAACTGTTAGTTACTTTTATTGAAACATGGACCAATTTACGTAACTTTAACAAACATGGACCAATTTACATAACTTTAACAATAATACTGTTAGTTACTTTTATTGAAACATGGACCAGTTAACATAACTTTAACAATAATACTGTTTCGGTGACATCACAAGTAATAAATAATACTGTTCTTGTCAAATTGTGCATACTGGGTAAAAATAAGTTATTTCTTTACAATGATTCAGCATCTCAAACAAGCGCTTAGATATATAAATAGGTTTTATCACAGTGGCAAGATTTAATGTCCATGTTAATCTGCTAGCGCTGAATTGGTTGAGCTAGTTCGTCACAACGCTTAGGTATAACCCCCTTTAAGGCCGTTTCCTTCACCAAGAAAGCGTCTGGATTAAATTGCACATGATCCATTGAAGCTCTCACAACTGGCCTACATAGTTCCTGAAGCCTGCCCGATGCACTGCCACGCTTGGCTGCACGCGTGACGGGCCACATCTCATCTCGTGGCAGTTGATATCCTTCTACCGTGGCCTTGGGACGAGCAAGGTCAACACATCGACTTGAAGAAATGGCATTTCTTGCTCCCGGTGTTACCTACAGAACAAACATAAAATATAACATAAAATATACAAGGAAATCTATAAGAATTTCTGTTACTTTTACTGCCTGTAAATGTTGGACAAAAATAAAACAATGACTGAAAAATAAATGCTAAATTTGTTTTGGCCACACAAAAAACTTGATAACTTATATTTTGATAACACCTGCTTCTTTTTTCATGCTAAGAGTCGAATGACCGGTATCTTGGCTCTTGACCACTGAACACAACTCACTAAGCCACAATGTGCCGAGTTAGTAAAATCTCACCAAATAGCACTGAACAAGCTTAGCATTTATTATTCACACCAAACGAATGGATCTCATTTCGGAAAAATATGACTGAACAAGGTATGTAGTATGATCGGTTAAGTTATTATCAACATATTTATTTTTTATCATACAGATAATTCCCCATACAGTATTTTACTGATAAAAATTTGACACCTCAAAGATACTTCTGATTATTTATGAATTACTGGCAGATTTGGCCGTTAGTGTAAATAGTTTTATCAGAATCTGGTCAAATTTGACAAAGTTGATTTGCAGTCAACCAATCGGAACTTGGTCTGTTAATTATGCACAGATTTTGATCACCTTTAAGCATAGCATTTTTTGTTGTATCAATAGCAAATAGTGACCAAATCTCGTCAGAACAAGTCATATTTTACTGTTATTGTGCAGACCTTCAACCACTCGGAGCACAGTAAGTCAGTATGCTAATTATGTATGGAAGAAAATATTTGTGGTTTTTGTTGCCACTTTATGATGTTTTTTACTCACCGGCCATTGCGGTGGTCTAAACGGCCCATGTGGCCTGTCTTTGGGCGTTGATAGGCTTTGTATCCGTTCTGAAGCTGCGGCACTAAGAGCACTCCCAGCTATAATTGTTTCCACTTGGCGACTGGGCTGGAACTCGCGGTGTGGTGGGCGGGGGTAGGCCAGGTTCTGCGTGCGTGGGCGGTCACCTGCAGACAATGCCCCCTTCTGGACCGTCCATATTGGGCTCGACCTTCCGCAACTGAACAGGAATTGTGGTCTGAAATCAACAAATCACATTTAAATCGAGGGATTTTATTGACTTATGTAAGGCCAATCAGCTATATATGACATAGACACAGTACGTTTTGTAGTTATAGAAAAACTTGTAACTTCAACCATTCAATATACTTTCAAATATCTGTAAGCTGTAACTAGCCTTTCAATTCAGGATGCCCGAGAACAATTTTTGCAGGTCTGCATCCATGGAATGCACAACAGTTTAATAATACTGCTGCTGCTTTTTCTCATTTAAAATGAGAAATGTATCAATAAGTTTTATAACTTGAATAAGAAAATCTTGATAAAAACCCAATGCTAGGTTCTAAATCTTATTCAATTTGCCTAGAAAAGCTAATGTCATGATAAAGTGGATGTCATCTGCTGTTGTGACGTACGTCTCAACATATGAGCACAATCATACACGCAATACCAACATATATCACACCATATGAGCTCTAATACAGGTATTATCAACATATATCACACCATATGACATCAAAACGGGTATTATTAAAATATGTCACATCAAATGAGCGCCAATACAGGTATTATCAACATATATCGCACCATATGAGCTCTAATACAGGGACATTGTATTATCAACTCATGTTATAAATGATGACGTTCATGTTTAAGAAATATATTAAAGTCAACCAAAAATTAAACATTTTAAATGTTAAAAGAACTACAAACTTTTAGATTACATGTATACACATTTCTAGTTTTAAACCTTGGTACAATAATGTTAATGACACTAATTAGCTACACACAGTGTCTGTAACAGTTAGTCATAGCTTAAAATCGTTATAACGTTCAAGTTGGTTTCAGTAATATTTGTATTTATAATGACCCATCAAATAGATTTTGTATGACGGTGATCACTTTAATTCAGTTTAAAATCTGAAAATTTCATTTTATGTGAACTTAAATTATATGAATGGTATTGAATAAGTGATTGTATATATTTATAATAAATATCATTTCCCATGCCACAGAATTTAAAAAACTTCAACTTCCAAATTAGTAAATAACCAAACTGAAGGGCAAAATATTAACACAGTTAATTGGATAAAGGATATGAAAAAGCGAAACAAATTTGGTTTCAATAAAATAAGATAATAATAATGTTAGGAAATATAAAAAAAAAATCTAGATATTAAATACACATATTAATATATAACTATAATTCTCATTCTTTTAACTAAATTGATGGCAAGGAAATGTAAGTGTCAAGAAGGGTAGAGGATTGATTTTATTGACAGAAATAAAAGATTTAGATACCTCAACCTTGGTCAGTTTATGCTTTTCTCTAAGGTTAATACAACCATACATGAACCTCAGGAAAAGGCCGTTATAATTCCACATGTATAACAGTGTTAATTGTTAGTATTTAAACGGCTGTACACCACCTTTTGACATTAGGATACATTCTTTTCAAGTCCTGTTCTGTGTAAGGCTCCCTGTGGTAATAAATGTGTATAACTCCATCAACACACACACCCTTTAGGCGTTACAAATAAGGGACTGTATTGGGAATCAATTCTGTCAAGAATCCACATAGTTTTCTTCTTGGAAACAACAGAAACCCATGCTTAAACCAATTTACTGTCAAAGGCAAATGTGAAAGCATTCTCGATACATCTTTGGGAGAAATTCAGATTTTGTTAAAGAATGTGCTTCATGTTACAAAAACAAATTGTTTTGCTACCTGAAGTACTAAACATTTTGATGATACATGTATACGCAAAGTTCAACTGGTTACCATGGCAACCAAGATTAAAAACACAAATGAATATGTTCAAATTGCATGTAGTGTAGGAAAGGCTCAAACCATACACCCTCCTTTACTGTTAATATTAACAATGCTATCTAGTCTGGTTTCGATACCAATGTTAACATATATAAACATGTACATTATCAGACATCTGTGTTAATAATGGTTCTCCAAGTAAACACAAATTATTGCTGATGGTAAAATTTTAAACTTAATGTGCCACAATCATGATAAACAACCAGATACCACCAACATATAATTAATTAGATGCAGTGTATGCATCAGGACTGGACAATAAGGTAAGTCGATAGTCTGAGACAAGTGAAATCTACAGCTGGACTAGACAATAAGGTTAGGCGATAGTCTGAGTCGACGAGTGAAATCTTCAGCTGGACTAGACAATAAGGTTAGTCCATAGTCTGAGTCGACGAGTGAAATCTACGGCTGGACTAGACAATAAGGTTAGTCGATATTCTGAGTCGACGAGTGGAATCTACAGCTGGGCTAGACAATAAGGTTAGTCGATAGTCTGAGGCGACGAGTGAAATCTACAGCTGGACTAGCCAATAAGGTTAGTCGATAGTCTGAGTCGAGGAGTGAAATCTACAGCTGGACTAGACAAAAAGTTTGTCGATAGTCTGAGTCGACGAGTGAAAACAACAGATGGACTAGACAATAAGGTTAGTCGATAGACTGAGTCGACGAGTGAAATCTACAGCTAGACTAGACAATCAGGTTAGTCGATAGTCTGAGTCGACGAGAGAAATCTACAGCTGGACTAGACAATAATGTTAGTCGATAGTCTGAGACGACGAGTGAAATCTACAGCTGGACTAGACAAAAAGTTTGTCGATAGTCTGAGTCGACGAGTGAAAACAACAGATGGACTAGACAATAAGGTTAGTCGATATTCTGAGTCGACGAGTGGAATCTACAGCTGGGCTAGACAATAAGGTTAGTCGATAGTCTTAGACGACGAGTGAAATCTACAGCTGGACTAGTGATTCTAAAACCATAGTCTGAGTCGACGAGTGAAATCTACGGCTGGACTAGACAATAAGGTTAGTCCATAGTCTGAGTCGACGAGTGAAATCTACGGCTGGACTAGACAATAAGGTTAGTCCATAGTCTGAGTCGACGAGTGAAATCTACGGCTGGACTAGACAATAAGGTTAGTCCATAGTCTGAGTCGACGAGTGAAATCTACGGCTGGACTAGACAATAAGGTTAGTCCATAGTCTGAGTCGACGAGTGAAATCTACGGCTGGACTAGACAATAAGGTTAGTCGATAGCCTGAGTCGACGAGTGAAATCTACAGCTGGACTGGACAATAAGGTTAGTCGATAGGCTGAGTCGACGAGTGAAATCTACAGCTAGACTAGACAATCAGGTTAGTCGATAGTCTGAGTCGACGAGGGAAATCTATAGCTGGACTAGACAATAAGGTTAGTCGATAGCCTGAGTCGACGAGTGAAATCTACAGCTAGACTAGACAATCAGGTTAGTCGATAGTCTGAGTCGACGAGGGAAATCTACAGCTGGACTAGACAATAAGGCTAGTCGATAGTCTGAGTCGACGAGTGACAGCTACAGCTGGGCTAGACAATAAGGTTAGTCGATAGTCTTAGACGACGAGTGAAATCTACAGCTGGACTAGCCAATAAGTTTGTCGATAGTCTGAGTCGACGAGTGAAATTTACAGCTGGGCTAGACAATAAGGTTAGTCGATAGTCTGTGACGACGAGTGAAATCTACAGCTGGACTAGCCAATAAGTTTGTCGATAGTCTGAGTCGACGAGTGAAAACAACAGATGGACTAGACAATAAGGTTAGTCGATATTCTGAGTCGACGAGTGGAATCTACAGCTGGGCTAGACAATAAGGTTAGTCGATAGTCTGAGCCGACGAGTGAAATCTCCAGCTGGACTAGACAATAAGGTTAGTCCATAGTCTGAGTCGACGAGTGAAATCTACAGCTGGACTAGTGATTCTAAAACCTGCTAGCCCGATTGACTAGTCCTAAATTGTTATTATCATGTTGAATAATACAGGGTTAATAGTATTTGCACATGGACTTGTAAAATAGGAAACTACTGGGCCAAAAAATTTATAATCTTGAAAACACATGTAATCAAAAACATTCTATGCTATAGGATATCTTTAATGTCATGTAAATTAAACTTAAACAAGTTTTTATACATCAACAGTTTACTGTAAATTCTTAAATTTGCACTATGCCAAAAGAGAGGATGATTTTTTTCATTCTTAAAATGTTTTTGACTTGTTTCATAAATCCTGTATGAAATAGAAAGTCATTCAAGATCCAGTTTGCAATTACAACAGGAAAGAGAGCAACGTCGCACTTCCACCGAAGATTGAACCCACTACTCGGAACTTTCCAGTCTGCCATTCTACCAGTTCAGCTAAAGGAAAGTTAAATGTAGTGCAAAGCTATAAGGCAAATGAAAAGTAGTGAACAATTAAAACCTGCCACATGATTAAAGAAAATTGAGTTATGTCAGACCTATCGTGCCCCTGTGACTGATATCAAACTGTGAATTCTGTGTTATTGACCCTGTGACTGTTATCAAACTGTGAATTCTGTGTTATTGATCCTGTGACTGTTATCAAGCTGTGAATTCTGTATTATTGACCCTGTGACTGATATCAAGCTGTGAATTCTGTGTTATTGACCCTGTGACTGCATATCAAACAGTGAATTCTGTGTTATTGTCCCTGTGACTGATATAAAGCTGTGAATTCTGTGTTATTGTCCCTGTGACTGATATCAAACTGAATTCTGTGTTATTAACCCTGTGACTGATATCAAACTGATTTCTATGTTATTGTCCCTGTGACTGATATCAAACTGAATTCTGTGTTATTAACCCTGTGACTGATATCAAACTGATTTCTATGTTATTGTCCCTGTGACTGATATCAAACTGAATTCTGTGTTATTAACCCTGTGACTGATATCAAACTGATTTCTATGTTATTGTCCCTGTGACTGATATCAAACTGAATTCTGTGTTATTAACCCTGTGACTGATATCAAACTGATTTCTATGTTATTGTCCCTGTGACTGATATCAAACTGAATTCTGTGTTATTAACCCTGTGACTGATATCAAACTGATTTCTATGTTATTGTCCCTGTGACTGATATCAAACTGAATTCTGTGTTATTAACCCTGTGACTGATATCAAACTGATTTCTATGTTATTGTCCCTGTGACTGATATCAAACTGAATTCTGTGTTATTAACCCTGTGACTGATATCAAACTGATTTCTATGTTATTGTCCCTGTGACTGATATCAAACTGAATTCTGTGTTATTAACCCTGTGACTGATATCAAACTGATTTCTATGTTATTGTCCCTGTGACTGATATCAAACTGAATTCTGTGTTATTAACCCTGTGACTGATATCAAACTGATTTCTATGTTATTGTCCCTGTGACTGATATCAAACTGAATTCTGTGTTATTAACCCTGTGACTGATATCAAACTGATTTCTATGTTATTGTCCCTGTGACTGATATCAAACTGAATTCTGTGTTATTAACCCTGTGACTGATATCAAACTGATTTCTATGTTATTGTCCCTGTGACTGATATCAAACTGAATTCTGTGTTATTAACCCTGTGACTGATATCAAACTGATTTCTATGTTATTGTCCCTGTGACTGATATCAAACTGAATTCTATGTTATTGACCATGTGACTGATATCAAACTGAATTCTGTGTTATTAACCCTGTGACTGATATCAAGCCATCAATTCTGTGTTATTAACCATGAGACTGATATCAAGCAGTGGATTCTGTGTTATTGACCATGAGACTAATATAAAGCTGTTTTAGTTAACGTTCTTACTTGATTTCTTGGTTGGTGAACTCCCTACTTGGCTGTTTGGGAGTGGACAGAACACTGACCCGCTCATTGGCTTCCTTCACATTAGACTTATTCTCCCATATCATCGACGGGCGACCACAACTGTAGTAGAATATTGGCCTGCAACACAGATGTAAAACATGTTAAAAAACATTTTATAGAAATGTTGCAACTTCTCAGAGATGTCTCTCGCCTACACTGCTCTTTAATTCTGTCCCCCTCCTGTGTCCTGGGACTCCATCGGTTCCTCTGTCCTTCTGTCAGAGTGTCATTATACCCCCTGCAACCAAGTTAGGAGGGGGGGGGGGGGGGGTGTTACTGGAATTGGCTTAATTGTCTGTCTGTCTGTAGAATTTTTTAATCCGGACAACTCTTTCTAAAGTAATGGACCGATTTCAACGGAACTTTCAAGATATGATAACTACCATCTGAAATTGTGCATCCAGGTATTGTTTTTTTCATTCTGACCTTTTTTTTACGAAGTTACGGCCCATTGTTGAAAAAATACTGAAACTTTTTGTCCGGACAACTCCTTCTAAAGTTATGGATCAATTTCAACAAAACTTTCCAGATATGATAAATACCCCCTTATGTTCTGCATCCAGGTATTTTATTTCCAACCCTTTTTTATGGAGTTATGGCCCTTTCTTGAAATATTTCTGTCCCAACAACTTTTCCTAATCTCCTTGGCTAATTTCATGGTTTTTTTTACAGATATGGTAACTGCCCCCTGACGTTGTGCATCCAAGTAGTACTTTTTCATTTCAACCCTTTTTTTAAAGGAGTTATGGCCCTTTGTTGAATAAACCTTTGTCTGACTTATAAACTACTGGGCCGATTTCAATGAAAGTTTACAGATATTGTAATTGCCCCCTGATGTCCTGCATCAGGCTAGTATTTATTTTATTTAGACCCTTTTTAAGGAGTTATGGCCCTTTGTTAAAATTCTTTGTCCTGACATCTTCTCCTTAACTAATAGGACAATTTTAGCAAAACTGGTTCGTCTGGGCTAACAAAATTTGGTATGTAAGTATATTTTGGCATGGGAAGGGAGTATAGGAAGTATGTCAGTGACCAGTATACTTAAATACGTGTACAGCTCAGTCAATAAAGAATCATTACTGGTGGGAGACTATGGATTGCTTTGCAATACTTTGTCTTTAAGTAAGCCTTTAGCTTACAGTTCTGGTTGATATAGCAACGGGGGGTATTAGTTAGCCTTTAGCTTACAGTTCTGGTTGATATAGCAGCGGGGGGTATTAGTTAGCCTTTGGCTTACAGTTCTAGGTTTGTCCAGGGCTCCCTACGATTGTCAAGTTATGTATTCGAGTACCTCTTGGGATGGCGGAGTGTCATGCAATAAAATCAGATCCAGTGCTTTCGTATGAATAGTGATGGCCCTTGTTCACTGAGATACTATGTGAAATATTTCTGTCACTTAAAATTGTCAAATTTTGTATGTGATTACCTCTTGGGATGACAATGTGTCACGTGTTGACATCTAGACGAATTCCCCACTTTATACATTGTAATGTACTGAGTTATGGCCGTTTGTTCATTTTGATGCTAAATTTTATCTGGAGTTGGGGAACGAACTAATGTACACTGGGAAATTTTTCGCTGTAGTTATACTATACCAAGTTTTAAATGCTGGCAGGTGCTTGATCCAAACCTTCAAGCCAAATGTGGCTGGTTCAGCTGGGAGATAAGTTTGTTTGGGAGTATGTCTGTGCAACAACCACAATCATACATTGTGACTGAGTCTTGATCATAATTAAAATATAAGGTGATCTGAAATACTTCACCATTGGGTAAGATTAATATACGTGACGTTTTCTTGGCTTGTCTGGAACAAACAAATTTAATTGGGTCCTTCCAAACAAGGCTGACAAAATGAAATCATTGATTTCGTATCATTTTGATACAGGTCTGGTGTGAAATGCAATTATGTTGGTTTGCATGTTTCTGAAGTAAAGGAAACATAGCTTCATGATCTGAGCCCAGTGAAGCAGCATACATGATGGAGCTAGGCTACACATTTTGTATCTGATTCATAAAAAAGTCTATAGCTCATTATTCATAAATGCTCAAACTCAAGTCTTGTGTGGAATTTCATTCTATTGTAACTCACCAAAATTGTGCTAAGGAATCAACAAATAAAATGTTAACGATATAAAAATAGAGTACATTTTAGATTTTAAAGAGTGCTTCCCTAAATACAATCACAGGTCTGAAAGCATGGTCCTGCTTCTAAAGGAACAGTGAAGAGTGCATCCTTTGATTTGTATTAAGATTTAACTATGGTGACTTCTATTTTGATCGTGTGAAGTCTTTCTATATGTTATTTGACCCAAAAAGCCCCATACCAGATTAGCACAAATCAGGTAACAATATTGTTAGCATTATTATACTATATACCACAGAATATTTGCTGCATTTGAAAAAGTACCCTCAGGGTAACATACATATTTATAATTCACTGTGACCAAGTTTAAATGGACTGACAAATTTATTCATTAGTTAAACTGTTCACCTTTGGGGCAACTTGATCCTGAATTTTAAATGTATTGCACTTAACAAAACGTACAATTTTTATCTCCATATAGGAAGTCAAAATAATGGTGCTTTTGTACATCTCCCTCCCCTGCAACGGACCCGCTTTAGCTCATTCACCCCTGAAGACACATTTGAACTCTTCCATTTCAAAGATTTGGAATAGTTCATTATGAAATTTCAGGGGTGAATGATCTCATGAGTTAAACAGTGATAATGACGCTTAACCTTTCAGTCATGGTAGAACAGAAATTTAACATCAGTGCTTGTTCAGCATTTTGATAATAAAACACCGGTTTATGTAGCACTTATAAATTGTGAATTTTACATACTGTAAATACATTATTTGAGTTGCATAAAAGCCAACACTTACAAAGTCTTGAACAAAATAGCAATTATTGGTTTATCTATTATACAGTAAACTATTTCAGAACTAGAGGGGTGTGAGCTCGAATATTGTGATGAGCTGCAGATTTTGGCTCATCAGTACCTTGTGAATGTTTTGCATTTTTGAGGGAAAATTTACGAATATATGCAGTAAACTTGGATAAAAAATCAATATCAAATCTTCATCTTTAATAATTGCATGTCTGTAAAATTTTATATGTTCCAGTACACCATCCTCCTACCCGCCACAGTCCACTTTATACGTACCTACAATTTTCTTTCTCTTGTAATCGTGGTGCGAGAAATTCCCATTTCTTATCTGTTGCAATGTACAGACTCTGGATGCCCTTTTGAGCTCTGTTTTTGCGTATGTTTTCGTATTTATCGTATTTATCATAAACACTGTAATCCTTTACCAACAGATCGTCATTCTCCTCCAGAAACACTTTACTTGTTACAACACGATTAGGTATAATGGGGATGGGGGGCGATTTTGGCGGAGTGCTTGGAGTCTTTGCGAGAGATGGGCTCGCTGTCTGGCCCCTTTCATCAATAACTGTAATTTTGACGTCTGTCTTCATCGCCTTAATCCTTCAAAACCTACTTTAAGTTCAAATTTAGGGGTTTTAACTGGTTTTTAACACAAAGTAGTTCTGATACATAGATTTTCCATTTCTGTGTAAAAAAAATGTAAACGATGAGATGACGCACATGTACAGGTTCGTTTTCCTATCCAAATGTGTACATGGCGTAGCCAACGATTAAAGTCTGATATTTAAATCCAGGAATTTGCTTCTAAGCCTTCGCACATCTCAAAACTGAATTTCCAGTCTAAATCCACCGATTCCCCTATTTTGTAGTCAAGAGTCCAATCTGGCTAGTCACGATGAAATGTGCAGATTTTGATCTAGGTACCTAAAGCTCTAACAGGAAGACAGGGTCGCGTTGTGAAGGAAGTGGTGTTACTTTATGTTATACCGTCAAACGTCACGCCGACTGTATATCGTACTAACGGGGGCCATAACATTCAAAACCGGATCAGCTTTTTTTCTAAATTCACAAATTTTGTATCAGTTTTTTACATAAATCACTTCTTTTCTTGAACGAAAAGAGATTGTATAGAAATATTACCATTGATTCAAGACAATAAACATTTATTTACTTAAAAAAAAAATCAAAAACATCTCATAGTGTTAAAATTCGTAAAGTTTTACACTCATAAAACTGACAATGCTTTGAACAGCTGACCCAATGCTGCGGATTAACCTGTACTGGGGCGAACGAGATTAACATTAGTGTAAGAAGGTATTACAACAATTACAGTATAATCTGATTTTGACTAAAATAAAAATTGAAATACGATAACCATTGTTAAGTATGTGAAATTGGTTTTTAACAGTATATGTATATAGACATTATATTACTATATGGGTGCTACACTGCCTTCGGGGGAATCCAGTAAAACGAGCAGGTTTAATAATCATATGTGTAAGTACATAATATAATGTAAAATTATTAAAATTTGGATGTGTATTGTAACCAGCTTATCTTAACACTCCATGATCAATGAGCGTGGCCAAGTACTGCACACTTACCGGTAATCAAATAAGAATAATTTGATAAATAGATTTTCTTTCTTTTTTAACAGTCATTATATTCACTTCATTTGAACAATACTTAATATCAATTTAGTATTTAATATTTGTATATTGTATTTTTTAAGAAAATCTTGAGTCAGAACAAACATTTCAATATAATGACAATATTACCGGTTATACATTGTTTGCCAGGTAAATGGTAAAACACTATTTATAACAGGTACATGGCATTGTATATATGAGATGCATTTATATAATCAGAAAGTTTTCTTTTTCTTGATTGGTGGAAATACACTTTGAAATAACTATATTAGCGTTGTTAATAAAAATACATGTACTGTTGAAATTTTCATTTAAATTTTACTACTGTAACTTTTTTAACCACATTATGTGCTTCATATTTTGAAAAATCAGGTTCTGTATTATTAATTGTTAGTGACAGAAACAGATAAAGATTTAAAATGAGATTAAAAGTGATAGAGAGTTATGTCTGTAAGGGACCTGAAAATGATTTTCTATCAGGACCACAAGCTACAATGAGATTCTGACCTGTTGAATAACTGCCCAATAGAACTCAAGTTATAGCCCTAATTGTCTCAGCCAATCAGAAGCCATGGTGGTATCAGCATGTAAGATTGGGAAAAAAGGTGGCTTCTTGAAATGAAATATTTTAAATCTTCTCAAATCTTTCATCTGAGAGAGGATTTATAGATCGGGAATCCATATACAGATCTTTGAAGCTCTACGAAAGTCTGTAATCCTGCGTTTGTAGGAATGATGGTAAGAAACACGATAAAGTTGTGTCTTACCTGCCCGCATGCATTCCTGTCTGGAAGTTTTTCTTTGGGGTGGACAGATTGATGACCCGTTCTGTTGGTGTGGCTTCCTTCGCCTCTGGCCTGATGGGCCATAGCATCTCCTGGGTCCCCCACATAACATTGGGGCTGAAAACAGAGAAAGATTATACTTCATAAATATGTCACTTTGTACTCCTGGGTCCCCATATAACATTGGGGCTGAGGACAGAGAAAGATTATACTTCATTAATATGTCACTTTGTACTCCTGGGTCCCCATATAACATTATGGCTGAGGACAGAGAAAGATTATACTTCATTAATATGTCACTTTGTACTCCTGGGTCCCCATATAACATTGGGGCTGAGGACAGAGAAAGATTATACGTCATTAATATGTCACTTTGTACTCCTGGGTCCCCATATAACATTATGGCTGAGGACAGAGAAAGATTATACTTCATTAATATGTCACTTTGTACTCCTGGGTCCCCATATAACATTGGGGCTGAGGACAGAGAAAGATTATACGTCATTAATATGTCACTTTGTACTCCTGGGTCCCCATATAACATTGGGGCTGAGGACAGAGAAAGATTATACGTCATTAATATGTCACTTTGTACTCCTGGGTCCCCATATAACATTGGGGCTGAGGACAGAGAAAGATTATACGTCATTAATATGTCACTTTGTACTCCTGGGTCCCCATATAACATTGGGGCTGAGGACAGAGAAAGATTATACGTCATTAATATGTCACTTTGTACTCCTGGGTCCCCATATAACATTGGGGCTGAGGACAGAGAAAGATTATACGTCATTAATATGTCACTTTGTACTCCTGGGTCCCCCATATAACATTGGGGCTGAGGACAGAGAAAGATTATACGTCATTAATGTCACTTTGTACTCCTGGGTCCCCCATATAACATTGGGGCTCAGGACAGAGAAAGATTATACGTCATTAATATGTCACTTTGTACTCCTGGGTCCCCCATATAACATTGGGGCTGAGGACAGAGAAAGATTATACTTCATTAATGTCACTTTGTACTCCTGGGTCCCCCATATAACATTGGGGCTCAGGACAGAGAAAGATTATACGTCATTAATATGTCACTTTGTACTCCTGGGTCCCCCATATAACATTGGGGCTGAGGACAGAGAAAGATTATACTTCATTAATATGTCACTTTGTACTCCTGGGTCCCCCATATAACATTGGGGCTGCATGAGGACAGAGAAAGATTATACGTCATTAATATGTCACTTTGTACTCCTGGGTCCCCATATAACATTGGGGCTCAGGACAGAGAAAGATTATACGTCATTAATGTCGCTTTGTACTCCTGGGTCCCCCATATAACATTGGGGCTCAGGACAGAAAGATTATACATCATTAATGTCACTTTGTACTCCTGGGTCCCCGACATGACATTGGTGCTGCATGAGGACAGAGAAAGATTATACGTCATTAATGTCGCTTTGTACTCCTGGGTCCCCCATATAACATTGGGGCTGAGGACAGAGAAAGATTATACGTCATTAATGTCGCTTTGTACTCCTGGGTCCCCCATATAGCATTGGGGCTGCATGAGGACAGAGAAAGAGTATACATCATTAATGTCACTTTGTACTCCTGGGTCCCCGACATGACATTGGGGCTGCATGAGGACAGAGAAAGATTATACTTCATTGATATGTCACTTTGTACTCCTGGGTCCCCCACATACATGTAACATTGGGGCTGAGGACAGAGAAAGATTATATTTCATTGATATGTCACTTTGTACACATCAGAGCTTCAATATAGAGGAGTTTTGGTTTTGGCTGGGGTAAGTGGGGTTCTTTGTAGATAATATTAAATGTACCATATTTATCCAGCAATAGGCGCATGCTTTGTAATAAGCCCTCCAATATATATAATGGTATTGCAGTTAGGAAGAAATACGAACAAAAGCTTTTTCATTGTCCTGTAATAAGCCCATCCCCCTACTTTCAGTCAGAGATTTTGTGTTGGCCCCCAGGGCTTATTGCAGGATAAATACGGTATATATACATACAGAGTACATTCAACATTGTTCAGTATGAACGGAGTTAATACTACATCACTAGGTCGACTATCTCGTCTCTACTGACATCAATGGAGATCGGCCATATTGGAAAGTGTCCAACTGGCAGACCAGTAACACTGAACATGAACGCTATATAGAGTTACTATCGAACTGGCCTTCACCGTGTCTGTCACCTAATCAAGCATATGATTCTCTCACAATTACTGTCCTAATTATCAAACAATCAATCAAATAGAACTACTAAAACCCTGTCAGCCGTGTCAAATGTGGTTGTTCATTAATTAGTTAATGAAATCTTAGACATAGCCACCTCCGCTCATTTCTCGTCATGTAGAATCAAGTAAGGATGATATTTATACCCATTCTCTCTCGCGCTTATATTTGAAAACTGAATGAACAAGTCTTCATGCTTTATTGTATATATAATGTTGATAGTCTGTCATATTGATAGTCTGTCATATGTATGTATTGCAATGTAGAAGTTCTACCCGAGAGTATAGCTAGAATTTAGGTCAGAACGAAGGTTTCAATCACCTATCCTTATCGAGTGCATGAGGAGCTAGAGCTCTGAATGAAATCTGATTCATCCAAGTTTGAGTTAGAGACATCAGATTGAGTTAAATAATAATAATAATAATATACAGCATTTATATATCGCCCTATATAATTTGTAAAATTACTCTAAGGCGCTTTACAAAATATGGATAATAGTAATGGTTATAATTGTGAAAACAAACAACAAAGGCTTGCAATCACTTGCATACATTTAACAAGCAATGTGCACATAATTGAACAAATAAAAGGGTGGTATTTACATGACGTCTTTGCAAAGATTCTAAAATGCAGACGTGAAGAGGTGAGTTTTTATGTCCCTCTTGAACTTGGCCAGGGTATTTGACTTCCTAATAGCAGATGGTAAGCTATTCCACAACGTAGCCGAAACCCTCCCAAAGCATCTGTTTCCGTAGGTCACAGTACGAGATTTTGGGACACACAACAAAGATTCTGACTCCGACCGCAGTGATCTTGACGGCTGATAGAGGGTAACAAGTTCCTGTAGGTACTGAGGAGCTGTTCCATTCAGTGCCTTGTATGTGCATGTACATGTATACCAGAATTTTGTACTGCGACCTGTATCATACAGGATAAAAGGGATAAAGCTCTTGTAATTGCCAGATTTTGGAAGGGATTATCATTCATCTAATTTTGAGCAAGTGTGACTCGACTTCCCAGTTAATGCAATGGGAATTTTGTCATAAAAATTTGGATTGAGTCTCAGCTGTATTTGTAAAAAAGGATTGGTCTCAAATTTTTGACAGGCATTTAATCTGTAGAAACAAGTATACGTACTGCTTGAATATGAATGTTTGATTTTAAAATCGTTGCTAGGTATTTTTCTAAGAGGGGAGGGGGATGCTGTATAATGCCTCCACAGAGTTTTGTGAGTGTGCACATTGGCAATTTCAGATAGTTTGACATAACTCGAACTTACCCAACATTTGTCCACCATTCTACTTTAGGCTCTTTTGGTCTGGATAGTTCTTGTAACCTCTCTCTGAAAATAGGAAATAAAGACATAAAGAAAGTCTAAACCTTGAACTTTCTACTGTACTGGCAGAAAGGCTGGTCTTCGAAGACAGGTTCTACTATATAGAGAGAAAGGATAGTATTAACCATAGTTGATTGGAAGGATCCATGGTGGGGAGGATTCAAAAATATACAAATGGAGGGCTGACCCCCCAGGGGGCGGAGGAGCATAGCCAAAAAGGGGTAATTTTGCCATATTGCTTCAAACGACTTCTTTTCTTGGACAAAGTGATACATATCAACCATATTTACTTTGGAGCATTCTTTGGTGATTGAAAATTCAAACTTGTACCAGTTGAAGGGCTGAGGGCCAGCAGGGCCATAAAGAATTTTCAACTTGGACATTATCAAGATTCCCACCCTATAACCATGCATACAGTTGCTGAGCATGATCCTGGGGGCTGGCCCTACCCTTAGCAACGTAATTCCTGAGCCATAACATCAATCGACGACTACAGTCATAATATAAGACTTGACTCTGGGGTCTGGCCCTTCCCCTAGGCCAGGACTTAATTTCTGGGCCATAACTTTGAAATGGTTGAGATTCCCACCCCATAACCATATATATTTGATAGGCATATAGAGATAAACACAGTCATACATTCGAATTGACACTAGGGTCTTGCCTTACCCCTAGGGACTTATTTTCTAGGTCATAACTTTGAAAGAGTTAAGATTCCCACCCCATAACAATATATACTTGTACCATTGCTTTTCATTAAGAGACAAACACAATCATGATGTTAGTATTGACCCTTAGGTCTGGCCCCACCCCTAGGGAATTAATTTTTGAGCCATAATTTTGAAATGATTGCTGGATATTAAGGTCCAGTTGAGCGATATATATCTTCCCTTTTTCATCTCCCTACTTTTCGACGGTAAATTTCTTAGTTCCCGTCTCCACATGACCTTAGCTGTAACCCCCGGTTACACATCGACATGTTTCACCGTTTTAGTGTTCTCTTGGGAAGAACATAATAATAATGATTCCAACAGAGGGTGTAGTATTTAAAAAGGGCAAAAATGCCCCTCCTTTAAAAATTTACAACTTGGGCCTCTTCTTGGGCAGCATGTTAAGCATCTCGGGCCTGTATTACAAAACGGCAAATTCATGGCAACAGGATTAAGGTCAAAACTTGTATTGACTATAGGTCTTTCTATAGGCATAATACATGTAGTTTGATTTCAAGCTTCATAGGTGTGTGTATCATGATATCATGTATGAAACTGAGTTCCCTACCTTAAAGGTCAAGAACATTCAGAGGGGATAAAACCCCTTTTTGAGCTCAGTGGTAGAGCATCTGACTATAGGAAGTCTGGGATCGCGGGTTTGATCCCCAGTGGAAGCACACTACTCTCTGTCCTGTTACACTTGTATCAAATACTGTAAGACCTGGATTATCAAATATGAAGCAACTGATGAGTATAGTTAACTGAATAGTCCCTGAGTCTACAAAATCAGACTCATACTGATTTTGTTACGAAATTCAAATATTGTGATCAATTAACATTTTCCCCTATCCTAGAATCGGACAGGTATCAGTTCAAATTAACATTTTCCCCTATCCTAGATTCGGACAGGTTTCAGTTCAAATCAACATTTTTCCCCTCATCTAGAATCGGACAGGTTTCAGTTCAAATCAACATTTTCCCCTCACCTAGAATCGGACAGGTTTCAGTTCAAATCAACATTTTCCCCTCACCTAGAATCGGACAGGTTTCAGTTCAAATCAACATTTTCCCCTCACCTAGAATCGGACAGGTTTCAGTTCAAATCAACATTTTCCCCTCACCTAGAATCGGACAGGTTTCAGTTCAAATCAACATTTTCCCCTCACCTAGAATCGGACAGGTTTCAGTTCAAATCAACATTTTCCCCTCACCTAGAATCGGACAGGTTTCAGTTCAAATCAACATTTTCCCCTCACCTAGAATCGGACAGGTTTCAGTTCAAATCAACATTTTCCCCTCACCTAGAATCGGACAGGTTTCAGTTCAAATCAACATTTTCCCCTCACCTAGAATCGGACAGGTTTCAGTTCAAATCAACATTTTCCCCTCACCTAGAATCGGACAGGTTTCAGTTCAAATCAACATTTTCCCCTCACCTAGAATCGGACAGGTTTCAGTTCAAATCAACATTTTCCCCTCACCTAGAATCGGACAGGTTTCAGTTCAAATCAACATTTTCCCCTCACCTAGAATCGGACAGGTTTCAGTTCAGCACTGTTTTAATTGGAATCATTGTTTAATTTTTTGCTTTTTACATGTTTATTTCATAAATTCTAAATTTTGAAATGTCTTAGGTTTGTAATAACTGATATATTCTAGTATCACTTGCAGACCTCTAAATAAAATGTGGCTATTGTCAGCTGTGATATGATCAATGGCAGGGGTCAGAGAGACACGGAACATTCTAACCCGACATTGTCGTCACTTAATACCCGATCAGTTCATCAGTTGTCATCATACCTCTCCTGTTAAGGAGATAAAAAGCTCACCTGAGATCAAAATCTGTCCGTTCATCCTCATAAAATCCATGAAAGTCTTGGATCGGTTTTACATCCGGCATTTTGGCATGATCTAATGTGCCATATACTATACATGCAACAAGCTTGAATGTTAATATGTAAACATGGCCTACAGACACTGGTTACTGTTACTATATCTAGGGTAGGATTTCTCTGTTTTGTCTGGCAATGATCCCATAGAGTTCACCCATACATTTCCCCCTCAATGTTACCTCTAATTAAAATATTAATTAAAATAAACCTCGGGCCTGTTAATAGAAAAATCTAAATGATCTAATAATTTCAATTAATTAATAATTACTACTTTTCTTTTGAGAGAAAAAAAATGTTTCAAATTTCAATTATATTTTAATTCCTCAACAATGCCCCTTAATAGACCCTTATTCAATTTTGCATTAATTTATTGTAATGAATCAGCCAGAGGCATTTTCTTTATAGGTATATTATTTCAGGGGTGAAGTTTGCACTATTATAATAGGGTTTCATAATGTAGTACAGTTTAGTTTTCAGTGGCGCACAGGCCTGTGGATCAAATCACACGCCTCAATGACAATTAATAGGGTCCGTTAATGACTAGAAGTCTATTGGCAGACGTGGTATGAATGAACTGCCAACATTACGAGCCAGAACCATTGACATCACACTAGTCGTGCTCGGCTAGGTGCAGGTGACAAACGCTATAGGAGGTACCACTGTATTGTCCTACCCACACAATAAAACACCTTATGATTTTTGTAAATTAAATTGGATATAATAATTTGATATAATAAACCAGATAATGAATTTATACATACACATATATATATAGGTTTAAACTTACTATATCTAACGCTAGCTTATATAACATGAAGGATCAAATTTGGTCGCCTAAAGCTATACAGATATCATACAGAAATACGACGGACAAATGGTATCTTTGCTATTGAATCCAAAAGCGTACATGATTTGTGATTACAAAATGATACTGAAGCTTATTCAGAAATTGAATCTAACACATAAGAATAGGATGAATTATTTGTCGGTCAATGAATTTTTCAAATGGTTCGCCCATATGCAAATTGAATATTGAGTGTAATTTTATCTGGCATTTTATCAGGGTACAAGCGTCTAATCTGAGATATTTAATCTATTGATAGACTAGCCATTTGTATGGGTCATTTTAAATCTTAAGTTATCGGAGTTGATCACCATTCTGCAGTCCCAATCTACAAGACATCAACCCCCCTTGATATAGCATACTGATTCTGTCATCAGCTCAAAAATTGGTGAATTATAAATCAATGTTAAATGTCAAATTAAAATATATGGAGAAAAGAATTAGCTATAAGTTGTAAGTATTATAGTGTTTATCTCCAATTAATTGAATGAATCAGACAAAAACAGCAAAATTAAAAGGAAAAATGTATATCTATTGCACTATAATAAAAGTTCATGTCAAAAATAGTTTTTATTTAACCTTGTTAATTAGTAAAGATACTTTGGCTTGTGTGTACAGTAGAACCGTGTTAGTCTGGACACTTTGGTCTGTGTGTATAGTAGAATTTAACATTGTTAGTCCAGACACTTTGGCTTGTTGGAACCTTGTTAGTCTGGACACTTTGGTTTGTATGTACAGTAGAACCTTGTTGGTCTGGACACTGGTTTGTATGTATAGTGGAACCTTGTTAGTCTGGACACATTTGTTTGTATGTACAGTGGAACTTTGATAGACCAGACACTTTGGTTTGTTTTTATGTACAGTAGAACATCAATTGTTCGTCTGAACACATTTGTTTGTATGTACAGTGGAACCTTGATAGACTGGACACTTTGGTTTGTTTGTACAGAAGAACCTTGTTTGTCTTGAGACTTCGGGTTGTATTACAGTAGAACCTTGTTAGTCTGAACACATTTGTTTGTATGTACAGTGGAACCTTGATAGACCAGACACTTTGGTTTGTTTTTATGTACAGTAGAACCTCAATTGTTAGTCTGAACACATTTGTTTGTATGTACAGTAGAACCTTGATAGACCAGACACTTTGGTTTGTTTTTATGTACAGTAGAACCTCAATTGTTAGTCTGAACACATTTGTTTGTATGTATAGTGAAACCTTGATAGACCGGACACTTTGGTTTGTTTTTATGTACAGTAGAACCTCAATTGTTAGTCTGAACACATTTGTTTGTATGTTCAGTAGAACCTTGATAGACTGGACACTTTGGTTTGTTTGTATGTACAGTAGAACCTTGATAGACTGGACACTTTGGTTTGTTTGTGTGTACAGTAGAACCTTGATAGACTGGACACTTTGGTTTGTTTGTATGTACAGTAGAACCTTGATAGACTGGACACTTTGGTTTGTCTGTATGTACAGTAGAACCTTGATAGACCGGACACTTTGTTTTGTTTGTATGTACAGTAGAACCTTGATAGACTGGACACTTTGGTGTGTTTGTATGTACAGTAGAACGTTGATAGACTGGACACTTTGGTTTGTTTGTATGTACAGTAGAACCTTGATAGACTGGACACTTTGGTTTGTTTGTATGTGCAGTGGAACCTTGATAGACTGGACACTTTGGTTTGTTTGTATGTAAAGTAGAACCTTGATAGACTGGACACTTTGGTTTGTTTGTGTGTATAGTAGAACCTTGATAGACTGGACACTTTGGTTTGTTTGTGTGTACAGTAGAACCTTGATAGACTGGACACTTTGGTTTGTGTGTATGTACAGTAGAACCTCAATCGTTAGACTTGACACTTTGTGTGTACAGTGGAACCAAAAGGTTTGTCCAGACAATTTAATTTTCAAGATGATTCAATCACATAAGATTGATTCATATTCATCACAATTAAATGTCATTTGTGTTCATCTATAGGGTAGATGTTGTATATCATATTATATAATCTGGACACCTAAAGTAGATTTACAAAAGATTCGGTGAATTATTATGACATCTGCATCTGTACCAGAAAGGAACTCTGGATTAATAACTTGTTAATACCTTAGTTTAAACTGCTGCCATATATATATGCAGCCTAGTTGAGCTATGAAATCATTTATTTTTTAGTCACCCCTGGGGGAACCCCAGTGGGGACTATTAATTTTGGTTTCAGTCCCAGATTTTGACCTCTGTTAGGAGTGCTGTTGCGTATCTTGCTTCTGTTGGAATATACCAGGCGCTAATTACAAGTGCTTGGATAACTCAGATATCGTTTTCCTTTTTAAACAGGAATAGCATAAAACCTAAAGGCGTTCCAAATTCCCCACGGGAATTACATATAACCTAAAGATGTTCCGAGTATGAATCAGGCACCTTTGAGGTTCCTGAAGGGGTAAACTATCATATTATAAATTGCTATTGACTGAATTAGATATTTTATGTCTGACCAACGACTACCGTTAATATTTGCGTTTAGTGCACACTTTTTTAAGGGGAAAATGAAGTGTCAAAAAAGGGGTGTACACGATCCTCAAGAACAATCCAAAACCAGTCCTAGGTTACGACTGTTTCTCGTAAATTTTTCAAAGGATTTTCGGAAATGTTTTGATACATGCTAACAGCAATGCAACTGCTAAATTTCGTTGAATAATCCCTGATTGCATTGCCAATTTAACCATTACGAAAAGTTGCAAGTTTAAGTCATATAATAATATAGAATCGGATAAATAAACTCGAGTAAAGTAGGCTCAACTTTTCAGGACGTTACGTTGTGAATTGATAAATACCACGTATCAGGAAACATAACGAAGAATTGCATCGGATTTATTACTCTGTGGTTAAAATGTCGTTCTTGGGTAAAATCTTGCTGAACTCTTCAATCTTGTCCGTAGGAATGTGTCAAAACGACACAGGTAAAGTGGCGAAGTTAGCAAGTTTGTGTACCGCAAAGAGTCGAAGTTGCGTGATACTATTAACCGGCAGGAATTTACAAATGACATCCATGCGAATTGAACCGATAATGATAAAAGTTTGAGTTTGAAAATTAAATATCAACGGGTTCAAAACAGCCAAATACATTCCGATCTTTTCTTTTCGAAGGAGAAGTGCTGATATCACAATTGTTTGGTGTTCTTCATGTCTTGCGAATTCAGCTGTTTGCTGTCCTCGTCGGAGTGACTGCCTTTAGCGTACAGTACACATTCTGCCGATATCGATGACCGATTCAGTTGGATTTGCAGACGATCAGAAATCTACTTGGAAAAGTGTATTTCATAACAAAAAATAGTAGAAGATTTATCTGTATATAAAATTGAATCTTTTCTGAAACTTATTGTTGTGCAAACAACATCGTTATATTCCAATTACCTGTTCTGCCCATGCCAGGTGACCGTGTCAGCGCGCAGATCTCCCCGTATTCGAGGTGTCGGTCAACGCTAACGTTATATTTGCGACATGCTTTCCTATTAATTCCCTGTGTTGCCATGGCTACCTGAACAGCATGTATGTATTTACACCTGGTAATTGTTTACTATTTTGATTGACAGGTGGAAATATATCCATTGTAGCTTGGTCAATGATTTATCGGAAAATGATCATACAGAATGATGGGGTGACTTTCATGTCATTCTGACATATTTCTAGTTATTCTTTTACTTATAGATAAGAAGATTGGAGATTTCCCAGGAGTATTTTCTTTTTGAACTGCTTTTTAATTCGTAACAACTAATTTGATGGGGACATGCAATGATTTTACCAGGTTTAAAGACAAATAACTATGTAATAGGATCGGGAAAATACATGGCCAGACCCGGGTTGAAAACTGGGACCCTCTGAGCTCTAGACGGACGCTCTACCAGTTGAGCTACCTGGTCGCCAATAATTGACCCGGTCCATTTCTGCTACAGCTATACAATTATTTCAGCTATATCTAGAGGTAAAACACAATATGCCCTCAACACTTGGTGGCTTATGGGAGTTAGTGCTTAACTTAAGTTGATTTCTTAGTTTTCTTATGAATTGATATCAATCTCGTCAGGGTACAAAAAGTCTAAATGTTATTTGATGATGACTGCAGAAACTACTAGTAGCCTCATTGGGATATGAACATTAAAACTGACAAGTTCACAGCCACTATTAACTGTTTCATGAACTGCTGCTAGTCTTAGTGGGTAAGGAATTCTAAATGTGATCCATTTATAAAGTTTATTTGAACTTCTATTTAAAGTTATGCTGAGTAACTTTAGTTGTAACGTAAGCTTTTGGGTGCATACGAGAAAAGACGAGGAAAGACAGATGGAATAAGGAAGTGGGACCTTTTGCAAGAATTTGTCAGTGAAGTTTACAAAGATTATAATGTAGGACAATTAATTCTCACCTGCCACTTTGCCGGATCTGGTCAAACTCAACTGAAAGAAAAAGAAAAAGAAATTAAAATCTATACAGCCAGGATACATGAAAAAAATTCACTGAGAAGTAATTTGATTCCTGGATGTAGGCGACAGTATGTCAAAATTCCCAGAGTAGAGATAATGTAGCCAGTCTGAACATTATAGCCCGCCATTTTATCTCCATCTGTACAGGAATTGTAAGCTGAAATATATACCTTTGTATGCATACAACAGGACACTATACACACAAACAGCATTTGTACCTACCTAGTTGTTTGTTTTTCATCTTGACCACCATTTTAACATTTGTAAAATACAGGGAATCAAATCACTTCCTAAACATTTCAATTGAAGCACACTGTCTCCAAGTTTTCTCCATCATGGTTATGACCTCTAGAAACAGGTTTGAAACCAGCGAAACATTTCTACACTTGTGAAATATAAGAAATATCGGAAAGCTCAAAGATAAAGTTTGTTTGTCTTGTCGGTATGCTAATATAATCCAGTATACAACTACATATGTAGGACAGCATACGTTTGAGAACTTTATTGTTCGAGTCAAAAAATGTCGTTAAAGTCTATGACAACCTTAACATCAAGTAAAATGGGGAAAAAATGACGTACCTGGAAAAAAAAAACAATTAGGAAAACAGATTTTAAAACGCATCACACATTTCATACTAAAGCAGAATATGATTAAACCCTTAATATTACTTATTCACACTATTTTGACTTTTGTACATTTAAAAATTGCCAATTAAGCTAACTGGGTGAGCCTACTTAGCGCCCCAGTCAGCATTAGAAGTTACAAAGCTGTAGTCCCAGGCATTGTATCCTTGTAATACAGATAAGAAGCAGTAAGTAACCTAACATCAAGGTCATTGCATTGTGAAACAACAAGAATGTTATCACACATAGGTTGTGTTAGCACCTCTGATATACTAGATACAGTTTTGTGTTGTTCTTAACGGGTGAACGGTCACCCTTTTAGGAGAATTCAACACCCTAGACAGTTAACAGACCAAAGAAGAAACACCTATTGTTTTATTACCAAAAAATCTGCCTTCAAAAATTTAGGCCACATGTTAAAATTTTGTATGGTAGTTGGCTGTATGAGGGGAAAAACTCTGTTACATGAAATGTTCATGCTCTGAGATTATACTTGGTTAAAATGCAATTTGTTCTGTTTTAGAAAAATATTCCAGATTGCAACTCTAAATGTATGGAAAACCTTTTCTTTTGTTCTTATATCAAGTGTACTAACACCTTCATTTTCTGCCACAAGAAAAGATTATAGGGTATTCCATTTTGGATAGAGTTATCCTCCTTAGGTAAAAGACTTCTTAAAAATCTATTTGATGTTAACAAAAATATTGAGACCCCCGACTCTTCATGTTTCGACTTGTAAGTTTCCTTCATTCACAGATCACTTCTTAAACCTCTGAAAGCTAAGAATTATGGAGACAGAACGATCTTGAAAGTTTTTTAAACAAATCTGACCCATCAGAATTATAATACATGATAATGAATGGAAATTGAACCATAACATGATGTTTAAGATATCCGAGTTCATACAAATTTTTGACTCTATATATCTTACTGAACCATTCGTACATATAGCTATCAACCATCCCTCATTAGGAGATCTACAAAAAATTACCAATCTTCCTCGAAACTCCCTCAATCAAGTCCAAACAAACACAAACTCAAAATCTACATTCAGCTGTACATGTCAAATGATCTCCTAGTTACTGCAGGGTGTCTATGCCATGATGATGCGTCCGTCTGTCCGGCCGTCTGTCTGCAGGCGTCAACTTTTTACTTTAAACAACTTCTTCTCATTAACCAAGAGGCCTAGGATGATGATATTTGGCCAGTAGCATGCTGGAATGAATGACCATGACTTATATTCAAGGTCACAGGGCTCAAAAACTTTAAACAACTTCTTCTGAATAACCAAAAGGCCTATGGTGATGTTATTTTGCCAGTAATTTCATGCTGGGATGAAGGGCTACCAAGGTTTTTTTAAATGATTGACCTTCATCCATTTTCAAGATCACAGGGGTCAAATATGTTCAAATCTTTTAACGGCTTCTTCTGAATAACCAAGAGGCCTAGGGTGATGATATTTGGCCAGTAACATGCTGGGATGAAGGACTACCAAGTTTGTTCATATGAATGATCTTGATTAATTTTCAAGGTCACAGGGCTCAAAAACTTTAAACAACTTCTTCTGAATAACCAAGAGGCCTAGGGTGTTGATATTTAACCAGTAACATGCTAGGCTAAAGGACTACCAAGTTTGTTCAAATGAATTGACCTTGAATTTGTTTGAGAACTGTTAACTTCTTCTGAATAACCAAAAGGACCAGCTGGGTGATAATATTTTGCCAGTAACATGCTGGGATTAAGGGTTACCAAGTGTGTTCAAATGAATGACCTTCACCAATCTGCAAGGTCAGAGGGGTCAAATATGTTGAAATCTTTAAACAACTTCTGAATAATCTAAAGGTCCAGGGTACTGTAATGATATTTAGCCAGAAGTATGCTGGTATGGAAGGCTATAAAATCTGTTCAATTTAATGTCCTTGTTTGACTTTCAAGGTCACATGTGTTACATGTTTAAATCTTTTAATAGGTTCTTTTGAATCAAACACTGGTGATACCAAAACAAAAGTAAAGACATTATGAACTCATCCCCCCTCAAAAATGTGTTGTTTAAAAGTCTGTTGAAAAGAATTACGGTATAACCCAAGAGTGCTTGCCAGTAGCTGTTATGTTTGGGCCACATAGGTCTGTTCATCTGGTAACTATAGATTAAGAAATATATATACCAGCGGTACGTACACCATCAAACACTTAAAAAATAGTCGATCACCAGAAACTGCAATTAATAGAATGCAGACAGAAAAGTTACATGAACAATGAACTTGAGACAAAAAAAACAGACAGAAAATTAATGATCATATAGTCTTAATCAAACAAAATACAGCTCATTGAGACATTAAAAATCCTTGTGTTTGCCAGTAGGAGTCGGTTGTCCTGTGTAATGTCTGAGGAAATGGATCAGATTGACAGATTACAGCTACTTGTTCGTATTTGCTCTCCCACCTGGGGTGGGAGGTGATCCCATGATCCTCGGATGTCACGCAGTATTGCATAACGACCAGAATAATGTTTAAAGGATCATAGAGATGACATAATCTAGAGCTCTGAAGTCATGCTAGTACAGAACTGACATTGAACTGAAAATCTACACTCAATCTTCTACTTTGGTATCACATAAAGACATGTTTTAAACACATTATCTTTTTAATGCTTCCTGAAAACATTCCAAGGGAGCATATACATGTACATATAGTTGCTACTTTGTCTGCCCGTCTGTTCATTCCTATGGAGCAATGACTTAGGACTCTTAAGATGGCTCAATGAATTTTTGGGATATGTGGAGGATGGCAAGTGAGTGTGACATTTACAACTATTTGGTCCATATGCCCAAGTTCAAGGTCATATTTAACAAATTTGACTGTAGTTATTGTCAGAAAACACAAACTGCACCCCTACAAGGATATCTTTTGTAGCCAGGTCTGTCTGTAGTTATTGTCAGAAAACACAAACTGTACCCCTACAAGGCTGTCCCATGTAGCCAGGTCATTCTGTAGTTATTGTGAGTAAACACAAACTGTACTCCTATACAAGACTGTCCCTTGTGGCCAGGTCTGTCTGTAGTTATTGTCAGAAAACACAAACTGTACACCTTACAAGGCTGTCCCATGTAGCCAGGTCTTTCTGTAGTTATTGTCAGAAAACACAAACTGTTCACCTACAAGGCTGTCCCATGTAGCCAGGTCTGTCTGTAGTTATTGTCAGTAAACACAAACTTTCCACCTTACAAGGCTGTCCCATGTAGCCAGGTCTATCTGTAGTTATTGTCAGAAAACACAAACTGTACTCCTCCTATACAAGGCTGTCCCATGTAGCCAGGTCTGTCTGTATTTATTGTCGGAAAACACAAACTGTACTCCTACAAGGCTGTCCCATGTAGCCAGGTCTGTCTGTAGTTATTGTCAGTAAACACAAACTGTACCCCTACAAGGCTGTCCCATGTAGCCAGGTCTGTTTGTAGGTATTGTGAGAAAATACAAACTATACACCTACAAGAATGTCCCTTGTAGCCAGGTCTGTCTGTAGTTATTGTAAGAAAATACAAACTGTAATCTCTTATAGCAAGGTATATATGTTGTTATTGTCAGAAAATATTAACCTTTATTCGACACTACCTGTTCTAGCCAGGCCTGTTTTAATAGTTATTCAAAGTTTAATGGTAATTATTTTATTAAAGATAAATCAATTTGAGCAATTGAAGCAACATCTTGCATTTACATGTACAACAAATATATAAAAGTGTTTAAGAGCAATCATTTCCTAGGTACAATACCTGAAGTCTGTACTCGTGAACAAAGGCTCCCTGGTATTCATACATACAAAAACATTTAGCTTGTGCAATGTAATCCGTATTATAGGATTCAGCCAGTAACACCTTTTACACATGAACACTTAGTAACAGACATGGGCATAACTTTTATTAACTTTTAAGTAAAATCAATAATTGCATGTTTTGTAATAATATTGTAACATGTCTACGTTTGAAACGAAATTGAAATGCACTGTGACCTAAGTGTCTAACCCTGAACGCATGTTTCGATTTTGTCATGACAAATCCAGGGGTGAACAGAACGTAAGCGAACGTAACCCTGGAGTTTTGAGGATCAACTAACACTGAATAACTGGAAAGTAGCTATTAATTGTATGGTAAAAATATCTAAGAGAGAGTGCTCGAGCACTTCAGTTTAACAACTGAGTTTTTGAAAGCTAGCTGCACTGTAACTCCAGTATCTTTTTTCACCCAAGGAGTAAAATACAATTCAGGTGGCACAGATACTCCATGAACCACAAAGCAAAATGGTTTTGTTGAGTACTTTATTATCGGGAGTTGAGAAGTATTGGCCGATCGAGTTATCAAGTACAAATACTACTGACACCCTCATGTGGACAAGGGAAAACCCTATGGTATGGAGGTTGATATACCTGTAATATACACTACTGCCTGTTGTGACAACTTGTATGTACCAAGGATTGGTATATATATATATATATATACAGAATTATCTAGTTTTAAGTAAGGGAATAAATACAAGGTTTCATTATAGCATTAATCCAGACTGCCTTAAAATTAGAGCTAGGTGTTTATCGAGGTGTCGGTCATACAAACACACACGTCCGGGCGGCACGCCGATCACATTTGGTAAATAGGTTAATGTGATCAGTGTAAGTTCTTCAAGTTCTTACAATTAACAGGGGTCGACTCTTACAACACTGACCCCAGACATTTCAGGGTTGGGGAAAGGGTAGGATTTTGCAGTATATAAAATTTTTAGGAGATCATGGGTTCTCGTTTCCTTTTTTCTCAAAAATGGCACTGACTGCTGCAAGATATTCGTTTATTCACAAATACATGGTAACTAAGGCATTGTGAACCCTCACTGGTATTTTTAGCCCAACATCACCCTGCGACTGTGGTCCGGTAATTGTCTTTCCCTCAATCTGTCCGTCCTTAAACAATTCTTGTTAGCGCTATTTTTAGGTCACTTGTTCAACTTCTTCTTAAGAACCAGTGGATGGATTTTTTTCAAACTTAGTCAGAATCATCCTTGGTAGATGAGGCTACAAAATTGTAAAATTGGCATTCCTACCCCAACCCCTGGGGCCAGGGTGGGGCCCCAAAGGGAAAATTAACCAATATTTCAAAATTCTTCTTCTCCAGACTCAGAGGTACATATACTAGTCATTTTCTCTGCATGGATGGAAAGATCATGGGCTTTATTTAAATTGTAAATTTCAGGACCCCCAAGCTATCCGTTTTCCCTTGGGGAGGGGGTAAAGTTTACTATAGTTTATATAGGGAAATAACACTTGGGTATATTTTATCCATTTTCAGCAGAAAATTACTCAAACTTAGTCAGAATCATCTTTGGTGAATGAGGGTATTACATTGTAAAATTGGGATTCCTGCCCTATCCCCAGGGGCTAGGGCGGCGCCCCAAAGGGAACATTTACCAATATTTTAAAATTCTTATTCTTTGATGACATGACAAGTATTGTATTTCACTTAGTTTACATGCTGATTTCCACATCACATCTAAACAATACAATAAAGCTACCAGTACCTATGATATAACCCAGGTGACCGCTAAGGCCCTTGGGCCTCTTGTTCAGTAAGTACTGGAGGGATCTTTCTCAAATTTCACATGAAGATTCCCCATGGTCCCTTGTTGGTTCCCCATTGTCCCTTGTTATGCATATCGTTTTTTGGGACTGATCACAAAACTAAGATGGCCGACAGCCAGCCATCTTTAATTTGAGAGTTAAAGTTTGTTAGCACTATTTATCAGAAAGTCCTTGAGGGATCTTTCTCATATTTAACATGAAAGTTCCCCAAGGAAAAATATCAAATTTTGGGAATGATCAGAAAATCAAGATGGCTGATAGGCGCCATCTTGAATTTTTAGAGTTAAAGTTTGATAGCGCTATTTCTCAGAAATTACTGGGAGAATCTTTCTCAAATTTGATATTTAGGTTCCCTTGGTCTGTAGTTGTGTATGTTTATACCTTTGAGACTGATTGGATAAACAGAGGGCCGTCAGAGGGCCATCTAGGATTTTGAAAGATAAAGTTTGTTCTTTCTCAAATTTGATATGTAGGTTCTTCTTGGCCCCTTGTTGTGCATGTTTTGATTTGAGAGTGATCATAAAAACAAGATGGCTGCAGGAAGAACTTAACAGATCTTTCTCATACTGCACTGATTGGTGCTATTTCTTTAACATTAAGTATTGTACTAGCAAATATATGAAAAGACAAACTCACTATGAAGGTTGTCTTTTATACACATTTGCTGTTTCCATGTCTCAATCAAACAAGATAATAAGAGAAAAGAATAGAAAAGATTGAACTGACATAGAACTAAGATGGTACAATGGTGGGCGCCAAGATCCCTCTGGAATTTCTTGTTTGCTGAATATCAACATTTCTGCTGCAAGTTGATCCTTGTATGGAAATTACCAGGAGAAATTGTATTCTTACCACATTGAAGGCAATTGGATCATTGTCATATTGATGCTTAGCTTCTTGACCTCACATAACATGACACCATCATAAGGAATAAACATTTAGATGATATGAGGCTGTTCTAGAAATGTTGTACTGATATTACAGAAACTTTTCTCAATACCATAAATGTTTGTGAATTATTATATTTTGATCACTAAAACTATAACTTTGAAACGTAAATATACATTCATGCCAGTATGAATGCAATTTGTGATCAGTTACATCCTAATATAACATGAGGCCTAAATTAATATAATGGGCTTCATGTAATGTGGATGACACTGATTTGCATCCATACAATCATGAATGTTAAAAACAATCCATTCAATCTGTATATAACTCCTGAAGTAAGCTTCGCTGTACACATGTAACAAGTTGGTTTGAACATTTATATATCTGTTAAAATTCCCAGCCCTTCTCTGTTAACCCACATATTTCAGTGGTATTCATAATTAGTGGTATTCTGATTGAAGTCCCTTTCTTGTTATCCCTGATTTGTTCGCCATTGAGAAGTTCTCGATTTCACAGGTCAGACTTACCTTGACATGTAATGTAATGAAGGTCTGGTTAAGAAGTACTCTTGATTAATCAGGTCTTATTTCAACAGGCTCCATTGTGATATCAATAGCACAAGGCTAGCAACCACTATATTAATTAATTATATACAGTACTGTTTAATAATTACAAGGGAAACAGCTCCACTCTTTATAAAAATACAGTAGAAATTAAGTAAGCATTGTTGAAGATTAATTAGGCTAAATAACTCCACACTTTCTACAAAAGTTTGTTGAAATTCACAAGGGAAGCAACTCCACCATCAATACAAAGTAATTACCGGGTATATATCTGTTGGAAATGAGGAGGGAAGCAATCCAATCTTTAAATAAGGTGTTGGACCTCAAAAGAGAAGCAAATGTACTCTTTATACTGGACAGAAAAATTAGTTCAAAGATTTCAAATGGTGAAATGAAGGGTCTGCCAATGACCTGTATAATCTTTACTGAATTTTCACATGGTGTATTGAAATTTCGTCATTTTGATCAGTTTTGGCCTGAACCATTTCAAGGCTGGATATACCAGAATTGTTCACTGAATATAAGCTTAAGTACCATTGCATAAATAAACCAGAATTTATACTAGATACTTTTAAAACCATATTGGTTGTTTCAATTCTCAACACAAGGAAAAGGGAACTTTTATACAAGTGTGAAAATTCAAAAAGGTCTCATTGATTAGATATTTCTAGGTACAAGATAATACAAGATAATACAAGGTAACCATGGTAACCAATAAAGTATGCAGGGTTATCAAACAAACTCTATATAGGTCAAAGGTCATGTTAGTAGAATAAATGGCAAACCATACAAATGTATATAATGAAAAATGTTACCTTCATCTGAAAAATATTTGTCATCTGGTGAAAATTCTAGATGTGCTGTTAGGAAAAAAACATAAGTTTCACAATGAATAGATAATGTCCAGTAAGTTCATGGTGGTTCAAGATCACTTGTGACCTTCTGCTTATTGGGTGGGTAATTGAAGCATCTAACAGATACTATCCAACCAAAATGAAAAAAAATATGTGAATAGTCATCAGTTCATAGATTTTCATTACCTTGCAAGCAAGTTACATTTTAAAACACACAAAAGAAAACAACAGGGTCAATGTACTTCAGAACAAGGTTACCGCGAGCGGTATATAATACGCCCGTCACACATTGAATGAGCAGTTGTTTGTATGATTGAAATATATGAAGTATTTGTGAGTAATTGATATTAAAAGAGAAATCATTCAACATAACTGGTAGATCAATGAGTGCAATACAACATCATGGAACGCATGCATCGCATTAATGAAACCAAGGG